AAATAAATTTTTTTAAAGGAAATTGATCGAGATGGAGCTGAAGCAAAACGATTAAAAAAAGAAAAATTGATAAAAAAGAAACAAATGGCAAACAAAAAAAGGAGAAAGGTTTATTTTTATAAAAAAAAACTTTTTTTCAGAAATTTTTCAAAAATAATGCCCTCGAACGGGTTCGAACCCACGTCTTTTATCTCTCATAAAAATTTTATTTACCCACTACACCAAAAAAATAATAATTAAAAATATTAATTTTTATGGTGTAGTGGGTAAAATGAAATTTTTATGAGAGATAAGGGTCATGGGTTCGACCCCGTTCGGGTGCATTATTTTTTAAAAATTTCTGAAAAATTTTTTAAATTATAAAATTAATTTTTCGGTTAATTTGGAATTTTATTAGTTTTTTGTATGATTTGTGGTGTAGTGGTTTAGGTGTTAGTTTGTTGTGGGGTTAGGACCAGGGTTCGATCCCGTTGAGGGGAAATAATTTTAGAATAATTTTAAAATTATCTTTCTAATTTGTAATGTCAAACTAGATTTATTTTTAGACTAATTTGAGTTTTTCTTCTTTTTAAATAGTTTGTGGTGTAGTGGTATTGTGTTGGAGGTAGGGATGTGGGTTCGAACCCGTTGGTCGGGAATATTTTTTAATTTTTTCAAGAATTATTTTTTTCTGGTTTAAAAGTCTAAAAGATCAATTTTTGAATTAATTTTAAATTTTTTTCCAGTTAGACAAACAAATTGGCAAATTAGAAAATGAATTGTTAGAAGCAATTGAATCAAAAACATTTTCAACAAAATTACAAATTTCAACACAAATAATGCACAATGTTTTTCTAATTTATTTTAAAATACTTAAAAGAATGCCACAAACAGAATTATTAAGTCCAGTATTACAAGGATTGTCTAAATTTGTTCATTTAATTTCTATTGATTTTTATGATGATTTGATGCAACATTTGGGACGTTTAGTTGAACAAAAGGTTTTTTTGTAATTTATTTGTGGGGGGTGTGTTTGTGTGGTGTAGTGGTAAAATTTTGAAATTTCTGGGGGAGTAGGGTTTGAAACTGATGGGTGTGGATTAGTTCAGCGTTTTTTCTTTAATTGTAAAATATTTTTTTTCGAGTCTAAAAACCCGGAGCCTGTTATAATACCAAAAGCTTATAATACCAAACCCCCAAAAGCTGTTAAAATACCAAACCGTAGAAAAAAGCTTAAAATACCAAACTCCCACAAGCTGTTAAAATACCAAACCGTGGAAAAAAGCTTAAAATACCAAACCCCCAAAAGCTGTTAAAAAACCAAACCGTGGAAAAAGACTTAAAATACCAAATAAATACCAAACTTAAATTTATTGTTATTTCTGTTAAAATTTTTTGTTAAACTTTGTTGCTTCGAACTTTAAAATTTTTTTGTTTTTGCAACAACAAAGATGTTGTTGTTCCAATTGAATCTTTGCTGGAAAAACTATATTTGTGCTGCTCCGAAGGTTAGGCTGGTCATGGTCTTCGCTACACGATGGCAGATGTGCTGTTGGAACAACATCCCCCGTCACGGGAACAACATCCCTCGTCGCGGGAACAACATCCCCCGTCACGGGAACAACATCCCCCGTCACAGGAACAACATCCCCGTCACGGGAACAACATCCCCGTCACGGGAACAACATCCCCCGTCGCGGGAACAACATCCCCCGTCACTGAGTCAACATCCCGTGACATTGGAACAACCTTTGGTATTTCAACAGTATTTGGGGGTTTGGTATTTTAAGCTTTTTTCCACGGTTTGGTATTTTAACAGCTTTTGGGGGTTTGGTATTATAAGCTTTTGGTATTACAATTTTTGGTATTATAACACGGTACCCTAAAAACCATTCTATAAATTTCTGAATATTGTTGGTGTAGTGGGTAAGGTGTTAGATTTTTCTGTGATTAGTGCTGGGGTTCGATTCCATTTGGTTGTTTCTCAGTGAATTAAGGCGTGGGTTCGATTCCGCTTGGCAGAGAATATTTTTAGAAATTTTCAACGGTTTTAAAAAATTATCCGCTTTTCTAAAAATAATTTTATTTGTCAGTGAGGTATTTTAGTGCAGTGATAAAATGTTAGATTTCTCTATAAATTAAGGCATGGGTTCGATTCCGGTTGGTGGCGAATATTTTTAGAAATTTTTATACGGGTTTAAAAAATTATTCTCTTTTCTAAAAATTAATTTTACGGTTTATAAATTTTTGTTCAGCAACTTAAAGTAACAGAAACACTCAATTGTATACATACTGCTAGTCATATATTTACCGGTGAAGGACAAGCAACAATAGAAGTTGATTTACAAAAATTTTATAAAGCTTTGTATAATGTAATGCCAAATATATGTTTTCAACCGGAAGAAGGTTTTTTAATTTTTAAAAATTTTAAAATTAAAATAAATTTTTTAACGGAAAAATGGAGGTCGTGGGTTCGAACCCGCTTGGGGAAAATATTTTTAGAAAAATTCTTTTAAGGTTTAAAAATGATTTTCTGAATAAAAAAATAATTTTTCTTGTCACTTTTAATTTTTTAAAAAATTTTTAGAATTAAAATAGAATGATAGGGGGTCGTGGGTTCGAACCCGCTTGGGGGAAATATTTTTAGAAAAAATTTTTTAAAGTCTAAAAATGATTTTCTGAATAAAAAATAAGTTTTCCTCGTTTCTTTTAATTTTTTAAAAATTTTTTAGAATTACAAAATCAAGTTTTACTTTTAATTGAATCAATTCAATTATTATTAATTAAAAGAAAGAAAAGTGTTTCAATTAAAAAAGCTGCTTCATTTATTAAACGTTTAGCGTTAATTATAGTTGGAATTAATTTAATTGATGAAAATTGTGCTGCTGGATTTTTGTTGATTTTGAGAAGAATATTTTTGGTTTTTTTTTAAATTTTATTTATAATTTTCTGCTAGGAATGGGGGGTGGATGACGGGTTATTCGAATACAGTTTCGGACATAATTATAAGATACCCCCATATAATACCTCCCCCCTTTATTAAATTTAATTTGCCTTTGGGTGGGGGTCTAATCGGTACCTTCAGGTTAAGATAACCCTTATTTTAAACTACTACGTCGTTTTTTCACCCAATGTGTTTATTCTATATTGAGGTTTTGACTTTATTTTGCCTTTAAAAAATTTTTTTAAAGATCTTTCCTTCATTAAAACCAATGATTGGAAATGGACAAAACAAAGAAGAGGAAGAAGACTTTATTGTTGATAATGGCCAATATCGTCCAGATTGTTCTGATCCAGATTATAGCAATTCTGTTGGAACAAGTATTAAAGGAGAATTGGAATTAATTTTAAAGGTTTTTTAAATTAATATTTTTGTGAATTTTTTTAAATGTTTTTTTGTAGGGGTGAAGATGGTAGTTTTGTTTGGGGGAAGGGACGTGGGTTCGTGTTGGTTGAATGGAAAATAATTTTAAAAGAAGGAGAGGGGGTGTAGGTCATAGGTTCGAATCCGTTGAGGGTCATTATTTATAAAAAAATCTGTTGGAAATTTTTTAATGTTCTCTGTTTTAGGGGGGTTAACATTAAGTTTTATCGGGGGAAAAGGATATGGGTGTTAGGGTCAGTTTAATTTAAAAAGGAGGGTTATAGGTTCGAATCCGCTGGGGTTCAGTATTTTTTTAAATCTTTTGGGAATTTTTTAATATTCTCTGTTAGGATTAAGCTTTATAGGGAAAAAGGATGTGGGTGTTAGTGTCAGTTAATCCAAAAAAGGGGGGAGGGGGTCGTGAGTTCGAATCCGCTGAAGGGCAATATTTTTTAAATAAAATTTTAGAGTTTTAAAAATAATTTTTCTAAATAAAATAATAGTTTTTTTGTTCCTTTTAATTTTTTTTCTAATTTTAGAATCAAAATAATCAATTAACTAAAATGTTGGTGTTACACTTATTAAATGGATTAAATTTGACTGGAAAATATAAATTGGATGTAAAATGGGCAAGCATGTAAATTATTTTTTTAAATTTTTTAAGAAATTAGATCTTGTCCAGAGGTGAATCGGAATTCATATTTCCGATGTTTTTTCCTCCCGATTTCCGAAATTTTGGAAAAATTTCCAATTTCCGGCACCTTCGTCATTTCCGATTTACCTCTGCTCTTGTTTAGTTTATGCGTCCAATAAAAATTTATTTTAACGCAAAATATTTTTTGCGAACAAGACGCATAAGAATTTTGAATGGACATATAAAAATTTTGTTGGACGTATAAACCTTTTATTGAAGAAATAAAAGTTGAAAAAGCCAAAAATATTTTTTTTAATTTATTTTTATTTTAAGGGAACCTTCAGAATTGTTTAATAAAACACTAAAAAATGATGATGAAAAAAATAAAAATGAGAGGAGAAAATTGAAAAAAGAATTTTTTGAAAAATTGGAAAATTTTGCAAAGGTTTTTTTAAAATTATTTTTTAAATTTTTTAAATTTATTTTTTAAAGAAAATCAAATCAAAAAATTCAAAACTACAAGGTTTTGGTTCTTCAAATTTTTGTTCTACTCTAAATTGTTTTATTGAAGCTAATAATAAAAATTGTTAAAGTTCATGGTCTTGTTTTTTTAATAAAAATTTTTTGAGAAAGTTTAATGAGGTAAATATTTTTTGAATTAAAATGCTAGCTGGGACGACATTTCGTCCCATGTGTAGGAAACTACATTCCAGACTTGTTCATTGATAGGGATTTTGATATCTGTGCCTGGATATATCCATGGGGTCAATATCCGTATCCGGATATATCTGTGCAACTTTTGAGTATCCGCGGATATGTTAACTGCATTAGTGTAAACTAAACAAACTTAGGGGGAGGGGCTTATATTCTTCTATCCTTTCAAGGCTGGGCTGATTGATCACTGGATCCGTCATTGGGGATTTAATATTTTTTAAATGACATTTTATCCCATAGGGAGGTGTTGGAAAAAATTATTTTTTTTCCTTTTTAATTTTAATAAAAAAATTTAAAAATTCCACTCTTTTATTCCCCTTTACAAAATTTTTTACAATCTACATATTTTAAAAAATTATTAAAATTACCTCCTTCCCCAAAATAACTAAATTTAATACAATCATTTAATTGTAAATCAAAAGCAAATCGTCCAAAATGTAAAAATTGTTTTTGAAAATTTTCGTGTCCAGAATCTGCTGGGCTATGACAAACAAATTCTTTTTTGGGGCAACAATATCCGCTACTATTTTCACAATAAAAAGAATCATTTTTACAGCCATTTCCCTCCCCTTCTCCTTCTTCTACACATTTTTCTAGTTGCAATTCTCGTAGTAAATTTGGACTCCATGTGGCGTTGCATAGATTTTCTATAATTTTTATTGGACTTTTTGAGCGATTTGAAAAAATGGACGTTTTGTCCTCTGGACATTTTGTCTTTTGGACGTTTTGTCTTTTGGGCATTTTATCTTATGGACATTTTGGTTTTGGACGTTTTGTCCTTCGGACGTTTTGTCTTTTAGACGTTTTGTCTTTTAGACATTTTGTACTATGGATTTGTCCTTTGGACGTTTTGTCCTATGGACGTTTTGTCCTATTGACGATTTGCTTGTATTCGTAGAATAAAAATACAAATTGGACTTTTCGATGTAGTCTGTCTGGCTTTTCTACTTTTTAGGCCTTCATTTATCTTTGGATTTTTTAAGTTTTATAAATTTAGAAAAATGAAAATTTACCAGTCTCGGAAAAACAAAATTGCTTGTATTGACATAATAAAAATACAAATTGAAGAATAAATGTGTGAATTAAATGATTCATGTTTGTAAAAATTGCTTTATTCTTCTGTATAAATAGAATGTGTGTGTGGATCTCAACTATGTGCGCGAAAAAGCGATTGATTGATCGGCAAGCAGGTTTATTTTTCGAGGTGAATTGGATTAGTAATTTTAAATAGTTAAAATAACGCCATTTTTACTGAATTTCTTACTGTAATTTACATTTCGAAATCAGAGAAAATTTAAGGGAAAATAGTGTAGGAAGAGAGTGAGAGAAAAGAAAATAGTGTAATTAGCAAGAGAAAACAAATAAAATTAGAAAGGCTTTACATATTTTGCCAATTCGACATTTCGCCAGTAAGGCTAAAATTACACGTTTTGCCAATAACCTTGTTGACAAAATGCGTATTTTTAGCCTTATTGGCAAAATGTGTTATAGGCTTTTTGACGAAATCTGTTAACTGTTTTTAGGCGTTTAGTTTTTTTCAATTTTTGTATTTAATTTCAACTTTTACATATTTTGATTTTAGGTGTTTTTACGCATTCTTATACGCAAAAATTACAAATGGCAAATCAACCTAATATCAACGAAACGACTTCAGCAACTCCTCCCTCAAGCAAAATACGTCCAAAACTTGAACAAATTCAAAAACAGCCGTCGACAAAGCGAAGACGTTTAGCAGTTAAAGATGAGGAAGTAAATGAAGAATCTGGGGAAGATTTTTTGGTTGTTGATGATGGCGAATTGGATGTGACTACGATTAAAAAAGATGAGCAACATAATATTGGGTTAGAGGATGATGATGGTGAAATTGTTGAATTTGGGAGAGGATATACAAATAAAGGAGCTCTTTGTATTTGGCACAATGGTATTTTTATTAAAATTATTTTTGGTTTAATTTTCGAATCATTGAGTTGAATAGGATCATGGGTCGGTTGTTCAGAGAAAACCCAGAAGGGGAAACTCTGGAAGTTCTGGAGAAACCCAGGCTTGGTTAGGGAACTTCAGGGGGAAGAGTCAAGAGGGCTTGAAGATTCCTGACAAAGCTTGTGGATCTTTATCCCAATCCCTGACATTCTTTTCATCTTCTGGTGTCTCCGTGTCTTTCTGAAATCCGTTCTAGCTCAAGGGATTTTTTCAAGGGGAACCACTTGAAGACAATAACCTGAGGATTCTCCTGTTCCTTACCTAGACATTTTTATCTTTTGAGGTTTCTTGACACGGTTCTTATTGATATTAAGGACCGGGATCCAGTTCATCTCAATGAATTCGAAAATCTTGGCAAAGTTTTTCAACCTTGAATTTTTTTTAATATTATTTCTTAAAAAGGTTATCGTTATGTACGTGTTAGACATGATGGTCCATATTGGCGTTGTACTGAAAGCAAATGTCCTGCTAAAGCTTCCGCTGTCGAACATTCAGATGGAAGGATTGTAGGCAAATTAAGATTAGAACATTCTCATTTACCTCAACCAGAACGTCGTTTGGCAGAAATTAAGAGGCACGAATTAAAGCAAAGAGCTAGAGAAGATCCAAATTTGAACAGAATTAGATTAATTGCAAGCATTCGAGCTGGAGTTGATGATGAAACTTTTGTGGCTATGGGATCGGATAATGCACTTGGAATTATGGCTTATAGGTTTGTTAAAATTTATTTTTTTCGGGGTGGAAATGGGTTTCCAATCCTCTCCATACTCCAATCTTTCGGTTCTAGCATCCCTGCGGACTAACTTTAGGAAAAGGGGTTCTCAATCCCATAATAATTGCTTCCGACTTATTGCTGGTTCCGGGATGAGCTTCCATAAATCAGATAAAACCTGGGGACTCCAGGTGCTCCCAATTCTCGTTTTAAATTTCATTTTTTGAGGCCAAAAAGTGCTTCTATAAATGCACTCTTTAGTGCTTTCCCTGTTCCAACCTTTTGACTGCTCCGGGATTTGCCCACAATTTTTCCACAGCTTACAAGTCTAAGGACACTAACCTTTCTCTAAAATTTTAATGAAACCCATTTTTTAGAGAAAAAGCGAAATTATATGGCAAAGGAACTTCAAAAATTTCAGCAATTGATGTTATGTCAATACGTTTTCCACAGCCACTAATTGAGAGAGGAGGTCAATCAATTCTACTTTATGATTCTAGAAATGTTAGAATACACGATAATAAACCAGTTTTTGTGTTTGCACATCCATATGTTTGTTTTTTATTTTTAATTTGGGTTTTTTGGGATTTTTCAAAATTTGCGGACACTAATTGTCCGCAAGTGGAACAGTCGTTCCTCATTTACTTCCGAGGAAAACAGTCGGGCCTTATTTTACTTAACTTTAAGGAGTCGGACCTCATATTTTGATTCTGTTAATTGATTTTTGGGGACTTTTTGCGGACTCATTTTCGTCCGCAAACGGTGTCCGCAAGGAGTGTCCGAGTTTTTGTAAAACAGTCGGGCCTCACTTGCTTCACTTTAATAAGTCGAACCTCATATTTAGATACTGTTAATTGATTTTTGGGCGATTTTTCGAGAACCCTGTACACTTTTTGCGGACACCTTTTGTCCGCAAGACAGTCGGTCCTTATAGTAAGATACTTTCAATGAGGAGTCGGACCTCATTTTAAGATAACTCATACAGTCGGACTTCATCATAGCATATGAATATCAACTTTTAATAGATTGTCAATGTGTTTAAGCAATGCCCTTCTGTTTAAGGTACACCTTATTATAAAATACTATTTTTTTGACCACAGAGGGTGTCTTTAAGTGATTTTTCATTCTAAAAAATTTTCTGCCAAAAAATTGTTTTTATAGATGCTTTCACAACTTTCTGCCCAATCAATTTGGGCAATTGGTTCAACATTCAAATCAGCCCCAAAACCATTTAAACAATGTTTTATTATTGGTGCAATATTTAGAAATCAATTAATAATAGCTGCACATGCCCTCCTACCTGAACATTCAGAAGAATTTTATACTGAAGCTTTGGAAGCAATTTCTAATGCGGTGGAGCCAGCAAAGCCTCGAAAAAGTTTGAATTTTAAAAATTGGGGTTTTTGGTGTAGTTGGTTATGTGTGGGTTTTCTCCTCAAATAGGTCGATGGTTCGAACCCCTCCTGGGGAATTTGATTTTTTTAATTTATTTTTGGATGAAAAAGGTAAAATTGATCATTTTGGGTTGATAAAATAGTTTTTAAATTTTTAAAAAATATTTTTTAAAGTAATAACTGATTTTGAAAATGATATGGTTGTAGCAGCACAAAAAGTTTTCCCAGAAGCTTCAGTTAGTGGATGCTATTTTCGTTTTGCTCAAGCTTTATTTAAAAAATGGAGAGAATTAAAATTAGGAGCAATCTATGGATATGAAAGAAGTTTGGCTGGAAATATTGCGAGAATGACATTTCGGTTTTTTAATATTTTTTTAGCTATCTAGGGGTTGTAAAGGGCCTTTTTGACCTTTAGGAGTGGGCACATTTCAGTTTAAGTTACGTTTCATAAATTTGGTTGGCCATATTTTGTAGAATCTTTCTAGGCAATACGTCACATTTAGGCACGTATTTTTGGGTTGACGGTTTTAAAAATAATTCCTCCTGGCTATAGCTCCAAGTTGAGATCCCTTCATTTTATTAGATAGAATTTCTTCGGCTCCAAGGTCTGAGTGGGAAGCAGTTTACTTTCGCTATGTCATAGGGAATAGGCAGGCCTGTGGCTTTTCCTTCCTTGCCCCCCCCCACCCCTCTTCTCCGAAAGAATTCTGGTTACGGGCCTGAGCTAGGTTCTGAATTTTACAGAATCTATTGGATAGGGGGTCTTTGAACACTATCCATGAGGTATTATATTTTCTCTATTTATTTTTACATTGATCAACAAAAATAAATTTAATATGTTGAGGAAATGACATTTTATCCCAAAAATCATTAGCCTAAAATAAATTTTCTAAATTATTTTTCAAATAGTCGATTACTATGTTTGGCACTTATACCACCCTCTATTGTTACTCGAGCATTTTATATAATTGTAAGCGATGCTTTTCAAATCCCAGAATTGGCAAGGTTTTTATTTTACTTCAAAAGAACATATATTGGCTTGACCGATTATGAATTTCAAATGAACTCTGAAGCGTTTGGATTAAGTTTTGGAGAAAATTTGGTATTTTCTTCGTTGGGACCGGCATTGGATTATTCAGGTTTATTATGTTGTTTTTTGGTAGAAGGGGGGATAGGGTGACATTTTATCCCAAACTTTGATTTTTTGGATTCTGGTAGACGCTTTACTTCTAATGTTTTTCGACAATTTTTTAAACCTTCCGGTCCCTGACAGTGTAGTCTCTTTAATTCTTATTATATCCCATTTTTTTTTGATTATTTTTGGATTCTGGGATGTGAATTTGTTTGAAAAAAATTTTTTTAACCTTTGGTCTCTGGCACTGTTGTCTTTAAATTCTCCTTAAAATACACCCGATGATCCTTAAATTTTATTAGCCTTGACAAAAGATCAAATAATCTTATTGAGCAGGCTTCTAATAGGGTATAGGCAGCATTTGTCCGCAAATGTTGTCCGCAATTATTTTTTAGAAATATTTAAAATTTTCGAAAAATTTTTTTCTCCAGATGTTAATGTTGCTCATGAAGAGCATGTTTATTGTGCTCCACCACCTCGTTATGAAATACAACAACAACTATCTTCGCCCGAACCAGTTACCATGTTAGAATCCGCAACACTTTTAAACATTGATGAACCAATAATACATGAACCTTATTGTCCGATTGAATTTTGGAATATTAGTGAAAGGGCAGCGTCAGCTCTATTAAATACAAATTATGCAATGGAAACAGCACATTTTCAAATTAAGGTTTTTTTTTAAATTTTTTGGGGATTTTTTGGGAGGGGGAAGGCTGGGGTTGATTTGCAAATATTGTCCGTAATTTTTTTCTATCATTGAGGGAAGAGGCTTTTTTCTAGGGTTTTTTGGGAGGGCGGGAAGGCCGGCTGGGCCTTTTTTCGCTGAAATTTTTATAGGGAAGGGGAAGGCTGGTTGGTCCTTTTTTTCGATTTTTTGAGGAGATGAAGGTTCTTTTCTCGCATATTTTTGAGGGATTTATGAAGATGGGATGATCTCTTTTTGGGGTTTTTGAAGCAAATGGTGTTTTTTTTCTTATTTATGAACGAAATCGGGAGAATTGGGGACTTCATTTCCTTTCATTGAGGGAAAGAAGTGTCAAGTTTTTTGTGGTTTTCTGAACATTTGATACCTTTTTTTGCTGAATATTGAGATCATTTTCGTTCAATATTCAGACCAAAATAGTCAAAATGCTTTGGCAAGGGTACCTGACTTACCACTGTATTTATTTCCTTAGTTTTGAAAGTCTTCAAGTTTGTCCGCAAATGTTTGTCCGCAAAAAAATTTTTAAGCTAATCTTTAATAATTTTTTCCTTTAAGCAAAACTCCAAATATCAATTAACATTACCAGACTATTTATTAGCCTTTTGGGATGATTTTGAAAGGCAACGAGATAATATTCGATCAGTTGCAATTTCAAATAAAAAGAGGAACAGAAAATATATAATAAAAGAAGAATTGGTAGCAAGTACATTAAATGAAGCTTCATATGAAACTGACCAAGCAATCTTAAACACTTTGGATATGTTGTCTCATCATGTCCAAGGATATGTTAATGGATTACATTTTGATGTTAAAAGTGAAAAAACAAGTATGTGTTCTTTTGTAAATGAAAATTTTGTTGTGGAGGATGAAACAAAAAATATTATTTATTTATTTATTTATTTATTTATTTACACCACTAGGGTGTGACAGTCAAAAATAAAACAATTTAAAGTGAAATTACGAAAAATAAAAATGCTAATAAAAAATGTCCTTAAAATAAAAATCAAAGCAGCTTAGCAAATAAAATTATCTCATTTGTCATTTAAGATATTGGAAATATCCAACTGTTCAAGAAGTTTAGAAAACATTTTGGGTGTATTTTTTTTAATTTCTATAGGAATTAGTGAATAAATTCTAGCAGTTCGAACAAAAAAGGAGTTGTACCGAATCATGGTTGAACAACGTGTTGGTTGTATTTTATATTTTTCGCCCCTAGTTTTTGTTTGTTTTATGATATAGGAATTATTATGGTTAATTTTAATTTTCCCAAATATATTTTGATGAAATAGCTTTAAATCAGCTTTAAGTCTTCGACTTTCAAGGGATTCTACTTTGAAATGTTGTAAAAGTGTTTTGTATGGTGGAATATCTTCTATTTTTACCTTTGTGATTCTTTTGTAAACAAATCTTAAATATCGTTTTTGTATGTTTTCTATTAATTTAATGTTTTTCTTAGTTAAAGAATTCCAAACCGGTGACCCAAATTCTATAATTGACCTTACGTATATATTAAATGCTTCTATAAGAATTTTAGGATCTTGTGATTTTAGAGATTTAATTAATGCATAGCAGTTTCTATTGGCCCTTAGAGATATTGTTTGAATATGTTTATTAAACTTGAATTTAGAAGTGAAGAAAATTCCGAGATCCCTATTCTTGTCTTCATTACTAATTTGGAATATTTTGTGGTTTCCTATTGAGTATTGTAATTTAGGGTTTGATTTACCTATATATAATACTGAGCATTTATTTAATGATATGTTGAGACCATTGGTGTTACAATATTGAATGAATTTATTAATAAATAATTGTAAAGAATTGTTAGATAAATCGGTTTTTTTTAGAATTTGATAGGCTTTGATGTCATCGGCAAATAATTTTATTTTTATTTCAGGAGTGTAACAGAATGTTGGTAAGTCCGATAAGTATATATTAAAAAGGAGCGGGCCTAAGATAGATCCTTGCGGAACTCCACTAGTAATAGAGAATTGTTCAGAATATTCATTTCCTATTTTAACAACAGATTTTCTGTTGTGTAAGTAATTAGAGATCCATTTTAAGAGTGATTTTTCAATTCCTATTACTTTTAGTTTTGTTAAAAGACGTTCATGGGGTATAGAATCAAAGGCTTTAGCTAGATCGAAATAAACTATGTTTATTAAATTTTTATTATCCAATGCAAATGATATATCATCTTGAACCTCAATTAGTTGGGTAGTGACGGATTTGTTTGGTCTGAATCCATGTTGACAATCTGGTAATATACCATTTTGTTCAACATAAATTGATATATGGTTTGCAATAATTTGTTCAATTACTTTTGTGATTGAACATAGTAATGAAATTGGGCGAAATTCTTCTATTTTGGGTATCTTTAATGTTTTTGGTATTGGTATTATTATACTTTGCTTCCATATTTCAGGAAGTGTTGAAGTCATTAATGAATAAGAAAAAATATAATATAAAGGATAATAAAGACTTTTAGCGCATTTTTTAAGGAATATACATGGTATTGAGTCATAAGAAGAGTTAGTTTTTTCAGGTAGCTTAGAAAGAAGATCAAAGATTTGAAGTTCATTTATGATTACGGATTGACATGTATTTTGATTTGTTATAGAGTTTAGATCTGCATTGTCTAATGAATTTTTATTAAATACAGAACTAAATTGGGTACTTAGAATTTGTGCTATTTTATTATCAGCGTATACTAATTGATTATTTTTATCCAAAATTGAAGTTATTTTCCTGTTTTTGGATTTAAGAAATGAAGAGATGTATGAGAATTTTTGACTGATAGTTTGTGTTTTATGCTTTTCTCTATTTTTTAAAAATTTGTTAGTTTCAGAATCTATTCTTTTTGATACATATGAGATTTTACGTGTTAGCTCTGGCGTGGATTTTTGTTTCCACAGATTTTTTAGATATAATGTCATTTTTTCAATGTGTTCGGGTTTTTTGAGATTGTTAGATTTTACTTTAGATTCGGGAACAAAGGAACAAATAACATTATGTATAATCGATTGGAAAGTGAAATATAGTTGATTTATATCAGAGCATTGTGTGAATACTAGATTCCAGTTTATTGTTGAGAAATGTGCATTAATTATTTCATAGTTAGCTTTACGAAAATTTGGATATGTATAATTATTATCTTGGTAATTGTTAGTAGAAGATATTTCAAATTCTATTGTATTATGGTCAGATTTACTTATAGGCGGATTGATTGTTATAGCCTTTATTAATTCATCCTCATTAGTTAATAGTAAGTCTAATATATTTACTCCTCTAGTGGGTTTATCAATTTTTTGTTTTAGTCCTAAACTTTGAATATATTCTAAAAATAATGTTTCTTTGGTATTTTTGGTTTGAGTACTATAATTTTCCCAATCGATATTGGGTAGGTTAAAGTCTCCTAATAAGATAAGTGGGTAGGATACAGCCGATATATCATACAAGATTTGCAAGATAGATTTAAAATCCTTAATGGTTTCTTTAGTGATTGATCTATAAATCAAAATAATACGAATTTTTTCATCTGGGGTTAATAAATCTATACAAGATATCTCTGATAAAGTTTGGGGGATTTCTATTTTAATAAATGGTATTTTATTTGATATAAATAAGCAAGTTCCTCCACCCCTACCATTGGCCCTATCAGTTCTGATAATATTATATGGGGTACCATGTAGTAAAAGATTATCATCAACTATATCAGTCAACCATGATTCAGTAACCCCTATTAACTTATAACGGTTTTCTAATAACAGAAAGTGTAAATTTGACAATTTGTTTTTTAAACTTCTTGAATTAAAATATAAAAAATTAATAGTATTTAATCTATTTAGATTATTTTTTTGAAGTCAGATTTTTTTATTTTTTCTAAAAATGTGAACCTCCGATCTTAGAATTACTGCTTCTCCATAAACTATCCAGTCCAATTGAGGGTTCTCCATTCTCTTCTTTTTGCACTCTTCAATTAGTTCCCTTCGTCGCTGTAATTGTTCTGGTGTCATTGAGGCACGCATATTGACTTGGGGGAAAGATTTCTTGCCATTTGTTTTCCATTTGTTGAGAAGTTCACGCTGAAATTTTCTGGATGGTAAAACAATCTTTAAAAGACGGGCATGACCATTATTGGGTGGGTTAGACTGACGTCCCATACGGTAAAAAAACCTGGGTGCGCACTCAACCCCCACCGAGTCGAGTAAACTTGTTATTGTTTTGGAGTCATCCGCCATTTTCTCTGATGGAAGTTTTTTTGTAGATTCCGTCAAACCAGTCACAACAACACTTCTTTCGCGCTCTAGCTCCTCTGCTGAAATAGTGTTTAATTTTGTTGTTCCTGAAAAATATCCATAAGGTTTTTCTTGTTGTTTTTCTTTAAGTGAATCGATTGATTTACTAAGAAGGTTAAATTGTTCAGTCAGAGTTTTAATAAAGTTTAATAAAATCGGAGTTTGCTCTGTTGTCATAGACGGAATAAAAGTATTGATTGTTGTTAGTGTTGTTTTCACCAAATTGACTTGACAATCAATAAGAAAATTAAGAGAATTTGGATTTTCGTTGTTGTTGCTATTATTGGAGAGAGGCGAAAAATTGGCCTCTGTTGCTGTCCGTTTTGCAGAAATTTTATTTGTAGACATTTTTCCATCAATTTCCATTTTTTTTAATCTCTCAAACTTGGGTAATTAAACCTCTGGAAGTGTCCCAAGTACTTCCAATACAAATTATTGCTGATTTTATGCTTTTATATTTACTCCATATGTATTAATTTTTTTGTAAAAATGACTATATTTTTTCGTGCATTTTATACGTCTTTATAAAAAAAATGTTTAGAATTTTGACATATTTTGGCATTTTGTTCGATTGTCATTTTGTCTAGGTGACATTTTGTCTTTCTGTCGATTGGTATTATGTCTTTGTGACGTTTTGGGGTTTTTGTACAATTGGTATTTTGTCGTTGTGGCATTTTAACGTTTTTATTCGATTGGCATTTTGTCCTATTTTAGGGTTGATGACAATTGTCATTTGGTAATATTTTCCTAAGGTTGACATTTTGTATATTAGGTGTTCTCAGTTTATTCCTCTAATTGCCTGCATTTTTTATTTTTTAATACTCTCTAGTTTATTGACATTTTGAAAGTGGCCATTTTACCGTAGTCTAGTTGGTAAGAGAACTAGTTGGGAGAAGAGCTATTGACGTTTTGGCCTACTCTAGACTAAAAAATCTATTGACCGAGAAGGATGTGACCAAGTTTGTTGGCATATTTCTTCACAAAAATTTGTGTTGAGAATCATTTTATTTTTGGGCCTTTTCTCTTTTTAACCTTTTTTTTCTTGTTAATTTTAAGATTTTTAAAATGAAAGAAACTGCTGATATTAAACAAAGTCCAAGTATTATTCGTCCAAAATTAGAACAAATCCAACGACGTTCGTCACCTAGAAAACGTCCGGCACCCAAAATTGAAGAATCTGAACATGTTGTAGTTGATGATATTATTGAACCTGTTGTGCCTGAAAAACAACAAAAAACGGAGGAGGAGGTCCCACAACAAAAACAAGAAGTAGTTGAATTTGTGAGAGGATTTACTAACAAGGGAGCAATTTGTATTTGGCATAACGGTTTGTAAAAAAATTTTTTTTGAAATTTTGTAAGGTAGAAGGGGATACAGGTTAATATTTAAGAAGGCGTCCTGTGCAGGGGTTTAAGATAGTATTAAAAAAGGGATAGGGGAAGTGGCGTCCATGAAGTTCTGTCGGTAATAGGGCAACTGTACCAAGGAGGGGATGGCTTCCACTTTTTATAATGCGACAGGACCTGTACCAGAAATGGGGCGGGTACCCGAAACCTGGCTCGTCATTTTTTTAACCAGACTCACCTTTTTACATGTTGGTGGAAAACGCATATCGTTAACTGAACGGAAGTCGCAGGTGGAGGATCTGGGGGGGGGGGCCTATCAGGGGCTAAGACTTCCTCTCATGGGTCAGTCTTTTCCTGGAGATCCAGAAAAAATATAAAACTAGGCTAGGTTCGAAAAGACTGACTCTAATGAATTTTACAAAAAAATTTTTTTAAAGGATTTCGCTATCACAAACATTATGGAACTTATTGGCGTTGTAGTAACCGCAAATGTCCGGCAAATGCAACAGCTTCTGAACAAGAAGATGGCAAAATTGTTGGAAGAGTACGAAATACGCATACTCATTTACCTCAACCTGAGCAAAGATTGGCTGAAATTAAACGTCAAGAATTACGACAACGAGCTAGAGATGAACCTCATATAAGCAGGGCAACTTTAATTGCAAGTATTCGAGCTGGAATTGATGATGAAACTTTTGTGGCTTTGGGAACGGATGCTTCTCTTTCGCATATGGCTTATAGGTAACTTTTTATTAATTGTCCTGGTCCTTTATATGTTCTCTAGCTGCTTCTCGTACCTTTGTTTCCTATTTTTTATGGCTGTGAGATCTATTCTAGCTTGGGGCTTGGACCTTTACCTGTGTTTTTCTTCCCGTAAGGGCAAGATTCGGCCCATTTAATTGGATTTAAAAATTATTCCAGGCCATTCACTGACTTTCCTAGCTCTCGATCTTACTCTAAAATTTAATAATTTCAGAGAAAGGATCAAACTTTATGGAAAAGTTCGCCCAAACTTAGGATTATCGGATGTCTTGGATGTAAAATTGCCGCCTGCTTTAACCGAGAGACAGGGCCAATCGATATTTTTGTATGATTCAAGGACTGCTCGGGCACGTGATAAAGATGCAGTTTTTGTGTTTGCACATCCATATGTTTGTTTTTTGATTTTTTAAAATTTTATCAAAAAATTTAGATGCTTCAACAACTTGCTGGTCAGACTACCTGGGCAATTGGTTCATCTTTTAAATTGGCCCCAGTCCCTTTCAAACATTGCTTTGTTATTGGAGCACTTTTTAGAAGCCAATTAATTGTTGCAGCACATGCACTTTTGACTGAAAATTCTGAGCAATCCTATATTGAAGCTTTGGATGCTGTTGCTTCTGCTATTAAACCTGCAAAACCTAGAAGAAGTATTTTTTTAAATTTTCCTTATTTTGATTTGTCCGCAAAAATTTGCGGACAATCCGCAAATATTTGCGGACGAACATTTGCGGATTTAATAATCTTTAATTTTTAGTTATTACGGATTTTGAAAATGCAATGGTTGTAGCAGCGCAAAATGTCTTCCATGATGCTCACGTGACTGGTTGTTACTTTCGATTCGCTCAGACATTATTTAAAAAATGGACTGAATATAATCTTGGAGTTATTTATGGAAATGAAAAAAGTCAAGCTGGAAATATTGCGAGGATGACATTTCGGTTTTTTAATTTTTTAAATTTAATGTGGGGTAACTTGAGTGGTTTTTTTTTGTTTTTATTTGGCGACTTATCCACACGTTGCTCTCTAGTTTGAATTAGAGACCGGATGAAGGGGGCGTATGAGAATCGGGATCTTTATTGCCTAAAAAATATCTATCTCTAGTGTGTTTTATTCGATCGTCTGGGTCCTTTCTCGTTCTGAACGACTTAGTTTTTAAATTCTTTGTGTCCCGGTCGAATCCTCATCTATGATTTTTTTGCGAAAATATTCAAGCTAAAATTTAATTTTTTACAGTCGTTTGCTTTGTCTTGCACTCATTCCAATGGCTTATGTTAATAGAGCATTTTATGTAATTACTGAAGCGGCACAACTTTCACAATTATCTGAATTTCTTTTTTATTTTAAACGAACATTTATTGGACTTACTGAACATGAATATCAAATGAAAGCAGAGGCATTTGGATCAAATTTTGGACAAAACTTAATTTATTCGGCACCAGATGAAGAGGAGGAGGAGCAGCACGTTTATGAAGGTTTTCTAAATAAAATATAGGGAAGATTTTTATTCGGGAATTTTTTGACTTTGAGTCAAGACAAGAAAATTGACTAACAAGCAGTGAGGGGAAAGTTCCAAAATTTCTCTGGAACCGGTTCCAGTTCTGGGACTGCTTTTTGAATTTTTTGGTTCCAGTTTCAAACCGGTTCGAGACCTATACCGGTTTCAGTTCCGGAATTGGAAATGGAACCGCATCGGTTGCGGAACTGTAACTTTCACACAAGGGAACATTGTTTACCATGCCGGGGAATTTGATATATTTTTTGGTATCATTCGATGGAGTACCTTCGACTTCCTATTGCGAAGTGATACCAGTTTTTTATAAAAATGACTCTGGGCGAGTTATGGCCAGTCAAATTTTAAGTCCATGGGAGTGGATTTTTTTATTCATAAAAACATGACTCTTGCCAATTAAATAAATTTTCTCTATATTTAGAAGGCACTTATGAAGAACATGTTTATTCTCAACATATACGCTATGAAATGCCTCCACCACATTCGTCATCAACAATTATTGTAGCAAATCAGTCGCCAGCATTTTTGCAACCTTTGCGCCATAGCCCATATTGTCCTTTGGAATTTTGGAATATTAGTGAAAGGGCGTCAACTGCTTTACTTAATACAAATTCTGCTATGGAAATGGCACAATATCAGATTAAGGTTTTTTAAAATTTAAATAGGAAGGTGAGGGTGACAATCCTTGGTGTGGGTTCCGCACCACTCTTCTAGTGTGGTGCGTTCTATGAGGACTTTTTTTCGTTTTCCGATTTAACAGGGAACTTCCTTTAATATGGCCAATAATTTCCCATTTATTATTCACCTTCATTTATATGATGTTCGAATCACTGGACCAAATTCTTGCTTTTCTGATTTTTTGACCATTTTCGGATATTTATGAATTTTGGGTTATAGTTTAGATGGCTCCTTTGTCAGAGGTGGGTCGGAATTCCGACTTCTAATGTTTTTTTTCCTTTCGATTTCCGAAAAAAATTTTGATTTCCGAGTTCCGACTTTTGAGTCGGTTTTGATTTCCGGCTCTTCCGATTTCCGACACCTCTGATTGTTCCGACCCACCTCTGACCCTTTTGTTAGAGGCATTCTTCTCACCGTTATAAAAGATTGATCTTTTTCCGATTCCTTAAATAGGGGGAATCATGTTGGGATTGGCCTAATTTATTACCTAACATAAAAATTCCTTTTTTTAGCAAGGCACAAAGCAAATGCTGTCTCTTCCTGATTATATAATTGCATTTTGGGATGATTTTGAAAGGCAACGAGATAACATCCGTTCAGTTGCAATTTCAAATAAAAAAAGGAATCGAAAATATATAATAAAAGAAGAATTGGTAGCAAGTACATTAAATGAAGCTTCATATGAAACTGACCAAGCAATCTTAAACACTTTGGATATGTTGTCACATCATGTCCAGGGATATGTTAATGGATTACATTTTGATGTTAAAAGTGAGAAACGACACTCTCAAGAGCAACAACAGAGCTCTTGTTCAATCGAAAATGCTGTTGAATTCAATGAAAGTTTAAACAATACAAGTGGTGGTGGACACATACACACACATATGGACAGACTTGTATTTGACTCACCAAATATGAAGCCGAGTACTTCTGGATTTCGTTGAATTTTTTATTAATATTTTTTTTTATAATCTGAAGAGTTTTTTTGGTGTGCGGATATATCGGGACGGACATATCGGGATTGGGGCGACAAAAATAATTTCTAGCGCGTTTACGTTTCTAAAACATAAAAACTCTATTCCTCAACAAGACAATATATTCGGGACCTACGGCCAAGGCCCAGTGGCCGTAGGTCCCGAAATCAGTAGGGTAACTGTTCGTACATTGAAATATCCCGATATGTCCATCCCTGTATGTCCGCGTGCCGTTTTTTGCATATATCCGAAAAATAAAATTATTTTTTTTAAGAATTTTTAAAATTATTTTTTGTTGTAAAAGCTCGATGAAATATTTTTTGCATATTTTTTAATCCACATTTTTCTTACTTTTTAGATTAACAAAAAAAATTTTTCGTTTTTTCAAATGGGAAACCAAACAGAAATTAATCAAAACAAGACTGATGTTCGTGTAAAACTTGAACAAATTCAGCATCGTTCAAATCGTAAACGTTTGGCTCCTAAAGTTGAAGAAGAAATTGTTGAGGATATTGTTGTTGATGACATACCTGAAACCCATTATGAAGAGGCTGTTCAAGAGGAGAAGGAGGAGGTTGAATTTACTAAAGGATGTACGTCTAAGGGTTTTGTTTGTATTTGGTATAAAGGTTAGTTTATATTTTAATTAGCCGTTTAACATTTTTAAATATTTGGCGTGTTATCTGGTTTTTATGGGCTGAGAAGGGGGGGGGCTTTAAAAAAAACTCGGGACGGGGTTTTTGGCCTAAGACAACCAGGGTTATCATAATGCTCGATTACCAGGACCGGAAACTCCAGTCCTGGAAGACTAGGTTCTACCTCGGCTCTGAGCTGGGAAGGGGGGGGGGCTTTGAAAAAATTCGGGATGGGTTTTCGGCCTAAAACAACCGGGTTTAACATATTGCCCGATTACCGGGCCCGGAAACTCCAGTCCCGAAAAATCAGGTTATGCCGCTGCTTCGAAATCTGATTTTAATATTAATAGGCGTTTGACTTCGGGGTGCTCTTTTTTTATAATTTTAAAAAATAATTTTGCATCATGATTTATTTGTCCACACATGTTGTCCGCAAAACTGATTTTTAATTTTAGGCTATCGATACCTGAGATTTGGAAAACAGAATAAGTCTTATTGGCGTTGTAGTAACAGATTATGTAAAGCAAAGGCTATGGCATTGGAAAAAGAAGATGGTAAAATTATTGGAGGACTTAAAGGTACACATAATCATATGCCTCAACCAGAACAAAGATTGGTGGAAATTAAACGACAAGAATTAAAACAAAGAGCGAGAGAAGAGCCTTCTTTAAGTTGTTCAAAGCTTATTGCAAGTATTCGAGCTGGCTGTGATGATGAAACATTTGTGGCTTTGGGATCGGATCATACCCTTGCGAATATGGCTCTAAGGTTTTTTTTCTAGTTTGTGATATATTCGGGGTCTAGTCTACGCAGAAGTTATGGTTGGGTTAAGATTAGGGTTGGACAACACCGGTTAACCGCCCGGTTAATTTCTCCCTGTGGCGGGGCAAAAAGAGAAGAGAAAGTAAGAAAAGAAAGACCAGCCACGGGGAAAAATTGACCGGGCGTTTAACCTGTTTTGTTAACTAGTTAAGATAGTACTCTAGTTAGATAGTACCGAATTAACTTTATATGTCTCTTGGGTAGACTGACCCGCGTTCACTCTTTTTCTATCAAAAATTCATTTCAATTTTAGAGAAAAAGCAAGGCTTTATGGAAAAGGTGTTACAAAAAAGGGTGCCGATATTACGTCTATAAAATTACTACCTTCATTGACGGAAAGAAATGGACAATCTATATTTTTGTATGATTCGAGAAATGTTCGTGCTCGTGATAAAGACGCAGTTTTTGTGTTTGCACATCCATATGTTTGTTTTTTTGATTTTTTAAATTTTATCAAAAAATCTTAGATGCTTCAACAACTTGCTGGACAAACTACCTGGACAATTGGTTCATCTTTCAAATTGGCCCCAGCCCCCTTTAAACATTGCTTTGTTATTGGAACAATTGTTAGAAGCCAATTAATTGTAGCAGCACATGCACTTTTGACAGAAAATTCTGAGCAATCCTATATTGAAGCTTTGGATGCTGTTTCTGCTGCTGTTAGGCCAACAAAGCCTAGAAAAAGTATATTTTTGTTTTTTGGGGGGGGGGGGGGGAATAATTTTCCTAAGTTAAAAAATTTTTTTAGTTATTACTGACTTTGAGGATTTAATGGTTGTAGCAGTACAAAAAGTTTTCCCTGAAACTCATTTAAGTGGATGTTATTTTCGATTTGCTCAGGAATTGTTTAAAAAATGGGCTGAATGTAATCTTGGAAATATTTATGGATACGATAAGGGTCAAACTGGAAATATTGCGAGGATGACCTTTCGGTTTTTTTAAATAAAATTTTTTAAATTAGGATTATTACCGGGAAGAGGGCAGGCTTTACTCCAAGGTCGTAGCCAGTGGGTCGGTTTCAGGAGGGGGGGGGGTAAATTTTTTCCCTTTTCCCCATTTCAGGGGGGGGGGGCTTTGACACTAGAATCTCCCCACTGGCTACGCCCTTGCTTTACTCATTGATTTGAAATTTTTTCCAATTTTCAGTCGTTTGATCTGTCTTGCATTTATTCCACTGGCTTACGTTAACCAAGCTTTCTACAAAATTGTTGAAGCAGCTAAACTTTCACAACTGGCCGAATTCTTTTTCTATTTTAAACAAACTTTTATTGGATTGACAGAGCAGGAATTTAGAATGAAGGCAGCAGCTTTTGGATCGAATTTTGTACAAAATTTAGTTTATTCGGGACCAGAAGGGGAACACATTTATGAAGGTTTAATTTTTTGATGTTTTTCTGAGAATATTTTTCGAGAAGGAACTGTAGGCTATCAAAATTATTCTCAACATGTACGTTATGAGCTGCCATCACATTCTTCCTCAACAATTATTGTAGCAGATCACTTACCTGCATTTATCCAGCCTTTACGTCATCGTCCTTATTGTTCTTTGGAATTTTGGAATATTAATGATAGAGCATCAACTGCTATACTCAATGCAAATTCTGCTTTGGAAATGGCACAATTACAGTTGAAGGTTTTTTTAATTTTTAAATAAGAGAGGGTTGGCGAGACAATTTTAGATTTGGATTACTTTTAGGTTTGGTTTGGGTTACCTTTAGAGCTCCAGTTTTGTACATGCTTTTATCAAAACTTATGCGTCCCATATTTTTTTGGGTTTTTTCGAATATGTTTCTCCGAGTTTTTAATATTTGTTTTGGGTTCTGATTTATTTTTTGGTTTTCGGGATCCCAATGGGATAAAGGAAATAGCCAGGGGGCCGATTTCAGGGTGGGCTAAAATGGGGTTTTCGTCAAAATTTTGGCGTTTATCTTTGGCCCTTTTGAACGATTGTCCTTATTTTTCACATTGTTTCCTTAGCATTCTTTATTTTTATCTAATCACAAATTCTATTTTAGCAAGCTTCAAAATTGCTTCCTTCACTGCCTGATTTTATTCTTGCATTATGGGACGATTTTGAGAAACAACGAGACTACATTCGTGCAGTAACTATTACAAGTACTAGTACTAAAAAAAGAAATGTTCGAAAACATGCGATAAAGGAAGATTTGGTTGTAAATACATTGAACGAGGCTTCTTACGAGACAGACCAAGCAATATTGAATACTTTGGATATTTTGTCTCATCATGTCCAGGGTTATGTAAATGGTTTATATGTTGATGTTAATGAAGATGGAAAATCTGGTGATGATTCTATTGAGTTTAATGAGGGTTTGAAAAAGACTATTAGTGGTGGTGGACGTAAGAAACCAAAACCAAGTACTTCTAGTTATCGCTAATTCGTTTGATTATTTTTTTATTTTTTTATTTAAATTTCTACGGTTTTTATAAATATTTGTAAAAATTTTAAAGAATATTTTTTTTAATAATTTGTTCAAAAGTCAATGAAATATTTGGATTTTATTTTCGTTTAATTCGCTTTTTTTTGACCTTCTAGATTTAAAAAAATTTTTTCAAATGGGAAACCAATCAGAAATTAAGGAAAGTCTAAGTAGCGATATCCGGCCTAAACTTGAGCTAATTCTACGCCGTTCAACTCGTAAACGATCAGCACCTAAAGTTGAACAGGAGGATGAAATGGAGGATATTGTTGTTGATGAAGTACCTGAAATGAATCAACAAGAAGAAACTGCTCAAGAAGAGAAGGACTTTGAATTTACTACAGGATGTACAAATAGAGGATTTGTTTGTATTTGGCATAAAGGTTAGCTTATTTTTTAGTCAGGGTTGAATTTCTCTGGTCGAGCCGACGTAAAGCTAAGATTTTTGAGTCTGGGCTGGTTTTCTTATAATTTTATTTGACTTTTTTAATACTAACAATAAAATTAAAGCTACCTGTTTGCTATTTTCCCGGTACACCTCATTTGAGTCCAAACAATTGTGTCCGCAGGACGGACAATGAGTTCCGTCAATCAAGAGGGATGTCCAGGAGGAAGGAATTTTATTTTTCATCTAATTAGGGTAGCTATCTTGAGTACGATTCAAATTTCGGGGTAGGAATTTGTCCGCAAAATTTGTCCGCAAAGCTTTTTTTATTTTTAGGTTTTCGATACAATAAATCTGAACTCCGAAATTACCTACATTATGATACTTATTGGCGCTGTAGTAACAGACGATGTTCAGCTAAGGCATATACCTTCGAACAAGACGGAAAAATAATTGGATGTGTAAGACATAAGCATAATCATTTGCCTCAACCAGAGCAAAGATTGGTTGAAATTAAACGACAAGAATTAAAACAACGAGCGAGAGAAGATCCTTCTTTGAGTTGTTCGAAGCTTATTGCAAGTATTCGAGCTGGCTGTGATGATGAAACTTTTGTGGCTTTGGGATCAGAAAATTCTCTTGCACACATGGCTCAAAGGTAAACAATATATAAATTAAGAATCTATTCTAAATTTTAGAGAAAAGTCAAAACTTTATGGAAAAGTTAATACAAAGAAAGGTTCAGATATTTTGGCGATAAAATTGCCACCTGCGTTAACCGAAAAGAACGGACAATCAATATTTTTGTATGATTCAAGAACTGCTCGGGCGCGTGATAAAGATGCAGTTTTTGTGTTTGCACATCCATATGTTTGTTTTTTGATTTATTTTCTGTAGCAAAAAAATTTAGATGCTTCAACAACTTGCTGGTCAAACTACCTGGACAATTGGTTCTTCTTTTAAATTGGCCCCAGCTCCTTTCAAACATTGTTTTGTTATTGGAACAATTGTTAGAAGCCAATTAATTGTTGCTGCGCATGCACTTTTAACTGAGAATTCCGAACAATTTTATATTGAAGCTTTGAATGCTGTTTCTGCTGCTGTTAGGCCAACAAAGCCTCGTAGAAGTATATTTTTCATAATTATGCCTTTCGAGGTCTACTTTTGGTTTCCATTACCTTTTTCAATTTTGAGCATATTATAGCCCTGTAACCTCCAAATCTCAGGCCTAGACCATCAAGCAAAATTGACACTTATTTTTGGCTCTCCCGCAATGAGACAAAAATTCGTAAATTTTTAAGTAATTTTTAGTGATAGTTGGCGGACACTATTTTAGCAAATAATCTCCTCAAATTTCTAATTTATCTTTTTTTTTATTTTAGTTATTGCTGACCTTGAAAATTCAGTGGTTGTAGCAGCTCAAAATGTTTTTCCACAAGTCCATATAAATGGTTGTTTTTTCCGTTTCTCTCAAGAATTGTTTTGTAAATGGACTGAATATAATCTTGGAGATATTTATGGAAATGAAGATAGCCAAGCTGGTAATATTGCGAGGATGACATTTCGGTTTTTTATATTTTTTTATTAGGATTGTTACCTGGTTTGGAGGGGAACCTTTGGTAAAATTTGATAAACAGCGCTATCGACTTTCTGGTTAAGTGGGTTAATTTCACTTCCTTTTAGTTGGTGGTTCGAGTCCTTTGAGGAGAAAATCATTTTTCTGTCAAAGATATGAGGTGATATGAAATCTATTCTTACAAAAAATATTTTTAGACGGCTGATCTGTCTTGCATTTATTCCAATGGGATTTGTTAACCAAGCTTTCTACAAAATTGTTGATGCAGCTAAACTTTCACAACTGGCCGAATTTTTTTTCTATTTCAAACAGACTTTTATTGGACTGACAGACCAGGAATTTAGAATGAAGTTAGCAGCTTTTGGATCGAATTTTGTACTTTATTCGGGACCAGAAGAAGAACACGTTTATGAAGGTTTTTACTTTTTATGACATTTTTTAGGAGATTTTTCAAACTATTTTTAGAAGCAAATGTTGGATATCAAAATTATTCTTGCAATCAACATTTACGTTTTGAGCTGCCACCACATTCTTCCTCAACAATTATTGTAGCGAATCAATCGGCTGCATTTTTGCAACCTTTGCGTCATCATCCTTTTTGTCCTTTAGAATTTTGGAATATTAGCGAAAGAGTGTCAACTGCTATACTCAATGCAAATTCTGCTTTGGAAATGGCACAATTACAAATGAAGGTTTCTAATTTTTTAAATAAAAAATGGGGGGGGGGGGCTATTTTAGACGGTTAAAGGTTTGTTTTATTTTAGCAAACTTCAAAAGTGGTGCCTTTATTGCCTGATTATATACTTGGACTTTGGGATGATTTTGAGAAGCAGAGAGACTATATTCGTGAAGTAACCATCTCTAACACTGGCAAAAAAAGAAATCATCCTCGAAAGCATGCTATAAAAGAAGAATCGATTGTAAATACATTGAACGAAGCTTCTTACGAGACGGATCAAGCAATTTTGAATACTTTGGATATTTTGTCTCATCATATTCAAGGTTATGTTAATGGTTTATATGTTGATGTTAATGAAGATGGAAAATCTGGTGATGATTTTATTGAGTTTAATGAGGGTTTGAAAAAGACTATTAGTGGTGGTGGACGTAAGAAACCAAAACCAAGTACTTCTTCTGGTCTTTGCTAATTTGTCTATTTTTTTTATTTAAATTTATAAAGTTTTTAGGCAAATGTCCAGTTGACTCCCAACCTGTCCGCAATACGCACCTTATCTTTTCATGAGTCAAAGGCGGAAAATGGGCGCCATTTTGCAGAAAAAAATGCAAGAAAAGATTGAAAAGTGTTTATTTTCTTTGCGGACAGGTGGGGGGGAGTCAATTAGACATTTGCCAATATTGTATAAATATTTTGGAATTTTTACTTAATAATTTTGTTCAAAAGCCAATCAAATATTTTTATATTTTTTCGTCTAATCTGTTTTTATAGTTTTCAGATCATTAAGGTTTTTTTTAAATGGGAAAACAAACAGAAATTAAGCAAAGTCCAAGTGATGTTCGCTTAAAACTTGAGCAATTTAATCGTCGTTCGTCACAAAGAAAACGTTTGGCACCTAAAGTTGAAGAAGAAATTGTTGAAGATATTGTTGTTGAAGAAATTATTGAACCTGTTATGCCTGAAACGCATCATGAGGAAGAAATTGTTCAGGAAGAGAAGGAAGAAGTTGAATTTAGTAGAGGATATACAAACAAAGGGGCTCTTTGTATTTGGTATAAAGGTTAATTTTATTTTAGTTAGTTTTATATTTGATAAGGGCTTTTGCGGATAAAATTTTTTATCCGCAAAACTTTGCGGATAAAATTTTTTGTCCGCAAAACTTTTGCGGATAAAATTTTTTGTCCGCAAAACTGATTCTCAATTTTAGGTTTCCGTTACCTTAAGAATCGTGACGTTAATATCAAACATTATAATATTTATTGGCGTTGTGGTACCAAAAGATGTCCAGGAAGCGCATATACACATGAAACGGAAGATGGGAAATTAATGGGAGAATTGAAAAATGCACACATTCATTTACCTCGCCCAGAGCAAAGATTGGCAGAAATTAAAAGGCAAGAACTAAAACAAAGAGCTAGAGAAGAGCCTTCATTGAGTGGTGCAAACCTGGTTGCAGATATTCGAGCTGGAATTGACGATGAAACTTTTGTGGCTTTGGGATCGGATGGATCACTTGCACAGTTGGCAAAAAGGTTTACTTTCTTTAGAGGTTATAAGGCGGCCTTATCTCAAAGGGATTTTAACTAGGATTGTCAAAATCGTGTGACAATTTGATTCGCCTTCTCTCGTCAGGTTAAATGGTAACAAAATCAACTTTAATGTCCTTCACTTGGGACTGACCTGCTTGCTATTCTGTTAAAGATTTATCTTGTTTTCAGAGAAAAAACAAAATTTTTCGGAAAAGGCTGTACAAAGAAGTGTTCGGATATTTTGGCAATAAAATTGCCACCTGCGTTAACCGAAAAAAATGGTCAATCAATATTTTTGTATGATTCGAGGACTGCTCAAGCTCGAGATAAAGATGCAGTTTTTGTGTTTGCACATCCATATGTTCGTTTTTTGATTTTTTTTAAATTTTATCAAAATTTTTAGATGCTTCAACAACTTGCTGGTCAAACTACCTGGACAATTGGTGCATCGTTTAAATTGGCCCCATCCCCTTTTAAGCATTGCTTCGTTGTTGGAGTACTTGTTAGAAGCCAATTAATTGTTGCTGCGCATGCACTTTTAACTGAAAATTCCGAGCAGCTTTGTATGGAGGCTTTAAATGCTGTTGTTGCTGCTATTAGACCTGCAAAGCCTAGAAGAGGTATATTTTTTTATTTTTTTTTTGACGTTTTTTTGGCTGATTCAGAAAGCTTCTTTTCATTTTAGTTATTACTGACTTTGAGAATTCAGTGGTTGTAGCAGCACAAAATGTTTTTACTGAAGCTCATGTTAGTGGATGTTATTTCCGTTTCTCTCAAGAATTGTTTCGAAAATGGTCTGAATTTAATCTTGGAGATATTTATGGAAATGAAGATAGCCAAGCTGGAAATATTGCGAGGATGACATTTCGGTTTTTTTCTGCAAATATTGTCATGTTGGGTTAAGGGGATTTTTGGTGTAGTGGGTTAGTCCTCTATCTTTTAGTTGGTGGTTCGATTCCCTATTGTGGTAAATTATTTTTTTATTAATTTTTAATAAGATGCGCTGACAATCTATCCCAATTTACACACAATTTTTCTCTTATTTTTTCAGTCGAATTATTTGTCTTGCACTTATTCCAATGGCTTATGTTAATCAAGCATTTTACAAAATTGTTGAAGTTGCTGGACTTCCACAACTGGCCGAATTCTTTTTTTATTTCAAACAAACTTTTATTGGACTGACAGACCAGGAATTTAGAATGAAGGCAGCAGCTTTTGGATCGAATTTTGGACAAAATTTAGTTTATTCGGCATCAGGGGAAGAACATGTTTATGAAGGTTTTTTTTTAATTTTGATGTTTTTTTGAAAATATTTTTAAAAGCAAATGTGGCTTATCAAGATTATTCTCAACATATACGTTATGAACTCCCACCACATTCTTCTTCAACAATTATTGTAGCAGCAAATCAATCCCAACCTTTACGTCATCGTCCTTATTGTCCTTTAGAATTTTGGAATATTAGTGAAAGAGTAGCAGCCGAAATAGTTAATGCAAATTCTGCAATGGATATGGCACAATTATACCTCAAGGTTTTTTTTAAATTTTTAACTAGGAGAGGGATGTGAGATTGATTTTGGGTAGTATCCGGAATATTTGGTTCTACCAGATAATTGGGCCAGTAGGATCTCTGGGGTTGTGTGTGTTTCATAAAGGGGTTTATGTGATCCTTCAAAGTCTTCGTTGCTTCCGCACTTGAAGAAAGAACATACCTAAATGGAAATAAATAACCCATCACCGGGTTGGATGGTGGCTTGTGCTTCGGTTTGGCCCTTTCCATGTTGGTTCTATTCCATCTCCCACCCAATGAAATTATCCACAGCAATCTGATCTTTTTATTTAATTACAAATTTCATTTTAGCAAGGCTCTAACAATAAATTGCTTCCTTCACTCCCTGATTTTATTCTTGCACTTTGGGATGAATTTGAGAAGCAACGAGACTACATCCGTGCAGTAACTATCTCTAATAATAAAAAAAGAAATCCTCGAAAGCATGTAATAAAAGAAGATTCCGTTATAAGCACTTTAAATGAAGCTTCATACGAAACAGACCAAGCAATTTTGAATACTTTGGATATTTTGTCTCATCATGTTCAAAATTATGTTAATGGTTTATTTTTTGACGTTAAAGAAATTGGAAAATCTGGTGATGATTCTATGGAATTTAATTCAAGTTTGAACAGTAGTAGAGGTAGTATTGGACGAAAAAAACCAAAACCAAGTACTTCTGGTTTTTGCTAAATTTTTTTTTATTTTTTTTATGGGAGCAGGCCAACGTGCCGCGAGGCCAACGTATCGCAGAGCTATAACTTCGTTCAAAATATTCGAATCCGGGATGCTTTGATATGGTTCGATGCATCTCGATGAGCTGAATCGAACCATATCAGTGTGTCTCCGATTCGACCACTAGCGAAGTTATAGGTCTGCGGTACGTTGGCCTTGCGGTACGTTGGGATGTACCCATTTTTTATTGTGTATAAAAAATATCTAGAAAATTTTAAAGAAAATTTTATCAATTTTTGTTCAAAAGGCAATGAATATTTTTTTAAGATATTTGTTTAATCTGCTTTTCTAGTTTACAGATCAGAAAATTTTTTTCAAAAATGGGAAAACAGACAGAAATTAAGCAAAGTCCAAGTAGTATTCACGTAAAATCTGAACAATTTCAACGCCGTTTGTCGCCAAGAAAACGTCCGGCACCTAAAATTGAAGAAGAAATTGTTGAGGATATTGTTGTGGATGATGGGCCAGTCATGATGCCTGAAACACACCACAATGAAGAAACTGTTGAAGAAAAGAAGGAAGAAATTGAATTTGTTAAAGGATGTACGAATAGAGGATTTGTTTGTATTTGGCATAAAGGTTAGTTCATTTTAATATTTACATAAAAGATGGTGTTAGGGAAAACTAGTGACGGGAGCCGGAAGGATTTTTCCGGCCTTAGGGTCTTTTTCAGTTAGGTCTTTAGTTAGGTCTCTCTGGGGTTTTTTTAGATTTCCGGACTAAAACCGGACAGGATTTATCCGGAAAAATCCAGCCGGATCCGAACCGGCTCAAGGTACATATTCGGAATTCGGGTCCAGCAAAATCGATTTTGCCGTTCACTAGAGAAAACACAAGGCTTATTGTTAGAAAATTTCTCGGATCGGTTATCGGGTTTAGGATTGCTAAACTATCCCGAAGTATTTTGTTCTGGATAACCCGTGGTATTGCCGGTTTACATACTGGCAAATGACTTGAGCGCATACCCTCTTTTACTTTAATAAAATTTTGCAGACAACTTTTTTGTCCGCAAAATTTGTCCGCAAAAATTATTTTTAAATTTTAGGTTATCGTTACGTTAAAAATCGAGACGTTAAAGTCAGACATTACAATACATATTGGCGTTGTAGTAGCAAAAGATGTCAGGCCAAGGCATTTGCATATGAGACGGAAGATGGGAAATTAATGGGAGAATTGAAAAATACGCATAATCATTTGCCTCAACCAGAGAAAAGATTGGCTGAAATTAAAAGGCAGGAATTAAAACAACGAGCTAGAGAAGAGCCTTCTTTAAGGCGTGGTGATCTTATTGCAAGTATTCGAGCTGGAATTGACGATGAAACTTTTGTGGCTTTGGGATCAGATGATTCACTTGCACGGCTGGCTTCAAGGTTTGCTTTTTCATTTTTCTGGGTATTTTTGGAACTAGGGTGTTCTAGTCTAGCACAGAACTTCTAGCTAGAGTTCGGCGCGGGACGGGATCCCGCGCGGGTTTTTGCGGGATCCCGTCCCGCAGTCTCACACTTTTTTGTTTTGCGGGAATGCGGGATTTATCTTGCGGGATCCCGTCCCGCAAAGTTTTAAAAATAATCGCGCATGCGGGGTCCCGCAAACACGATTTTCCGACCTATGCTTCTACCAGGACTTTAAAATTCGTGTCTCTATTTTGGTATGATTCGACGTCTCTTGTCACACTACTAACTTAAAATGGGGTCAGAATCATTTGGTGTTGCTCTGTGGTAGACTGGCCTGCCTTCTTCCTTTTATCAAGAATTTATCCTTATTTTCAGAGAGAAAGTAAAGCTTTATGGAAAAGGCAATACAAGAAAGGGTTCAAATGTCATGTCTATGCAGTTGCCACTTGCTTTAACCGAAAGAAATGGTCAATCAATTCTTTTGTATGATTCGAGAACTGCTCGAGCTCGTGATAAAGATGCACTTTTTGTATTTGCACATCCATATGTTTGTTTTTTGATTTTTTAAAAATTTTTAAAGAATCTTTTAGATGCTTCAACAACTTGCTGGTCAAACTACTTGGACAATCTGTGCATCTTTTAGACCGCTCCCAGCCCCTTTTAAATATTGTTTTGTTATTGCAACTGTTTTAAGAAGTCAATTAATTGTTGCTGCACATGCTCTTTTGACTGAAAATTCCGAACAATTTTATATGGAAGCTTTGGACGCTGTTGCTGCTGCTGTTAAACCGACAAAACCTCGCAGAAGTATATTTTTAATTTTGGATTTAAATCCATATAACTCCCAAATGTGAAGTCAGGACGGAAAGTCGGAACTGGCCCAATATTTTCTGCCATCCTCCACAACAGGGGTGTGTCGTTTTGTCTTTTAAAATCTGTTTCGGCACACCCCTGCTCCGCAGAATGAGTGCCCCCTTTCGTGAGTATCCCATGTAAGCATGAGGTCTAGGTTTTTTCAAAAATTAGCCGTTATGTATATACTTTTTCTGCAAATAATGTCCGCAAATGTCTTTGTAAAAATTTAATTTTTATTTTTTAGTTATCACGGACTTTGAAAATGTGATGGTAGAAGCAGCACAAAATGTTTTTCTAGAGGCTTATGTGAGTGGATGTTATTTCCGTTTCTCTCAGGAATTGTTTCGCAAATGGTCTGAATATAATCTCGCGGAGATTTATGGACATGAAAATAGTCAAGCTGGAAATATTTCGAGGATGACATTTCGGTTTTTACTTTAATTTTTGTGGTGTAGCGGGTTGGGAGATTTATGGTTTAGTGAGTTGGGCAGGTTTGGTTTGTAGTGGGCTAGGGAACAGGACCAAAACAACGCACAGCCATAACAACGCAAATCTATAACTTGCTTCAAGTCCATAACTTGCTTCAAGAGATTGATACCAAGTTTGAATAGGGCCAAAAATTTCCCAGCTATGTAGTTATGCATTGTTTTGTTATGGCTACGCGTTGTTTTTGGCTGTACCCGGCTGTGACGTCCGGTTCATGGAGTAGTGGGTTAGTTTCTCTGTCTTATTATTTGGTGTTTCGAGAGACTTGATTTAGATCTTTTTTTTAAAATCTTTCTTTAGACGGCTGATTTGTCTTGCACTTATTCCTATGGCTTACGTCAACAGAGCTTTCTACAAAATTGTTGAAGTTGCTAGACTTCCACAATTGGCAGAATTCTTCTTTTATTTCAAGGAGGCTTTTATTGGACTGACAGAGCAGGAATTTAGAATGAAGGCGGCAGCTTTTGGATCAAATTTTGGACAAAATTTAGTTTATTCTACACCAGAGGAGGAACACGTTTATGAAGGTTTTTTTTTAATTTTTAAGACATTTTTAAGAATATTTTTTTAGAAGGAACTGTCGGTTATCAGGATTATTTAAACTATGAAATGCCAGCACATGCTTCTTCAGCAATGATTGTAGAAACACCTCCATTTTTGCAACCTTTGCGTCATCTTCCTTATTGTCCGTTGGAATTTTGGAATATTAGTGAAAGAGTGGCAACAGAATTGGTTAATGCGAATTGTGCTATGGAAATGGCACAATTACATACTAGCTCCAAGGTTTTGTTTTGTAAATTAATTTTTAAGGAATAAAAATTCTTTTTGTCTTTCCATTGTTCCCTTAGACTTTTCAGGTTTCCCATTTTTTATTGGGAGGATGTTCTCCCAATTCTACTAACAAGGGGATTGACCCTCCTCTACACGATGGTGGAAAAAAGTAATAAATTTTTGGTGACAAGCTTTGGGTCGGAGTTTTTAATTCGAGATGTTCCATTGTAAATAAGGTTCGTTTCCTGTCAAGCTTTCTTTAATTTTTTGCTGCCCCAACTTGTTATTTGTTAAACTAGGGATAAGAGCTGTTCGAATTTAGGGATAAGAGATGTTCGAAGATGTTCGAATTTAGGGATAAGAGATGTTCGAATTTTTTTTCGTCCAGAACCGCGATCCGAAGAAATTTTGAAACTCCGATCCAAAGCTCAACTTTTTTATTAACTCGAGACATTCCTGCAAACGATAGATTAATTTACACGTTTATCAAATAATTTCTTTTTTAGCATGGTTCTAAATTCCTTCCTTCACTGCCCGATTTTATTCTTGCATTATGGGACGATTTTGAGAAACAACGAGACAACATTCGTGCAGTAACTATCTCAAATAATAAAAAAAGAAATCTTCGAAAGCATGTAATTAAAGAAGATTCCGTTATAAGTACCTTAAATGAAGCTTCTTACGAAACAGACCAAGCAATTTTGAATACTTTGGATATGTTGTCTCATCATGTTCAAAATTATGTTAATGGTTTATTTTTTGACGTTAAAGAAATTGGAAAATCTGGTGATGATTCTATGGAATTTAATTCAAGTTTGAACAGTAGTAGAAGTAGTGGTGGACGTATGAAACAAAGTACTTCTGGATTAAGATGATTATTTTTATTTTATTTTTTTAAATTTTTAATGTAAAAAAAATTTTTTTAATCGAATTTTAGAAAAGTTTTTTGTTCAAAAATTCAATGAAATATTTTTTTATATTTTCGTTTAATCTGCTTTTTTACTTTTCAGATTAACAAAAAAAATTCTTTTAAAATGGGAAACCAAACAGAAATTAAAGAAAGTCCAAGTAGTGAAATTCGCCCAAAACTTGAGCAAATCCAACGCCGTTCAACTCGTAAACGATCAGCACCAAAATATGAACAAGTTGACGAAATGGAGGATATTGTTGTGGATGATGTTGTTGATCCAGTTGTAATACCTAAAGTTGCTGTAGTTGATACGGAAGAGGATGAGGTTGAATTTACTAGAGGATTTACAAACAAGGGATCTATTTGTATTTGGTACAACGGTTAGTTCATTTTTAATTTATAGGGGGTTTGGTGACGTCATCAGGTTGGGCTAGTAATTCTTCTAACGTCTGGTGGGATTCTCGTCCTGGGTTGGAGGACAAGTAACTCATCGATGTTTGTACTAAAGGACTTGTTGGACGAGTTTTACTACTACCCTTTTCTGTACCTCGTCCAAAACGAGTTACCGAAACCGAGCTCTTTTGTCTCGAACTATAGGGTTGTTGGACGAGTTACTTGACTAACTTTTTCCTTAACTCGTCCAGGATTTCGTGGTTGAGTTAACCGAAGCCCGAGCTTTTTTCGACTCAAAACCCGATTCGGTATTTTCTCTGATCCATCCCTAGGTTTGTTTGCTCTTCTATTTCTGTCCGCAAAATTTATCCGCAAAACTTTGATCCCAATTTTTAAGGTTATCGTTACATTAGATTTGGACATCGTGGTTACAAACATTATGATACTTATTGGCGTTGTAGTAACCGTCGATGTTCAGCAAAAGCATTTGCATTGGAACAAGAAGATGGGAAAATAATTGGAGGACTCAAATATACGCATAATCATTTGCCACAACCAGAGCAAAGATTGGCAGAAATTAAACGACAGGAATTGAAACAAAGAGCGAGAGAAGATCCTACTTTGAGTGGAGCAAGTCTTGTTGCAAGTATTCGATCTGGTTGCGATGATGAAACTTTTGTGGCTTTGGGATCGGATGCTTCTCTTGCGCGTTTGGCTCAAAGGTTTATTTTTTTGTATTTTTTTCTATTAGGGGTTTGTTTTGAAATTTTATGGCAAATATTTATAGAAATTATACTAGAGTTAGGAAGACGGGCTCTGGTCTTCTAAGAGCTGGATTTTGTCATTATTTTTTCTTCCGCCATGAGCATGATTAGGTCAGTCTTTTCTTCCTGGGAACGGCTCTGGTCATTGTTTTTTCCTCTGGGAGTGGAACTGGTCTTTGTCCTTTTCCCCATTTTTTGATAGTCCGCGTCATGATATTAGAATTCTCTCCTGATTTTCTTCAGTCTTCCTTCCATTTCACTCCTGCTTTCTTTTAAAATTTTTAAATTTTATCAAGTTAAATTTAACCCAAAAAAATTTTTCAGAGAAAAGATAAAGCTTTATGGAAGATTTACTCCAAAAAAGGATTCTGATATTGTGTCGATTGTATTACCTCTTACATTGACGGAAAGAAATGGTCAATCAATATTTTTGTATGATTCGAGAATTGCTAGAGCTCGTGATAAAGATGCAGTTTTTGTGTTTGCACATCCATATGTTTGTTTTTTGATTTTTAAAAATTTTTCAAAAAATTTTAGATGCTTCAACAACTTGCTGGTCAAACAACTTGGACAATTGCTGCATCTTTTAAATTGGCCCCATCCCCTTTTAAACATTCTTTTGTTATTGGAACAATTGTTAGAGGCCAATTAATTGTTGCAGCACATGCACTTTTGACTGAAAATTCTGAATCATTTTATATGGAAGCCATGGATGCTATTGCTGGTCCTGTTAAGCCGACAAAACCTCGCAGAAGTATATTTTTATGGTTTTTATAATTAGGGTTTTATGAGTCCTATAATTTGCGGACAAAAAATTTTTGCGGAGAAAAATTTGCGGACAAAAATTTTTTGCGGACAAAAATTTGCGGATAAGACGGATTAGAAATCACAGTTTAAATATAAGCTTGGTTGCGGAGAATAGGCTAATTCCATGTTTACTTGATTATTTTTAGGGATCATTGACTGTGTAATGACTGTAGATAGAGCTCTCTCATATGTTTTTCCCTGCAAATATTGTCCGCAAATATTTGCTGATTAAATTAAAATTTTCTCATTTTGGTTTTTATCATCTTTTTCTTTATTTTAGTTATTACGGACTTTGAAAATACTATGGTTCTAGCAGCACAAAAAGTTTTCCCAGAAGCCCATATAAGTGGATGCTACTTCCGTTTTGCTCAGGAATTGTTTAAAAAATGGTCTGAATACAATCTTGGAGTTATTTATGGAAATGAGAAAAGTCAAGCTGGAAATATTGCGAGGATGACATTTCGGTTTTTTAAAATTTTTTGAGTAGGGGTGGTTATCCGAATGCCCCTCGGTATGTCCTTATTATTTCACCCTTTAATATTGATTTTTGTGGTGTAGTGGGTTAAGTATTTGACCAATTGCTTTGTAGTTGAGGGTTCGAGTCTCTTGCCTTTCAAACCATTTTTCTACAAGTTTCGTTCAAATATTTAGATGATAATCCCAAAATAATGCCTTTTTTCTCAAAATCTTTTTTAGACGACTGATTTGTCTTGCGCTTATTCCAATGGCTTATGTTAACCGAGCATTCTACAAAATTGTTGAAGGTGCCAGACTTTCACAACTGGCCGAATTCTTTTTCTATTTCAAACAAACTTTTATTGGACTGACAGACCAAGAGTTTAGAATGAAGGCAGCCGCTTTTGGATCGAATTTTGGACAAAATCTAATTTATTCGGGACCTGAGGAGGAACATGTTTATGAAGGTTTTTTAAATTTATGGGGAGATTTTAAGGCGGGAGATTTTTAAGGGGGTTGTCATTTAAATTATAGTTACACAAAACTATTTAACCGCCCGGTTAATTTTTCCATGTGGCGGATCAAAAAGAAAGGGGAAAAGAGAAAAAAGTCCCGCCACAGGGAAAAATTAACCGGGCGGTTAACTGTTTTTATGCGACTCTAATTTAAATACTAGTATCTATAGATTGAGAGAATTGAGCCTGATTTTGGGTCCGGACTTGATTTTTGCTGTAACTTTTATTTTCATCAAGTTCTCTTTTTTATTTCCAATCTCTAATAAACAGACAGGGAAATATGTAGAATTGAGTGGGCTGGCTCATTTAGTCTCGTTGAAAAAAGTGATGCTTTAAGGGTCCACTTGTTGATGGATTTTTTTAAAATTTTTTGGTATAGCCATTGGGGAAATTTCTTATGAGTTATAAAATGAACCTTGTTCAAAATTTTTTTGATAAATATTTTTATTATAGAAACAACTGTTGGTTACCAAGATTATACTCAACAACATATACGCTATGAAATGCCGCCACCACCAACACATTCTTCTCCAACAATCATTGTAACTACAAATCAAACACCTCCATTTTTGCAACCTTTGCGTCATCGTCCTTATTGTCCTTTGGAATTTTGGAGTATTAGTGAAAGAGTCGCAACAGAATTGGTTAATGCAAATTGTGCTATGGAAATGGCACAATTACAGATTAAGGTTTTTTTTGAAATTTTTTGAATAAGGGGGATGGTGAAGCATTTTAGGTGAGGGTTACTTTCCCGTGTGGTGCCATGCCAGAGCTTTGGGAAATCATGAGTCCAATAAAAGGGTTTATTAATTCTCAAGAGATTTCAGTGTTTTTTTTGAATTCTGATACATTTTTCTTTGGTGTTTGGGGGCTAATAGAAGACGTGCATACATCTCTATATTTGAGACGCATGTTTGTTAACCGCATGTCTCACATTCTCCCTTACAACGGAGAGTGCCTAGGGGTGTCCGTGGGACTTCGGAATGAAATTTGATAGACAGATAGATCATACCCTACTTTATTTGTGAAATTTTCACCATTCTCGCTGCGGGATACCAGGGATCGAGTTATAAGCCCCCAATGTCTTAGGGGATCCCCCACAGTTTTCTTTTCTATTTTTCATTAAAAAAGATTTTTCTAGCAAGCCAATAATAAACAATTATCTTCATTGCCAAATTGGATATTATCATTTTGGGATGATTTTGAAAAGCAACGAGACAATATTCGTTCACAAGTAGTTTCAAACAAAAAGAGGAATCAACGAAAGCATGTAATCAAAGAAGATTTGGTAGTAAACACATTAAATGAAGCGTCCTATGAAACTGACCAGGCAATCTTAAATACTTTGGATATGTTGTCACATCATGTCCAGGGATATGTTAATGGATTATATTTTGATGTTAAAAATGAAAAAGGACAATTACAACAACAACAACAAGTGGGTGGTGATGATTCATTGGAATTTAATGAAAGTTTGAATAGTAGTAATATTATTAATAGTAGTGGTGTTGGGGGACGTATGAAACCAAGTACTTCTTCCTCTTCTGCTTTTCGATAAGAAAAAAATTTTTTTTTCTGATTTAACATTTTTGCATAAAAAATTTTGAGAAAATTTTTGAAAAATTTGAAGGTTCAGGTGTGTTATTTACACTTGTTAGAGATATTGATTTAAATATAGTTAGTTGGTATTTTGTAATATTTCCCTCTTGTGGTATTTTGAAAACTAGTGTTAATTGTTTTTGATTTTCTCTTGTTTTCCTGTACTATTTCTCGTTTTGTCTTTCTTTATTTTCTCTTATTTCTCTTATCTTTCGAGTGCAAGTGTCTACCTCTACACTTTGAGTTTATTATTGCGTCTCCACATATTTGACCAATTCCACATCTTGCCAACAAGGCTAAAAATACACATTTCGTCAACAAAGTTATTGGCAAAACGTGCGATTTTACCCTCATTGGCAAAATGTCGCATTGGTCAAATATGAGGGAACCCTTTGAGTTTTCCCATTGAATTGTTTTTCTACACTATTTCTCATTTTGTTTTTCTCTTATTTTTTCTTGTATTTTGAGTCTTCTCAAGTGCAAATGTCTACCCTACACTTTGAGTTTTCCATTGATTTGATCTTTTCAGGTCACTTTTCTTGATACTTTTCTGATTAAATCTACACGTTTTTTGATTAATTTTGTTTTAGTATTAGTTTTTTTATTTTGTCAAAAAGTATGGCATTTCCTCCACCTTACAACAATCCAATGATGGCACCGAGAATGCCACAGCCTAATCAGCCAGGTTTTTTCTTAGTAATCTTTGAAGAATTTGTTTCATTTTTCTTTTTTAGGCCAATTTACAGGACAAAAATTTGGATTCTTTTCACCCCAAACAACTATACCAACGATGCCTCCACAAGTTATGCAAATGCAGATTCCACAGTTGCCTATAGTTGGAGGGGTTCAATTGACCTTAAGACCAAATTTTCGACCGTTTGTGAGACGACCGGTTTAAATTTTTTTATTTTTTTCTTATTTTTAAAAATAAGTTTAGGCAGAAGCGCCGCCAACTCAATTCGTCCCGCCCAGACCTGGGCGAAACTCAAAATTTTTTTCTGACGAAACGAAACGAAACAAAATTTTTTTAAAATCGTTTCGTTAACGAAACGAAACGAAACAACCTAAATCTTACGAAACGAAACGAAACAAAACGAAACATTTTAATATTCAAAAAATTTTCAAAACTTCATTTATTTCGCAATTATTCGACCTCAAATACTTTATTAGTCGCCTACGATTTATAAATGATTTAGTTTTTGGTTTATTTACAACAATTTGTCCCATAAGCCAGGCCCGTAGCAAGGAAAATTTTCGGGGAAGGGGGGGGGGGGGGGGTCAATCATTTTCGAAGCCGAATTTTTGGCGACGCTTTTTTTCAAATAAAATTTAATATTTTTCAAGTAAAATTTTATTTTAAGCGCCGCAGACGAAAAATTTTAAAATTTTGAAAGGCCGTAGGCCAAAAAATTCACTATCTTGCTCCATTGCCTACCCAAATTGTCTCCATATCTCCATTTCGAGAGGAGAGCGATATAAGCTAATGCTTCGCCGGAAGTTCCGGTTCCAGTATTTCCGCAACTCGCAATCCGCAATTTTTAAATTATGATGCGAGTCCGGTAATAGAATTTGTCGTCGATTAAGTAATATGTATATGCGGATTAGGGAGTGGAGTATAAACGGATTTGTAGTATATAAGTAATTGATATCTTCCTTTTTCAGCGCCGCAGGCGAAAATTTTTTTAATTTTCAATAAAAGATGGTTAATTTTATAGATTTTGGCCTTAGTTTAGGCTTAAAAAATTGTTTCGTTTCGTTGAAAAATCACAGGTGTTTCGTAACGAAACGAAACGAAACAAATTTAAAAGTGTTTCGTAACGAAACGAGACGAAACAGTAAAAATCATACGAAACATACGAAACAACGAAACGAAACGAAACGTTTCGCCCACGTCTGGTCCCGCCTGTTAAACCTGTTGCGGTCACAACTGTTTTTATTGGTAATATTACTGACTTATGCGAGGATAGTCTTATTCAAGAAATTTTGGGAGTAAGTTTTTTTCTGTAAGATTTTTTGTTTTGGTTTAGGAGGGTGTGGGTTGGAGTGTATAAGTCCCATAAAATTTTATTTGATTGATTTAAGTACCTGTTGAAAACTATTTTTAATTAATCAATAACAAGAAGATTGCCATAGGTCCCATGGTAATATGAACATAACAGCAAGGATGTTACAGAACTAAAGGCATACATTAAAAATAGGGCTGTCCCTTGCTGTGGCGTCTCGAATATGCGTATTTTAAGGACATTTTAGCCCCCACAGACGAAACCCCTAATTATTATCCTTACAATTAGAGAATCAAGTAAGGACATTTATAGGACGAATTCATTCCTGCAGAAATCAAAACCTAAATCACACTGATTTTTTTTGTTTTTTTTTAGAAATGCGGAACTGTCCATACCTGGAAACGTCTTCAAGATCCTAACGGAAACTTTAAAGCTTTTGGATTCTGTGAATTTGTTCACCCTGATGGTACCAGAAGAGCTTTAAGAGTGCTTAAAGATTATCCTCTTGGCGAGAAACGTTTGAACGTTAAAGTATGTTTTTTTTAATTTTTTGATTTTATTTGGTTTTTTATAGGTTGACGACGCTACAGAAAAATATTTGAAAGAATTTGCTGAAAATCAAACACGTTTGCTTGGTATGGACTCGGGTACGCCAAAATCAATAAATCCTGAAGAAGACGATAAACAGCTTAGAGCAGCAATTAAAGCAATCATAGAGAAAAAAGCTCCAGGAATTCTTGAAGTTATGCCGGAAGATGATGCAATAGGTTAGTTTTTTTAGACATTTTTTGGCTGTATATGAAAGGAATGCGGCACTCAATTTTTTCCCTTATTCTTATAAATGGCTAATTTTCTTTTATTTTTCTCTCTATTTTTGATTTTTGCCTACGACTACAAATGCAAAAGGATTAATTTTCTTTTATTTCGTTCGTTTGACTGACCGAGTTCGTCCGTGTTTTAACTGACCGAGCTCGTCCGTGTTTGTCTGTCCGAGTTTGTCCGTGTTTGTCTGTCCGAGTTCGTCCGAGTTTTATGTCCGTGTTTAACTGACCAATGTGTCAGATTGACAAAACGGACGAACTCGGTCAGTTAAAACACGGACACACATCGGTCAGTCAAACGAACGAAATAAAAAAATAAAAGAAAATCCTTTTGCATTTGTAGTCGTAGGCAAAAATCAAAAATAGAGAGAAAAATAAAAGAAAATTAACCATTTTTAAGAATAAGGGAAAAAAATTGAGTGCCGCATTCCTTTCATATACAGCCCATTTTTTCGTCTATATATCAAACCTTTGGAATGATCCACTTGAGAATTATTTTCAAACTTTGTTTTCTATTTTGAAAAAAAAAAGTTTCTTCAAACGGTTCCTAAAAGTTTTTTCAAAAAGTTTCTACACTTTTTTGCAGCTTCATCCATTCTTGGACCAGGAACCACTTCCTGACCAAAAGTGTGGAAACCGTCCTTTGTCCTTCGCCGTTTCCCCTGTGTAGAAGGAGAAAGTTTCTACAAAACTCCCCATTTTTCCCCTTTGTAGAAACTTTTGGAAAGTGCGGGTTTACCCCTAATGCACCGCCGCCTAATGTACTAGTCAGCTCCCCATAGTACCTTCCAATTTTTGAACCGTTTTCGTGAACCATTTTATTTATCGGAAATACTCATGGATTATTCAAATTAATCTAAAGTATCAATTTTAAGGTGATGCAGTTACCAAAGATGGATCTCAAAAAGATGTTGTATCTAAAAGTCCAGTGGATGATGAAACTTCTAAGGTTTGTCAATTCTTTTTTTTCAACTTCTTTTTTCTTTTCTCTTATTTAATCTCTCATTTTTTTGTATCATTTTATCTCAAAAAATTTTTTAAACTTCATTAAAAATCTCTGTTTTTTTCTCTCTATCATTTCTTCCTCTATTCTTTTCTGGTATGTTCTTATTGTTAGGGGAGACTGTGATATCACACACATTTACACACACATTTTTGCTTCTTAATTGTGTCATTTGATCTAAAGCAAACTACACTTGGTGGTAAGTTTTAAAAAAAAAAGTTTTTAAAAATTCAAAAAAAAAAATAAATTTTTTGGGATTTGCTTCAAAACTGAGGTAGTAAAATTTCTTTTAAAAAATTTTGAAAAAATTTGAAATTTTTTATATAAAAATTATTTATATTGGCAATGTGTTCTACGCGTTTTTGTGAGCTTAAAAATTAATTTTATTCTTAAAAAATTTTGAAAATAAAAATAAAATAAATTCACAGACGCTAGAAAATATTATAGAGAAATCAACTAAAAATTAATCAAGAGAGATGCACTCTTTTTCAGGCTGGTTGTAAGTGTAATGGAAATTTAAAAAAATATTTTTTGCTCCCTTCCCCTTTGCAATTAAATTTTTTTAAATTTAAATCTGCAATTTTTATTATTTCAGGTACACAAGCGTAAACATTCTTTGTCGCCATCTGGAAAGAAAAAGCGAAGCTCTTCAAAAAGTAGACATTCTAAACACGATGGATCGCATTCTAAAAGGTTTAAAATTTATTTATTTTTGAGCTTTGATTTTTTATTAGAAGATTCTGAAAAAAAACTTTTTTGTCCGCAAAATTTTTTTTGCGGACAAAAAAATTTTTTTGCGGACAGTACTTGCGGACAAATTTATTTTTATTACATTTTTTGACAAGGGGCAGTCATTGTTTTGATCGACTTTTTACTCTTCTATTCTCTTTCTAAACGTAGTAGTTTTGATTTTCTATATTGTCCACAAGAAGTGTCCGCAAAAATTTGTTACCAATTCCATATTATTTTTAGATCCAGACGACATTCATCAGATTCAAATTCTTCTTCCGGATCATCAACAGCCACGTTACCAATACATCCATCACCAAAAAAGAGTACTTCCTCATCTCGTCATCATCGTAAAGGAGGAACGCCTTCTTCAGAAGATTCCTATGTTCTAGCAGAGAAGCGTCGTTTAAAAAAAGAATTGGCAGAACGTGAAGAATCGTATATTACAAGATTAAAAAAATGGGAAGAAAGAGAAAAAAGAATGGCAAAACAATATGCAAAGGATCGTGAAAGTGAAGTACAACGAAAAAAGACTATTGATAAAGAAGCTAAAAAACTTAGACAATTTTTGGAAGATTATGTTGATGAAAGAGATGATTTGAAATATTACAAGTTTGTTTTTATTATTTTATTTATTGTTTTGGATTAATGTTGGGTTGGTGTAGTTGGTAAGGTTCTATGATTTGCGGGTGAGGGGTTATGGGTTCGAATTCTGCAGCTGCGAACATTTTTTTAAGGATCCCTTTTTGGCTTGAAAATTTTGTAAAATATTTTTGGATCATCTAATTTTTTTATTTGTCGCTTTGGTTAAGTAGGAAAGTTTTTAGTTTTGATTTTTAGGAGGTCATGGGTTCGAACACGTTAGTCTGGAATAATTTTTAATTTGAGGAATTAATTTTGGGAAATTTAATAAAAATATTCTGGCATCATTTTAGACTTTTTTAAAATTTATTTTGCGTATTTTTCCCTATTTGACTATTTTGAAATTTTATTTTTTGCATTTAAAGAGGTTCTGCCTTACTTGAACGTCGTCGAAATTATGAACGCGAACGTGAGGCTGATGCTAAAGATAGACATGAAGAGAAACGTGAAATGGAAGAGGTTAAGAAACAATTACTTAAAGAAAAGGAAGAACAGGAAAAGTTACTTTTACAACAACAAAAGGAAAAAGAGGTTTTTTTAATTTTTTTAACGCTATTATTAAATTTTGTAATTTTTAGAAAGAAACAACTCAAGTAAAGGAGATTTGGGAGACAGGTTTTTTTCTATTTTTTTTGTTTTTGGGAGAGTCGGGCCTTTTTATAGATACACCCTTGGGGCTAAAAATGGTATTTTGTAATTAATGATACCTTCCGCAAGGAGGGGTAGTGCCCACCCCGGCCCATACCATAATATACGGGTTCGGGGTGGAAGCTGCCAATAAAATGAAATGACCATATCATTTGACCGGATCATTTAACCATCGTTAGGTGACCACGTGGTACTATAAGAAATAATGTAGTTTACCACCGTCGTATGTAGGATTAGTTGACCACCAACCAAGTTCTTAAGGTAGGCCCTAACCTAATCTTCAAAGGGGCATCTTATAGTGAGGTCCGATAGTATTAAGACCATTAAAAAATTTTATTTTTTAAAGTTCCCGGACGTCCTCATAAAAATGGTGTTGAAAATAAGGAAACAGATGGTAAAAAACCACTTCCTCCACCTAACAATGAAGAAGACGAAACTTCAAGTCCATCACCAGTTAAAAAGCCAATAATAACAACAATACAGCAAAAAACAATTCAGCCAGTAAATGGTCTTTTTGAGGAAGATGAAGAAGAGGAAGATACTTTACATCAAATTAAAAAGAAAATTAAGCCGTTTGAAATTACAAGAGAGGTTTTTTTGAAAAATTTTTTAAAATTTTTATAAGCCTTATGTCAGACCTCATGTTGACAAATTGTCAATTTATTCGGGGTGTGACATTTTGTCATTTGGCAAATTGTCGTTTTTAGCCCCTGCTGGCCATTTGTCTGAAATTTTTTAATTTTAAAAATTTTCTAAAGAAATTTTTTAAGGATCGTATTCAATCTTTGACGCCAGAAGAACGAAAAAAACTTATAAAAGATTTGATTACTCGAATTCCAACAGAACGTGAACAACTTTTTGCATTTTCTCTAAGTTGGGAATTTTTGGACAAACAATTAATGGATTCAAGAGTTCGTCCATGGATTAATAAAAAAATTTGTGAATATATTGGTGAAGAAGAGCCGTCTTTAGTTTCTTTTATTTGTGAAAAAATTGATTCAAGAGCTTCTCCTGATAATATTTTGGCTGATCTTTCAATGGTTTTTTTTTGTTTTTTTGGGGAAGGGAGTGGGGTTTGGGTAAGTTTTCTCTGTTCATTTAAGGGGATAAACCTACATGGTTAACTTTTTAAAGGATAACTGGTTAGAGACCCTAAGGGATGACTCTAGTGAGATCAAATTACCTTAGAGATCAAACAGGCTGATTTTCTCCTGTTTGATGTGGATTTTCGCATTCTCAAACGAAAATTTTTTGTATGGAGAGGGTTAGTAAATAAAAAATCGGCCTCTTTTATTCAAAAAAATTTATTTTAAAGGTACTCGACGACGAAGCAGAAGTTTTTACAGTAAAATTATGGCGATTAATAGTTTATGAAAGTGAAGCTAAAAGGCTTGGATTAAATGTATTGCCTCAACAACAACAACATTCTAGTAATTCTGCAAATAGAAGCAGCAGTGGAAAATGAGTTTAAAAATTTTAAAAGGGAAGTATGAAAAAATTTTTTGGGGGTTTTTATATTTTGTTTTAGTCCTAAAAATAATTTTAAAAAAATTTCACGTTTTCACTCACCGTTTTTTCATATATAAAAATTTTTGATATTTTTGAAAGTCAGAAAATGTCCGCAAAACATTTGCGGATGTCCGCAAATGTCAATAAATCCGTAATTATTTTTTGAAAAAAATTTTTTGGCAAAATTTGGAGTTAAAATTTTTGAAATTCTTTTTTAAAGCAAATTTTATGTGTCTACTCGAAGTTTTAAAAATAAATAAATGAATTGGTCAAAAGCAGAGCTGTTTCGAAACAAAAAAATTTTTTTGAAAACGGAAATCGAAAAAAATTGGAAATAATTTACCGGTGTTGTGTGAGTATGTTTGGTGCTCAGCTGTCGCTCGTAGTTAGGAATTGGGTTGGGGATCCTAGGAAATCTCCAAATATCCGGATTCGAACCAAAAATTTTTATTAAACTAGTGAAGAGTATTACCCCCTGCGAAAAATCGAAATTTCGAAACAGTTCTGATCCAAAACGAGACAAAAAATAAATAAATAATTTTTTTTACCGCCTCTTCTTTAATCTTCTTTGTTGTAGAGTTTAAACGATATAGGTGTAACATTTCCTTTTGGAACATTTTTGGATTTAATGCTACTTCGTAAAATTGGTGATGGAGGAAGAGGAACACTTCAAAAAAAATTATTAAAAATTAAAAAAATATAAAATGAATACATTTGCATTGTAGGAAGAAATTCAGCTGAAGGAGATTTGAACAACACACGAGGAGGGCAAGCTTGAACCTCCTAAAAAAATTCAAAAATTTTTCAAAACTAAAAAAAGAACCTTATCAGCCGTAATAGGTTGTTTATTTAAGTTGTTATCTTGACTGGTGCTGGGAAGCTTTTCCAAATTAACAATTAAACCTTCAAAAGGGAAAAATTTTTTGGTATAAAAATTTACGAAAATAAGTTTTGCGGACAAAATTTGAGTCCGCAAAAATTTTGCGGACTGCCCGAAAAATTTTTTAATTTAATAAATTAAACCATTAAACTCCTCAGTAATATTTCCAACTTCTTTTAAGGCTTCAATAGTCTTCTTATCATATTTTGCCAAAGCCTGAATATAATTTTGTTTTGCCTCCTCAAGATATTTTGATTCCACTTCCACTTCTGTCTTTTTCATCTCAAATTTGGAAATGATTGACAAAACATTTGTAAATGATCCAGAACGATGAATTTTGCTTTGAAGAGAAGAATCAACAATTTTATTTTTATTCTCCTCAAATTGAGTATATAAAGCTTCTAGACGATGTTTTGAGACTTGGATAGAGGATTCAATCATAGCACAATCGTTATTGGAGTCTGTAGTTGTAAAGAGAGTATGAGAAATTGGTGTTGATGGAATTGTGGTAGGATGCGGTGTAGACTGGAAAATTGATTTTAAAAATTTTCGTTTTCAGATAGCAACGCCAAAATTTTGGCTCACGCCCAACTTTAGCCCCCCTGAACTTTAGCACCTGGCTACGGCCTTATTAGGTGTTTGGGGAGGATTAGGTGTTTGGGGAGGACAAAATTAAAGAAATTTAAAGGAATATTTGGTTGACCCACCCTATCATAAAAAATAAAAATGTAGAAAAATGAAAACCTTAAAATTTTGAGTAACTGGAGCAGACTCATTGATTACATCAACAATTGCTGTTGTTGCACTAGCTGTAGTCATTGCACTCATTTGTTTAATTTTTTGAGTTGGAGGTGCTTTAGAAGCAATTTGTTTGGGTAATTTAATTGGGCGTTTTGGAAAAGTTTTTGTAATTTTTTTGTCGTCAAAGGATTGAAATGTTGGAAGCATTTTTTGGTTGAATAATAATAAAATAAATATTTTTTATCTGTGAAAGTTTAAAAAAATTTTTTTAAAGTTGTTTTTATAGATAAGGTAAATTATAGTGATCGAGCTGGGTAAGGACAAAGGCCTGGGTTTTTCCTGTACCCAGAGTCCAGGACCAGCCATTTTTTGACGTTCCTGGGTTTTTCCTGGGTTTACTACAGGCCCAGGATCCCGCCCAGGTCAATAAATCAAATCCGGAACCCAGGACAGGCTCGTGCTTTTCGAAAATCTCAATCACTAGAAAATTAAATGACTCGCGGACGCGATGCTTTTATAGAGCTTTAAAATTTAAAAATAGGAGAGAGAGTGAAGTTAGAGAAAAACAGAAAGATGAGAGACTGTTGTTAATTTTTTGGAAAAGAAAAAGAGTAAAATTTGCGCGTTAAAATATCGTTTAAAATTATGGCTTCCTTTTTCGATTTTTTTGGTGGAAACTTTCGTTGATTGTTTTTTCGTTTTTCTTATTTTTTTCTTCATTTTTTCATTGTTTTTTTTTCATTTTTTTTTATTGTTTTTCTAGTTAAATGATGTCTCAAAAGCAAAAAATGAAACCAATGAGTGCAATGACAGCAGCTAGTGCCACCGCCGCAATCGTTGATGTAATTAGTGAGTCTGCTGAAGCAAAAACTTCCTTGCCTTATACGACAATTGAAAAATTGGAGGTTTGTTTGGGTTGATTTTTGAAGGGTTTAAGGTCAATTTTATATTTTAGCAACACGGGATACACATAAATGACATCAAAAAACTTCGCGCTCATGGCTTCTATACGGTCGAATCGGTTGCGTTTGCTCCTAGAAAGGAATTGGAGAAAGTTAATGGAATTGGAGAACAGAAAGTTGAAAAGATCTACGTTTGTTAACTTTATTTTTTATTTTTTGACATGTGGGCAAAATTGAACTTCGTACCACACTTTAAAATGGGCAGACTTAAGAGGTGTTCCAATCCACACTCACTGTCGATAAGTACCCAGCTCTGCTTTTTTAGAATTATTGGTCCACAACTACGGGTGAGCGAATCAAGACTCTCGGTCAGCAGATCTTTCTATACAAAAATTTTATAGAAATAGTTGAACCTAAGTAGTAGTTGTATACGCATCCAACGTTATTGTTGGTTCTTAAAAGCAAAAATGGGTACTTATTGCCATAGAGTATGGGGTGAATAAATTTTACGTCTGACCATTTTTCCAATTTACGGAAGAAAAAAGGGGATGTACGAAGTTCAATTTGATTAACATGAGTTCTTTAGGGAGAAGCTAAGAAACTTGTTCCAATGTCGTTTACTCTTGCTAGTGTTGTCCATGTAAAGCGCTCTCAACTAATCTTGATTGAGACTGGCAGTCGAGAATTAAACCGACTTTTGGGTGGTGGAATTGAAACGAGTTCTATTACAGAGGTTTTTTTTGTTTATTATTTTTATGAGAGATTAATTTGCTTTTAAAGGTTTTTGGCGAATTTCGAACAGGCAAAAGTCAGTTGTGCCACACTTTGGCTGTTATTTGTCAACTTCCAGTGGATATGGGAGGTGCAGAAGGGAAATGTCTTTGGATTGATACAGAGGGAACTTTTCGACCTGAAAGACTTTTAGCTGTCGCGGAAAGGTTTTTTGAGTTTTTGACTGGGGATCTTTTGCGGTTTCTCCTTGAAATTATTTTTTTGGCTATCCCTTAATTAGGGAAGAGGCCAAATTTTGGGCCTCAACTTTCGGGAAATTCTCCAAAAAATTATTTTTTCATTTTTAGATACAAATTAGACGGTCAAATGGTCTTAGAAAACGTTGCATATGCTCGTTGCTACAACACAGATCATCAAATGCGTTTACTAATGGAGGGGGCTGCAATGATGGCAGAATGTCGATATGCTCTAGTGGTGGTTGATAGCTTAATGGCTCTGTATAGAACAGATTATTCTGGCCGTGGAGAATTGTCAGCAAGACAGCAACATCTGGCGTGCTTTCTACGCGGATTAATGAAGCTTGCTGAGGAGGTATGAAAATTATTAATTTTTATCTTTGGGAATGAGATATTGGGGGACTTAATAATTAGGTAACAAAATATGGTCGTTTAAAGTTCGAGGATTAATGTGTTCTGCGGTGGTGTAGTGGTTGAGTGTTTGGTTCGTTTGTTTGTTGGGTGTTGGTTCGAGCCCTTTTGAGTGTTTTTGAATTTTTTCTTGTATATTTTTTAATTTTTATCGATTTTTAAAATTTTTAAAAGACTTGAGAGTTTCAATAATTTTTTTTAATTTTTAGTTTGGCGTTGCAGTTGTTGTTACAAACCAAGTAGTCTCTCAAGTTGATGGTGGAAATATGTATCAAGCAGATCCTAAAAAGCCTATTGGTGGAAATATATTAGCTCATGCTTCGACTACAAGGTTTTTTTTTTAATTTTTTAGATTTTTGAACTTTCATTTTTAGATTGTTTTTTCGAAAGGGAAGAGGACCTCAACGAATTTGCAAGGTTTTCTTTTATCTTTTTATTTTACTGGTATATGTGGGTTATTTCTACCCTTTTGTCCCAGTGCCGTTCTTCTTGACTTTAAGGTGTCGGGGAAGTTAAGTTGGTACTTATGGGTTATCCCAAACCAGTTTTTGTGGACATATTTATTCTGACATTTATGTAAGGAAAGGTCAAATGTTTTTCCTTTTTCGATTCACTCAATTCTCTTTGTGGCATTCTTCGATAAGAGCATCAATAAAGAGAAGAGAAAATGAGTCCGCATAAATATGTCCTCAAAAACTGGTTTTGGATAACCCACAAGTACTCTTAAGTTTGAAAAATCCCCCTCTCCCTTGTTTCCTTGTCTACAGGGTAGTCGGGGAATTTAAGTTTGACCGCCCCATGTTTTCTTGTCTTCAGGGTTGTTGGGGAATTCATGTTTCAACCACCTTTCCCATTTTTATTTTTCTGTTCGTGCCCTCGTTTTTTTGTCTCCAGGAATGAGTGAAAAAGGGGTAGAAATAATCGACATTCTTACCTTCTCTAATAAAAATTTTTTTCAACAAAAAAAGATCTATGACTCTCCATGTCTACCAGAAAGTGAATGTACTTTTGAGATAACTGGACATGGAATTGATGACATCCAAGAAGAATAATAAAATTGACTGAAAGATTTGTTTGACGTGGCAATTTAACAAAAAACAAGTTTGTGAATATTGACGGGTTTGATTTTTTTATTTTTCTGTTTCTATATTTTTTTTTTCGCCACGAATTCCAAGAAAAATGCATTTTAATTTTTTTGTTGTTGTCAAAATTTTTGGATTATTTGAGTCTAAATAAAATATTTTTTCGATTTTAATTCATTTGTTCACACGCGGTTTTGTTGCCGTTTTTATTTTTTGTTATTTTTGAGCTATTATGACGATTTTATTCTAAATGATCGTGGATGCACTAATAGAGGCCCTGGGCTTTTCTTTTTTTGAATCTTAATGAGTGGACATCTAAAATAGTGCATAGCTTTTATTTTTCAATGGGTCCCCTTGGGTAGGTTTTTTAATAGTGATTCACTCATGGGCCTCATTGGATCTCTAATAGAGACCAGGTGGTTACCGAAACCCGTTACAACTTTTTTCTCAACCCGGCCCATCCCTGATAGAAATCCTCAGCTTCTATTTTTTATCGTCTCTTTGAGTGGGCTTTTATAATACGATAAGACATGGACTTTTATCAGAGGGTTCGGGGCTTTCATTCTTCAATGTATTTCATTGAGTGGGCTTCTATTAGGACATTTACGGTTTTTTTTATTTCTTCTGTTTTACTGGGTTTTATTTCAACATTTAATTTGATCTTATTTTATTAGTCTGGTTTTTGGCGTATTTTTGGTATTTCATTCAGGTTTTCTTTTTAAATTAATTTTATACACGATTAAATTTGTATAGATGGAGAATGAAAAACTTTATGGCGTTGAAGATGAACAGCCTGAAATAGATGTAAAATTGCTTGGAGAAATGTATGGGCTTGGAATAGAGGAAGCTTATAAGATGGCACTTTCATTCTATAGAGGTTTCTATTTTAAAATAATTTATGGGATTGGTCGATAAGCGGAGCTAACCTTGTCCTCTGCTAGAATTTTTCGAGACAAGGTTGGCAAGCATATGTGCTCGAGTTTATCTCGTTATTGTTTTGTCTATCGAATTTGGGACGCCCTAGTATTGTGAGCTGAATAAAAAAACTAGGGAGTCGGAAGTTCGATAATTTCATTGAGTTGAGATCCGAGTCATTTGGTTCACTTAACACCCTTGCTAACTTGTTTTTTAACGAGAAAGATTTTTTGTTTTATGAAGAAAATTTTTTTGTTTTTAATTTGGTTTTGTCCAGACTGATGAAATTTGTATCTTTACCCATTTAGACCTATATGGATAAGAAACTTTTTTTCGGGGAATGTAATGGGAGGGTGTGGGAATGTATTTGTTGAAATTTATTTTTAACAAAAAATTTTTTTTCTAGATCAAGAAAAGAATCGTTCAATAGCTGTTGATTATCGTCACCGTTTAAAATTTATTGCACTATCAAAGCAAGCAAAATATGGAACTTACAAAGATGATGGCATTGAATGTGGTTGGTTTGATTTGGTTGGAAATGATGCGAGGTAAAGTTTTTTAGTTTTGATAAAAAAATTTTTGGTATTCCGGAAAAATTTTTAATAAAAAAATTTCAAAAAATTTTTTTTGATATTCTAAAAAATTTTTCAATAAAAAAATATTTTACCAAAAAAATTTTTTTAATAAAAAAATAAGAAAATTTTTTTGGTATTCTGACAAGGGACCATTCTTTACTGTCACTGCGAATTTGATATATTTTTTGGTACCATTCGATAGAGGACCCTCGACTTAGTATTGTGGCGCTATCCGTTTTCTTGCAAAATTAGTTTGGGCCGAGTTATGGCCGTTCAAAGTTTCAGTCTATGGGAGTGGTTGAGTATAATGAAAAAAAGCTAAAAGATGCGCGCTGTTACTTTTTTCCACTTTCTCTGCTTTCTTCACATTGCCTTACAAAGAGGAAATAAGAATGCAAGAGGCGCGAGGAAAAAAAGAAGGGAGAAAATGTCAGACACAATAAACAAAGAGAAGAGGAGTGGGCGGGGCCTTTTTGAGGATGAAAAATAAGAGAGAAATTGCTTACTTACCCTAAAACTCCAGACTCTAGCGGTCTAACTTTGAACGGCCATAACTCGGCCCAAACTAATTTTGCAAGAAAACGGATAGCGCCACAATACTATGTCGAGGATCCTCTATCGAATGGTACCAAAAAATATATCAAATTCGCAGTCACAGTAAACGATGGTTCCTTGTTAGTCCCCCCCCCCCCCTCTTTTTTTCCTTCCTCAAAGTATTACACAATGGTCAGTCAATCTTAAGTTATAGAACTCGTTGAGCTGTGTCGAATGACACCAAAATCGAAAAAATCGGACTTGATTGGACCGAAATACAGACCCCGGAAAATTGAACAACCACAGGGGCGATTTTTTGAAATTAAAAAAATTTAAGCAAATGGTAGCTCATTCGAAAGAGCTCTTCGAGCTGAGTCGAATGACATCAAAATCAACGTAATTGGACAAGATTTGGCAAAGTTACGACATTATTTAGACCTACCGGAGTCGATGATTTATGTCATATCTTTGTCAAATCAAGTCGGATCACGTCGATTTTAGTGTCATTCGACTCAGCTCGACGAGCTCTTTCGAACGAGCTATCATTTGTATACTTTTTCGTCCTTTTGGTTTTTCGCCCCTGTGGTTGTTCAATTTTCCGGGGTCTGTATTTCGGTCCAATCAAGTCCGATTTTTTCGATTTTGGTGTCATTCGACACAGCTCGACGAGTTCTATAACTTAAGATTGACTGACCATTGTGTAATACTTTGAGGAAGGAAAAAAAGAGGGGGGGGGGGAACGAAATTGAAAATTACCATTTTCAAAATTAAAAAAATTTTTTTTTTATGAAAAATATTTTTTTGAAAACTTTCAAGGGACAGAACTTTTTTTTATTTTTTCCTCAATTTTATTTTTTTTTGAATTTTTCATTTTTATTTAATTATCGTGGGTTTTTCTATTTTTTTAAATCTATTTTTTTTATTTTCTTTTTTTTTAAATTTATTTTTAAAATCAGAAATTCATGCCTAATTTCTTTTCTCTTTTTTATATAAAATTTAATTTTGATACAATTGTCTTTGTAATTGAATTTTTTTGAATAAGGGAAAGAAGAGAGAAGAGTTATAGGTTAGCTAAACCTTAAATATCTATTTAAAAAATAAAAAGAAATTTTTTTAGTGGAAAGTAAAAGGGGGGTTAAATTGAATTGTGAGTAAGTATGTGAGTAATTGACGATTTTTATTTTTTTTTTATTTCGTGTTATTTTAAACTTTGTACAATATAAATTTATGAATATTTTTTTCCATTTTTTAGATTTTTTTTTAATTTTGGGCATTTTTTCAAACAAAAATTTTTTTAATTTTTTTAGGGTTTTTTTTATTTTTTCAGGATTTTTTCGAAATTTTTTTAGATTTTTTTATCCATAACTTCAAATAATTTTTTTGAATTAAATTTAAAAATTATTTAAATGAGACAATTCGTCCCAAAATGAAAAAAAAATTTTTTTTTTGACGGCATCAGTTTATATATTTTTCTTTTTTGTATTTTCCCAAGGGAGAATAAAGTAAAAATAACTAGAAAGTGTTTTTTTTTCGAATATTGACACTTCCCCCCAAAAATGTTGTGAAAAAAAGGGCTTTTCTTCCTTTTTTTAAAGTTATTTTAAAATTTTTGTGTGTCACTTTGGCGTAAACAATACAAGATACTTATTGTTAACACTAATTTATTTGTTTTATTTTTAAAGGAGGGGGATTAGAGAGGGGTGTTTGGAGGAAGAAAAAAAGAGAGGAGAATATTTTAGGAAAAGCTAGGAATTTTTTTTTTTAAATTTTTTTTGGGAGGGAATGGGAAGTTAATTTGTTCTATTAGTTAGAAAAAAAAATTTTTTTTTCGAGGAAGATTTTTTCAAGGGAAGATTTTGAGGGGGTTTTTTTGGGGAGAATATTATTTAAGATTTTTAAGGAGAAATTTTTGTGAAATTTTTTTGGGAAGTTTTTTTTGGAGATTAGGAGACAATTTATAGGAAGCCGTAGTAGACATCTCATCCAAATTGCTAGGGAAAAAAATTTTTTTCGAGAAGATTTCTTTTAGTGGAAATTTTTTGTAGGTGTTTTTAGTGAATGTTGGTGTTTTTTTTTCCAAATTTTTAGAAAAAAAAAATTTTTTTTTGAGAATCCTTTGTTGAGTAGAAGATTTAATAGGAAAGATTTACTGAAAAGACTTTTTTGGGTGAAGATCTTTTTGGCACTTTTTTTTCTATTTTTTGTTGTTAAGTGAACCGATGTTTTTCGAAGAAAAAACAACAAATAATTTTTGGCTTATTAGCTTTTTAAGGAAAAAAAATTTTAAAAGGAAAATTTGGGAAGAAGAATTAAATGCATTAAAAAGATGTCAAAGATTTTTTTTCATTTTTTGTGTTGGCACATTTTATTGGTTAATGTATATTTTTTTGTGTTGTTAATTTTTTAAAATTTTATTGGGAATTTTTTTTGGGGGGATTTTTTTTTGTTTAATTTTAATTTTTATTTTTTGTTTTGTTAATTTTATTGAGATTTTTTGAGAGGAGGAGGGGGGGGTTGGTTTGGGGGATTTTTTATTTTTTTTTAAATTTGATTTTAAATTATTTTTAAGAATTCTTTTAAGTTCTTTAAATTTTTTATATATATATTTTGAGAATTTTAATGGTTAAATTTTGGTACTTTGTTAATATCCCGCCCCCCACCCCTATTTGAGTCTCAGATTAATTTTCCTTTTTATTTTTCCTGCCTCGGAATAATCAAATTTCCTTCTTAAACTTTGCCATTAGGCTGATTTTTTCTGTTGCCGTCTATTTTCTCCTTCGTAATACTTGCCTTTTACCTGAAATGTTTGAAGGAAAATGATTGATAGTAAAGAAAAAGGAAAATAAATCTAAGACTCAAATAGGGGTGGGGGGCGGGATATTAATAAAGTACCTAAATTTTTAAAACTAGAAATTTTTTGTTGAAAAAAGATTTTTGTGAATTTTTGAAAAAATTTTTTTTTGAAAAATTCTCTTATAAACTTTTTGAAATTTTTTAAAAAATTTTTAAGAAAATGTCTCATTTTTTATCCCATTCTTTGAAATGGACATTTTATCCCATTTTCTCTAACAAATAAGGTTGATTTTTTAAAAAAAAATTTTTGAAAAATTTTTTTGGATAAAAAAAATTTTTTTTCTGCAATTTTTTTTTGGATTTTTTATGGCTAAAACTTAAAAGATTTTCTATAATAAATCTAATTTTGAAATTTTATTTATACCTTTTTCTGTTTTCTGTTTAAATTTTTTTTCTTTTAGAAAAGTTTGGAAAACCTTTTCTTCATTACCTGTTCCACAAGCAATGTTAGAATTTATTCGTTTATTGGATGCTGTATGTCCAACATTTCGAAATTCTTTGGAAAATCAACAACAACAAAAACATAAAATTGAAATGACTACAAAAATGGCAAATTTTGGAAGTGATAATAAAAATGTTGGAGGGGAAGGAGGTGGTGGAAATAGGTTAGTTGAAATTTAATTTATTTTTTTAAATTTATTGGGGAAATTCTGTAGGTATCTGTTTAACAATTTTTTTTAAGTTTCTTTCCAATGTAAAATTTTGTATTTTTAAAATTTTTTTTGAAGATGGACATTTTATCCCATAATGGTTAGGGCATTAATTTTATTTTTCTTAAAGTTTGAGATTTTTTTTTATTTTTTTGAAGATGGACATTATATCCCATAATAGTTAGGGCGCATTTATTTTTATTTTTTCTAAGGGTTTTTGAAACTTTGTTAAAAATTGTTAAACAAAGGCTTTTGATTTTTAAAATTTTTTCTGAAAATGGACATTTTATCCCATAATGGCTATGGTTTTGATTTTTATATTTTTTAAAGTGAGATTTTTTGAAACCCCGTATTTTTGTGGGTTGAAAATTTCATTAGAAAAGTTTTTTTAAATTTTATTAAATTAGTTTATTTTTCTCTCAATTCATGACTGACACTTTTTCATTTACTCTTTTTTTTTTTTTACTTTGAAAAGATGCCTTATGTTTTTTTAGTAAATTAGAAGACACGAGTTTTTTTTTCTTCCTTCAAAATAAGTAATTTAATTATTTCTTTGGATGAGTCGTAAGCTTGAAAAAAACTTTTTTTTATTGATTTCTTTTTTTTTGAAAAATAAATAAGTAAAAGTAAAAATAAAAAGTTTGTATCAATTTTTAAAGCTGTCTAAAATCGGAAATTTTCCAAGACTCGAGACCGAAAAAACTCCCCAAGAAAATGTCTTGTGTAAAGACCAAGACCCCCAAGAGTTTTGGACAGCCTATGAATTTTTAGAGCTCAAGCCGAAAATTTTCCAAGACTCGAGACCAAGACCGAAAAAACACCCAAAAAAGTCTTGAGTCAAGACCAAAACCCCCAAGAATCTTGGACAGCTCTATCTATAAATTTTTATCTCGACCTAATTTCCAGGCAGAACTGTTTCGAAACAAAAATCGTCGAAAGCGTGAATCTAATAAAAGAAAGAGTTAAGAAAGAGTAGCCACCGGGCAGGATTCACCTGCGACCTCCTGCAGTTATTGTTAGTCACTTTCACTCACCACATGCAGAAGAGCTCTACCGCTGAGCTACAGGAAGGAGCTACCACATACAGGAGTTACTAGGGCATTAACTAATGTTTTATTCTTTTTAGATTATTTAACCCCCGCCTAACATTAAGCGTTTTAACTGCTTTAGGTGAATCATCATTCTTTATATAAATCACCAAAAAAGTGTCAAAATTTAATAAAATCGAAAGCTAAAAACCTTAAAATTTCTAAAATGAAAATTTGAACAGCTCTTTTTTGAAGAAATATTTTTCTTGAATAAGTGGGATGAAATGTCCTTATTTTTTAAATTTTTAAATTTTTTTTTCAATTTTTAAGCATCAATGCATATTTAACAACAAATAAAGGAATGCTTCCAGACCCGCTTGAATCAAAAGAAATTTTGCAACAATTTGAACAGCAAAGGTTTTTTTTTGGGAATTTTTTGATTAATTTATTTAATTTTATTTTTTAAAGACAACAAATTCAAGAAGCATTAAATAAACAAACATATCATCAATTTTTGGCATATGCACAACAAACACATCCTGGAGAACCTGAAAAGGTTTGTTTGAATTTTTTAATAATTTTTTTGAATTTTTAATAATTTTTTTTGAATTTAAAAAAAAAAATTTCCCATCCCTTTTCGAAAGCTTTAGAAAAATTTTTTTTGAATATATTTTAAGTAAGAAATTTTCTCTCCTTCTGTTTTTCTTCCCTAAAGAAACTTTTTTTAAATTTTTTTGGAAAATTTAGGAATTCAGGAAAATTTTTCCCCCAAATTTTTTCTTTTTTTTAAGAAATTTTTTTAATTTTTTAACTAAAAATATTTTTTTTCTTTTTTCGGTTTAAAATTTTCGATTAAATTTGTTTAAAATGTAAATCTTAAAAAAGGAGGGGGTTTCATTAATTTTTTACACTGTTTAACTTTCTAAATCAAAAAAGAGGACTGTTTTTACTTCCCAATATTATGTACTTTCCATTCATTTTTCAAAAAAATTTTTTTTTAATTTAAAAAGAAAAAAAAATTTTTTTAACGTGAATAAAGTCGTTCTCTTTTTGTCAGTGAAGTTTTTTAGTAGTTTATAATTAAAATTTAATTTCGTATTTTTGTGACTTTTCATATATGTATTTATATTTGCTGTCAAAAAAATAATTTGCTGTCAAGGCAACGACTTTATTAAATTTTTTTAATTTAATTTTTTCCCCATTTTTTAAAAATTTTATTTTTTTACTCGAAAAAAATTTTTATTCGAAACCCCATTATTTGTTACCCCTCCCTTTGAGTTTTTTTAATTTGTATGGTTCTCTGGACGTCCGGTCTTTAAACTACACCTTAAGAAGGAAATTTTTTCATTTTTTTTTTGTTTTACTCTTAAGAAAAAAATTTCCTTATACTTATGTTAGGTTTAGGGTTTTTGTTCTCGAGTCGGGGCCAAATATTTTAGACCCGACTCGATCTTTCGGTCTGATTGTGAGTCGGTCCATTTTGGTCTTTTCTATCAAAAATTAAATTTTTCCTTTCTTTTTCCAGCAAGAACATTTAATTTCTCAACTACAAGAACAACACTATCAACAATACATGTCGCAAGTTTATGCCCAAGCTCAAGCAGCTTCACAAGCTACTTCAAATGGAGGTTTAAATTCAAATTTTGTTTCGGATTTGGAAGCTGCCCTTCCTTCAAAAACAACTGGAAAAGCAGCGAAAAATTCGCCTAAACCAAAAATTAAGAGTGTTAATGAAGTTGGGGAAGGTGAAGGTAGAGGAGGAGGTGATTCTGAAGTGAGTGATGAAGACGACGAGGAGGAAGAGGATGAAGAAGACTTCACTAATGGAGAAATGCCTGGTGAGGAATTAATTTTAGAAAATTTTGTGGTTTTTTGGAGGGTTTTTTTAATTTTTAGGGGGTTTTTTGGGGATTTTTGGAGATTTTTTTATAATTTTTTGAGGGTTTTTTTGGAATTTTTGGGGGTTTTCTTAATTTTTGAGGGTATTTGGGCTTTTTTTGGGGATTTTTGGTATTTTTTTTTATTAAATGCGGAAGTGTTAACGGGATAAGAATTTCATAGAAATTTTTTTTGGATTTTTCAATTTATTTTTTGTTCCTTTCCGGTTTTTCTTGGAGGTATTTTGTGATATTTTTATAAATACGGATGATTAGGGTGATAAGGATTTTTATAAGAGTATTTTTTCTTTAAGACCACAAGTTTTATTTTTGGGAGTTATTTTGATTTTTTTTTTTTTATAAATACCAAAAAAATTTTTTGTTTACTATTCCGGTATTTCCCTTAAAGTCCGCAAAGTTTTTGTCCGCAAATCTTATTTTTAAATTTTTTAAAAAAATTATTCTGAGGTCTTAAAATTGACAATCTTTCCTGATTTTTACATGATTTTTCTCCCAAAAATATTTTTTTTTAATTAATTTCAGTTTCTTCTATATACGCTCAAATGGGCATGTTCTGTCATAGTAATTCTATTTCTCTTTTCTATCCTCTTTTTTCTTGTGTTTTGTATTTTTGAAATTATTTTAAAATTATTTTTTGTCGTTTTTGTGGTTCGTATAATTTTTGGCATTTTTTTTTTAAAAAATTCAAAAAAAAATTTTTTTTCAGCAAATCCAATAGTCGCCCCAGCCTCGGTTTGGACAAACAAAAATTTGGCAGAATTTAAAGAGGCTATTAAAAAAGAAGGGCCGGAAGGAATTTTGAAAATAGGACATGGAGAAACTGTTACAGTTCGTGTGCCAACACATCCTGAAGGGTTTGTGTAAAATTTTTTTATTTTTTGAAAAATTTCAAAAAATTTTTTTGAAAATTTTTTGAAAATTTTTTGAAAATTTTTTGAAAATTTTTTATAAATTTTTTGAAAATTTTTTAAAAATTTTTTGAAAATTTTTTAAAAATTTTTTGAAAATTTTTTACAAATTTTTTGAAAATTTTTTAAAAATTTTTTGAAAATTTTTTAAAAATTTTTTGAAAATTTTTTAAAAATTTTTTGAAAATTTTTTACAAATTTTTTGAAAATTTTTTAAAAATTTTTTGAAAATTTTTTACAAATTTTTTGAAAATTTTTAAAATTTTTTTTGAAAATTTCTGAAATTTCCATCGTTAAAATTTTTCATTTTCTAAAGGAATTCGTTGTTCTGGGAATTTTGTACAGATTATTATGACATTGGATTTGGCGTTTATTTTGAATGGACGGTTGCTGAAACTAATCAAGTTTTTTTTTAATTTTCAAGAATTTCAAAAAAAAATTTTTTTCAAAAGGTAACAGTCCATGTTGATGAAAGTGGAGATGAATATGAAGAGGATGAAGCTGAGGCTAGTGGTGGTGATGTTGAAAAGAAAGGAGGAGGTGATGTTGAAGCTGAGGCGGCTAAAAAGGCTGTGGATCCTAATAAGCCTAGAATTGATGAAATTATTCCGGTTAATTTTTTTAATTAATTTATGGGTTCTTAAGTATAATGAGAAAGTAAGGAGGAGAGGGTTGGTTGGAAAAGGAGTCCCTGGAGTCTGATTGATGTAGGGGAAAAGTTGAAAGTCGAAAACTTGAGATTTTGTTGACCATTTTAAGGTAATTGACATGTCACTCTTTACTTTAAGTACGAATTGAGGGTGATTGAGTGGAGAAGTTCATGGGTAGGGGAGGATTAGAGGTCGGCAAAATCGTGTTTGCGGGAACCCGCATGCGGGATTTTTTTTAAAAATCTTTGCGGGGCGGGATCCCGCAAAATCCCGCGCGGGATCCCGTCCCGCGCCGACCTCTAGGGAGGATAGGAGAAGTCAACAACTTAAGACTTTTAGGAGATAAAATTAACTTTGCTCCGCTTTGTTCAGCTGCATTACCAGAATCTAACTGACTTATCACCGGGTCAACGTAAATAGTTTAGGGACGATATAAGGACCACTTTCGGGTGAATGACATGGGGGGACTTAATAGAACAAAGTTGGATGGGGTTTCAGATTGTATTTTCGGTTCGGAAAAAAATTTTAGTGGGTGACCCGCCCCTTAAAAAATTTTTTTAGATTTTTAAATTATTAAAAAAAATTTTTTCAGACTTTTCGTAAAGACAGTCATCAAGAAGTCTTTTTTGGTTCTCATTTTTATCCTGGACGAGGAATTTATTTGTTAAAGTTTGATAATTCTTATTCTCTTTGGCGGTCGAAAACGTTTGATTTTTATTTTTTTTTTTGACTAATTAAAAAAATTTTTTTTAATTTTTTCAGTCTCTATTATCGTGTATTTTACAGCAAATAGAAAAATTTTTTGATGGATTTGGAAGAAGAATAAAAAATAAAGGTTTAATTAAATTTGGATTTTTTGGAGGAAATATAGAGGATTTTTAAGGGGCAATTTTGCTTATTATTTGTAATTTTAACCCTTCTCTCTGCCCTTTCTAAAAAAATTTTTTTTGTTTGTAAGTGTGATGTTTAAAAGTATAATTTTATTTTTATTATTATATTTTCTTTCCCTTAAAAAATTTTTTTTAAATTAATTATTAGTGTAGATTGGGATAAAAAATAAAAAAAAAAATTTTTAAGGGATGTTTCCCCCCCCCCCCAAAAAATTTTTTCTTTTGTTCTAAATATTTTAAATACAGTCGGATCTTGGTTTTTATACCCCTAATTTTTACTACATCCTTCAATTTTACATACTATTTTTGGTAGTTTGTTTAGCCACTGGATGAAAGAAGGTGTCCTCAATGTTAGAGCCGAACCGGCAAAAGCCGAGGATCTCTTCAATAGGTTCTTTGTTCGGATTTTTTTGGTTCGGTTCCGGATATCCTAAGTTTTTGTAAGAATCGACTTACCCTACAAAATGCCCTATAAGCTATGCCTTCGATTTTCAATGCACACCTTCAATTAGAGCCCGGACTGAGTCGAAATTTGATGGAAATCTCGGTTATCGAGATCGAGATTTTTCGAGATCTTGATTCTCGGAAGATAAAATTTTCATTTTTTTGAGATTTTTCGAGAATTGAGATTTATCGAGATCTTGATAATCCTCGTACGACTCCCTGTCCGGGCTCTAGTTTCGATTTTACTTATGGTTTCTTTTTTGGTGTTCAATCCCCAAAAAAGGGTTTAAATTGAGATTCGACATTGTATTTTATTTTTTAATAATAAATTTAGTTTAATTATATACATAATTATTATCTTTTCTTTTTTTCTATTCCCTCATATTTTTCTTCGAAAATAAATAAAAATATTTAATATGTGAAATTTTGATAAAAGACATTTGTATATTTAATTAATTAATTTTATTTGTTAATTTTTACATTAAAAAGAATTTTTTAAATTGAATGTAAGATAATAATTTATAAAATAAAATTAATTTTAGTTCAAATAAAAATTAATTTCCAAGAGTGGGATTCGAACCTTCGACCTATTTTGCCTTAAAACTACCAACTAACCGACTACACCAAAGTGGAAAATGTTTTGATTTTGCGTTGTTTTTGAGAGAGGCTGGTTTATTTTTTTTAATTTTTGGTTAAAAAATTTTTTATTCGAGCTCCTTTATTTTAAGAGACGATTTTTTTCAGCCTCCGGGGGTATGTCTTATAGGGAGATTTCTTGTAGTGAGTGTGTCTTGGTGCTTTGATATCCCGCCTCCCTAGTTTGAACATCAGTTTTTTTCTTCCTTTTTCGTTATATTTGGTCAAGAAATAAATGATTGGCATGAAGAAGGAAAAGAATAACTCAGAAACAACATAGGGAGGAGGCTGGATATCCAGAAAGTATCGGGTCTCTTATACGGAAGGGTAGGAGCAAAGCCATAACTTGCTTCAAGATTTACGAATTTTTCAAAATTTAGAAGTAAACGATTCTTCTCATCGAGCGAAACAGATTGGTACAAAAATTGTTAAGGTCCAAAAATTTCTAAGCTAGTTATGGCTTTGCACCTACTTGGGCATGTCCATATACGGAGTTCTCTTGTAGGGAGGTTTTTTTCAATTTTTTCTTGTAATTGTCTTGGGTCTCATCGTGATTCTTCTTGTCTTTTTTCCTCTTAAAATGACACCAAATTAGACGTAAATAATTTTTTTTCTTTCTCCTCTCTTTTTTTAAATCCTTTATGAGTGCATTGCACTTTTAGCTTTTTTAAAAAATTAATTTTAATAAATAGAGAAAGAAGGGAATTTTTTTTAAAAAGTTCTATCTAACATGTAAATATTTATATTTTTATTTAAAATATAAATTTTTTTGAACGTCACATTTTCTTTCTTTTTTGTACTTTTTTATACGATTTTTTACACAATTTTCCCTCCTACACGTAAATGCGCGCGAGCGAGTTAAATAAAATTATTTTATTCTTTTTTGAGAAGAAATAAAATTAAATATAAATTTTTTGAAAAAATTTTAAAAAATTAATTTCTAAATTAAAAAAATTTTTTTTCTCGCTCTCTTAATTTATTTTATAAAAAGAAGCAAAAGGGGAAGAAAAAAAAAGTTCAGGTTCGAAAATTGTTATTATTAAGGGGAGGGGTTTTATTGTATTTTTTTAATTGTTTTTTAATTTTGTATTTTTTAATTGTTTTTCTAAATTTATTTTTCTCTTGCGCATTTACTTAATTATTTTTTTTTTTCAAATTTAGTTTTTAAAGTATTATTTTCTTTTTTAGATAATTATTTTTTACCCTTTAATCTACCCTTTTACTTAAATGAGCCACCTTTAATTAACCATAACTTTTTAATGATTATTCGCACATGATCCACCCAATTGTGAAAAAGGCACCGCTTTTCGAGGGCTTTAGAATGATATAAGGATTCATTTAGATAGGATCATGGCTAAAAAAGTTGTGGTCGATTAAGGATGGCCAGTCAAGTCCACTAACCTCTACTTTGTACCTAATCCTTAATAATTAATTAATTTTCTATAATTTCTCGATAATTTGTCTAAAAATTTTTTTTAATAAATTTAAAATGAAAATTATAAATAGAAAATTAATTTTCCTTCAAATAAAAATTATTTTCCGCGAGTGGGATTCGAACCCTCGACCTATTTATGTTGAAAATTAAAAATTAACCGACTACACCAAACGAGAAATTTTTTGTTTCATGGGAAATATACAAAAATCAATGGTTTCTGATAAATTTATTTTTCCTTCAAATATAAATTATTTTCCACGAGTGGGAATCGAACCCTCGACCTATTTATGTTGAAAATTAAAAATTAACCGACTACACCAAACGGAAAATTTTTTTTAATTTTCATTTTTTAACTTCCTTCTTTTTTTAATTTTTAAAAATTTATTTCCTTTTTTTAATGAAAATTGTAGGCTTCTCAAACTTCTCAATTTTCTAATCAATATTTAAAATCCCCCCTCTCTCTTCAAAATACCTACCTATATAAAATGTCATTTTTCGCATTTTCATGTGTGCGAGCGCGCACTCATTTTATTTTGTAAATATTAAGGATTTAATACTGGTTTTATGAAAATAAATAAAATTGTTTTTAAATAAAAAAGGCTAAAAAAGAGAGGAGAAGAGGTTGAAGAAAATTAGTAAAAACTTCTTTTTTTTTTAAAGAAATCCACGCGCGACCTCTCTCCTCTTTCTTAGCTTTTTTCGTCTTCATCGCCTAAAATCTCCTAAGATCTCCTAAAAATCTCTATTGCTATACTCATCCTTTTCTCTTGGATGAACAATTTTTTGATTAAAATTAAGAAGAAGCATACATATAATTGTAATTGAATTAAAAGAAGGAGAATCTTCCCTTGCTTTAGGAAGAAGCAAGGGGAGATCTTATATAAGGATCAAAAATGAAAAAATAAATAAATTTGGAGGAGTAGAAGGATGAACAATAATATATTTTTTGCTCACTCAAAAAATATATTTTTTTAATTTTATTATCTACATTTTTTAATATTTAATAGTCTGTCACCAAATATGCTTCAAATGTCATTGAATATGTCTTTACTGTCACCAAATATGCTTCAAATGTCCACTATATGTTTTAATGTCACCCTATATGTCTCTGTCACCAGATATGCCTCTAATGTCCAATATGTCACTAATGCCCCAAATATGCCTCTAATGTCACCAATATGCTTCTAATGTCCCCTATATGTTTTAATGTCATCCTATTTGTCTTTAATTTCAACTATGCGTCTAAGGTCACCAAATATGTCATTAATGTCACCCTATATGTCATTAATTTCACCAAATATGCCTCTAATGTCATTAAATATGTCTAAAATCACCCTATATGTCTCTAATGTCCAATATGTCCTCTAGTCTTTTTACGTGTTTACTAAAATGACCTTCTTCATCAAGATTTTACACAATCCATACTCTATTATCTCTTTTTAATCAAATTTCTCTCGGGTGTCATCTTCTGATATCATCCTCCTCCCTCTCAAATTTTCTTTTATTTTTTATACTCAAGTGTCCCTCTTCATTTTTAACATTTTTCCATGTTTTATATTTTTAATGTCTGTCTACGAACATAATTTTATTGCAAAAATTTCAGACATTAATTTTAAAAAGATAATCAAAGAGCAGCAGCAGCAACCAGCAGCAACCAGCCAGCCCCAACAAACATAAATAAAATTCTCTCTCTCTTTATTTCTTTTTTTTTTTTGAAAATTCGGGTCGGGTCGTCACGAAATTATTTTTCTGGATATTTTATTTATGCTCAATCCTTTTTAATAAATCTACTCTATATATTTTATTTTCAAATGCCCTCATTTTTGGAATTTTTTTTCAAAAAAAAATTTGAAAAAAATGCCAAAATAACTAACTTCACCTCCATTATATTCTGCTATAATAAGGCTAAAAAACCCCCACATCTTGTTAATAAAAGCTGTATTAACAAAATTAAAAACGTAGAATTATTTGCAGAAATATGGAGACACGTATCATTTTCCTCCTTACATCGGCCCATTATTTTCTAACGTATTTCTCTGTTTTTTTAATTTTTAGGATCTTTAGGGTGCAATTTTCTTTTATTTTTTTTTAAATTTTTATTTGGAAGATTATATTAAGTAGGGAGGAGAAGGCAAGAGAAACTTGTCTACTCTGCATATATTTAAATATATCCTCGCGAGACTAGTTATTTTGACTTGGTTGAAAAAAAGAGCGGAGAGGAGGATAATCTTCTAAATTACTACCACTATCATGTGTCTCTCGCGCATATATCTTTTTCAATTTTCTTGTTTTATTTTTTTTTTTGATAGTGAAAATTTAAATTTTAAAACTGGCTGAACTGTGGGGTCACGCCGGCGCGCGGTCATAACGGCGCAAAGCCATAACTTGCTGGAAAATTTCTGGCCCCTGTTAATTTTGGTACCAATCTCTTTAGCTCGATCAGAGGAATCGTTTAATACCAAATTTGGTAAGATTCGGAAATTTTGAAGCAAGTTATGGCTTTGCGCCGTTATGGCCTCGCGCCTATTTGGGCCCAGTAATTTAGCAGAAAATTTTAGGCGTTTTGGTATTTTCCTTTAGCTATTTTTCGAAATATCTAAACTGGTTAGGTTTTAATATCGCTAATTTTTTGTGCGTGTTAATGTTTAATTTATTGATTTTTTTCCTTTCCATGACTTTCTGTGATTTGATTATTTTACTAAATTTAATTTTTTAAGGTGGAAAACTTGAGTAAAACAAATGGCCCTAAACCCGGTTAATCAAGAAATTGAAATTGGCCTAACTCAAGATGATAAACAACAACAACAACAACAACAATCCTCTTTGTCTCTGGCAGAAACTAAAGGTTTATTAGGTTTGTGTTTTTTGGTTATAAATTGATTCGGTAATTCCAAGGCTGGTCCCCCCCCCCTTTTTTTTTTCTGTTCCCCTGACCATTTTGAGATTTTTTTCTTGAAATATAATTTACAATATATTATTATAAAGAGCTGTTCGAGCTGAGTAGAATGATACTATGATCGGATAGATTTATCGATTTTGAACCAAATTATGAAGCTAAATCCATGGTGGACATGCTTTTTGTGATGTTGAAAGGGATTAAAACAAATGGTCATAACTATGTTTATTTAAGTCGGATTTCGATAAATTTAGTACCGTTCTACTCAGCTTGAAGAGCTCTTTCGAACGATATATAATTTGCCATAAAAAGTTTTAAAAATCGAAAAAAATAAAAAGGAAAATAAGGGGGGGGGGGACCAGCCTTGGAATTACCATTGATTCTTGGTAAAACTTGAGACTACGGGCCATTTTCAAATATTGACAAATTCTGTCGTTTAAAAGAGCTCGATGGGAGTAGGATGGGAGGAGCTCTTTTAAAAAGCTTGTAATCTGTCCATAATTTTTATTAATAAAATTGACAAAAAATTTTTAAAGTCAATACAGAACACGTTGTCTCTACAAACTCTCAATCAGATTCTCAAGCAGCTGCTTCATACCAAACAGCGCCATTAATAGCCCGTTCCTCTCCAAAATCGCCAGCTTATATTCCTGCTGATATGGTTTGTTAAGATTTATTTTGTTTTTTTTTCATTTTCTGTTTTGAAAATAATTGATTTTTGTTAATTTTATAATTGGTGAATATAAGCTCTGTTTTATGATTACTAAGGCTGTGATAGTTAGGCAAGTAAAATTAGTGAAATAGGCGCCTAAAATAGGCACCAAAAAGCCAAAAAAGGCACAAAAATAGGCAGGTAAAAAAGGTTATCAGCCTATAAAATTATGATAAAAACAAGAAAATAACCACCTATTCGTCGTTTTTTTGACCATTTTGCCATTTATTCGTCATTTTAAATCATTTTTTGAGCAAAAATGGTGTAATTTTTTAAAAATGTCGATAATTGACAAAAAGCAAGTCTTGCCCAACCCACAAAACGTCCCACCCCAAAATGTCCCAACACCAAAACGTCTAATTTCAAAATGTCCAACGGAGTAAAAATACTTAATTTGTCGAATTATAAATTAAAATTTGGGGTTGGCACGGATTTTTTTAAAATCTGCGCTGATTTTTTTAGATTTTCACTGATTTTTAGGCAAAATTTATGAAAAATCGCTAAAAAAGGCAAAAATAGTACCGAAAATTTCAAAATAGGCAAAAAGGCTCAAAAAGTCCGAAATAGGCAAAAATAGGCAAACTAAAAGTCATGCTAAACTATTCGGACCAAGCTAAAAACACGTTTTTTGAACGTATTACATCATGCCAAGCTTGCAGAAAAAAAAGGCATTTGCCTATAAATCACAGCCTTAATAATTACTGACCCCGTTTGTTAAGCTAAAAATAAAATAACCAAATGCTGGTAAATTTATCTTCATGGTATTGTTTTTGATTCCTTCCTAGAGGGGGTGTAGGGTTCGATTCCTCTTGGTGTTTGTTTATTTTTATTTTCTTTCTAGCACTTTTAAATTGTTTTTCGAGTCTTTTTACTCTTTTAATTACTTAAAATAATTTTTTTTCTTAATTTTTAGATGGCTGCCTATCGTAAAAGACACAACCTCCAACAACAAAATGAAGATGCCAGTTGTCGAAGTTCTTTAGCAGCAACAGCAGATGAAGCATCAGAGCCTCCTTCAAAATTTTTAAAAGCAGATTCTCCAGGAGAGGCAGATCAACAATCTGCAGCTTTAGATTTTTCTTTACAAAATGCAAATAGAATATTGCCGTTAAATGAAGAAGAAAATGATGTTGTTAATAATAATGATGTCGTTGATGATTGCCCTATTGAAAACATTCCCGATGAGCTTCTTATAACGGTTTAGTTTTTTTAATTTTAGTTTTGGGAAATACCAAGGGTGTAGCCAGGGAATGCTTCTGGAAAAACTTTCTGGCCCATATAAGCACAGATAAAGGGGCATATTGGGAAATAGAAACCCACTCTCTAATAGAACCCCAAATTTAACATAGGCCTGGTCAGAGACATATTGGGGGCATACATATTATTTAGGTCTTATTTTATATTAGAGAATAAATAATCTTTTCTTAAAATAATTTTTTCGAATAAAATTTAAAATTACCGAATTGAAATTATAAATTGAACTAGGTTGCTGATTTATTTTAATTATTTTATTCGACCAATAAAATTTTTGGGAACTAAATAAAAATTAAAAATAATTTTAAAAAATAAATTTTATTGGGTGAATCAAATAATTAAAATAAATCAGCAACCTAGTTCAATTTATAATTTCAATTCGGAAATTTTACATTTTATTCGAAAAAATTATTTTACGTTGATAATAATAATAGGACCTTAGACTCTTTTATAGACCTTAGGCTTCTATTATAAATATTTTCCTTTTTAGAGAGTGGGTTTATTTTAGAGATTAGGCTTATTTTAATGCATTTTCGGTAAAATAATTAAGAAAAATTTTTTACAGATTTTTACCTATCTTGTCGAAGGTGATTTAGGCAGATGTGGCGCTGTGTCTAAACGATTTAATAGAATCTCTAATGATTGTGGCTTGTGGTATGATTTTTAAAATTCAATTTGTTCTATTAAAAAAAAATTTTTTTTAAGGAAGCGTCTCTATATAACAATATTTGAATATACCACTCCTTTGTATCATTCTCTTGTATCTCCGTGTAAATATGAACTTCGTGAGCCTCATCGTTGGAGAAATTGTTTAAATCCGTGGAAAGAAAGCTATTTATTATTGGTATATTTTTTTATATTTTTTTTTGAAGGAGGAAAATCTTTTTGGATGTATTCCTAGGTCCGCTAAGTTACAAGCAAGCAGACGCGGACGAAATTCTTAAAAAAATTTCAGATTAAACAAAATGAGGCAGGAAAGAACTAACGAAACATTTCGCCCGTATTTAGACACAATCCTTTAATTTTTGGTTAAGAATTTTGAATCCCTGACATTATAGTATAGTTCGATTCAGCTCGTGAATCAAAATATATTTAAGTATAAGTGTTATTGAAAATCATGGGGGATTCGAAAATCTTTAACGAAGTTAATCCTAAATTGATTTGGGCTTGTGTGTCTTTGTTTCAAAAAATTTTTGAGTGATTTTTGGACTTTTTTTTTCAATTTAATTTTAAGAACCTTTGAATTCTTATAATTTTCTTTAAAATTTCCTTTAAAAAATTTCTTCTAACTTTTTTTTTCGAAAAAATTTTTTTTTTTATTTTTAAGAGGCATGGAGTTCACGTCCGTCCAGGCCAAAGTGAAATTTACAGCCAACCTGGTCGTAGCATTTCTCATTTTGAATGTATTGAAACAGCTCTAAAATTTGTTGAAGCTCGTCCAAATCTTCCAAAATTAATATTTTTGCATACGGGGAGGCATACACCAGAAACACCTATAATTATTGGAGGAACATCAATACAAATAATTGGAGCTAGTAGTGGAACTGAATTAAATATTATGAATTCTGTTATAATTGAAAATCAGAGGGATACTGTTGTGAGTTTTTTTTTGAGCTTTGAAAAAAAGTTTGAAATTTTTGAAAAAAAATTTTGAAATTTTTCAAAATTTTTCTAGCCTCGAAAAAAAAATTTTTATGTAAAATTTTGAAAATTTCCAAAAAATTTTTTGGTTCAAAAAATTTTCTAACATTGAAAAAAAAATTTTTTTTGAAAAGGTCTCTTTTGTCAACGGCTCATTGGGTTCATATCTCGGTTATTGCACTACTGTTTTTAATCCAGACAAGGCTACAACTTCTCAACTTCACGTCAATCATTATGCTTTACAGGTTTTTTTTTAATTTTTTCTTAGGGGAAACGGGCAATGTCTTGGGTGGAAGAAGGGTGTTGCTGGATTTTTTAAACTTTCCGAAGAAAATATCTTCTAAAATTATCGTCTTTCGTAGGCGTTTTAGAATCAGAAAAAATTTTTTTATTAATTTTGTATATCCAATAGTAGGGTTGTCCTTTCTACTGAAATCTTTGGATATCTGAAACGAACTGAAGAACTGGACCGAAGGAAATATTCGGTTCAATCCTAATCCTGAGATAACTAAAAACCAAGGGCGTAGCCAGGGGACTTCTGTGGTTAAAGCCCCCCTCCCCCGAAATGGGGAGCCCACTAAAATCGATGCCCTTGCTACGCTCTTGCTAAAAACCTAATAAAAAGATTTTTTTATCTAGTCTTATATTTAAAATAAAATTCATTTTTTAACAGATAGTTGATGAAACAGATGTTGTTATTGACCATGTCATTATTCATTCAAATAGTTTTGTTGGTGCAGCTTTGTGTGTAAAAAAAGCTGGAGCTAATCCAAAAATTCGAGTATATTTTTAATTCTATTTTGTAAACTTTTTAAATTTTTTTTCTAGCATTGCATTGTCTCAGACTGTGAAAATGTTGGAATATTTATTAGTGATAATGCACTGGGAAGATTTGAGGATTGCGAGATTGCTCGAAACAATTTAGCTGGAGTTTGGGTCAAAAATCAGGCTAATCCCTTCTTCCGTCGTTGTCATATTCATCATGGACGTGATGTTGGTTAGTTTTTGTGGGGTTTTGAATTTTTTTTTAATTATTTATTTTGAGGCATTTTTACTTTTGAAAATGGGCATGGATTTTTTGAAAAATGTGATATTCATTCAAATAGGATCTCTGGAATTGAGGTGAAAAATCATGCGAATCCAACTGTTATAAGATGTGATATTCATAATGGACAGGTTAAAGAATTTATTTTTTTTGGGAAATTTTTTGTATTAAAAATTCAAAAATTTCTAAACTGTCTAGAGTTAAATAAAAATGAACTTTATTTTTGGGAAAATTTAAAAAATTTCTGGAAAAATTTTTTTGTAAAGATGTCGAAATGTCAACTTTTTATTTTCTCAAAAATAGGCAAAAAAACACAGAAAATTCCTTTGTCTTTAATTTTCTGGGGTTCTTTTGGAATCATTTTTGTGAAAATTTTTGAAAATGTCGAAATGTCAACTTTTTACTTTCTCAAAAATTGACAAAAAAGATTGAAAGAAATTTTTTCGAAATTTTTTCATAATTTTTTGGGGTTCTTTATGGGATCATTCTTTTGAAAATTTTCTCTTTTCTGACGTCATGTCAACATTTCATTTTTTTCAAAATTTCGTATGCTTAAAAATCTTGTACCTTTAATATTGTAATTTCAACTAAAAAATCTTTTTTTAAAGACCGGTGGAATTTATGTTCATGAAAAAGGACGTGGACAATTTATGGAAAATCGAATTTATTCAAATGGTAATTTAAAAGTTTTTTAAAAATTAATTTTTCAAATTAAAAAAAGAATTTGCTGGAATTTGGATAACTTCACAATCTGAACCAACAATTCGTAAAAATGAAATATTTAATGGACAACAAGGAGGTGTTTATATTTTTGGTGAAGTGAGTTTTTTTGAAAATTTTTTTTGAAAATTTTTTTTGGAAAATTGATGAGACATTTGATCCCAAATTTGGAAAAAATTTTTTTTTGAATGGCTGAAAGCCTGTGATTGCTCTGATTAAATAAATAAAATAGGGACCAGAATCTTGTAGAACGAAAGTTGCGGATTCTAAATTTGCCCATGTTTCTGATCCGCAAGTTTCTGATTCTCTAATTTCTGGTCCGCAAAGTTCAGCGAAATTGGCATAGAAATAGGAAAGTAAAAAGGGGGCACCTATTTTTATATTATTATTTAATTAAAATAATTTTTTCGAATAAAATTCAAAATTACCGAATTGAAATTATAAATTGAACTAGGTTGCTAATTTATTTTAATTATTTTATTCACCCAATAAAATTTATTTTTTAAAATTATATTTAATTTTTATTTATTTTCCATAAATTTTATAAGTTGAATAAAATAATTAAAATAAATTAGCAACCTAGTTCAATTTATAATTTCAATTCGGTAATTTTAAATTTTATTCGAAAAAATTATTTTAAGAAAAGATTATTGGTATATAAGACCTAAATGATAAAAGTCCCCAATATGTCTCTGACTGGGCTTATGTTAGATTTTGGGCTTCTATTAGAGAGGGGGTTTCTATTTTCCAATATGCCTCTTTGACTCTGCTTATATGGGGGCTTCTATTGGAGAGTGGGCGTATAATAGAAAATTTTTTTTGAAAAATCAATGAGATCCGCAAAAAATTTGCGGATAATCCGCAAATTTTTTTTCTATAAATAAAATTAAAAAAAATTTTTTTTCATAGGGAAGAGGATTAATCGAACAAAACAATATTTATGGAAATGCTTTGGCTGGAATTCAAATACGTACAAGTTCTGACCCAATAGTTCGCTTAAATAAAATACATGATGGTCTGCATGGTGGAATTTATGTGCATGAAAAAGGGAAGGGGTTAATTGAAGAAAATGAAATTTATGGAAATACATTGGCAGGAATTTGGGTTACAACAGGTTTCTAGAAAATTAAGAAAATTTTTTGTCCGCAAAAGATTTGCGGATAATCCGCAAAAATTTTTTCCAATGAGACATTTGGTCCTAATTTAATTTTTTAATTTTGTAGGCTCGTCTCCAATTTTGAGAAAGAATAGAATTCATTCAGGAAAGCAGGTTTATAATTGTTTTAAAGTTTTAAAAAATTGATGAAAAATTTTTCGTAGGTTGGCGTCTACTTTTACGACAACGGTCACGGCCTTTTGGAAGAAAATGATATTTTTAATCATTTATATTCTGGAGTACAAATTAGGTTATTTTTAAATGAGAGATTTTTTGTTATTTGAAAAAAATTTTTTTAGAACCGGTTCAAACCCAAAAATTACTCGAAATAAAATTTGGGGTGGTCAAAATGGTGGTGTGCTTGTTTATAATAATGGAAATGGTGTTCTTGAGGTAGAGAAAATGAAAATTTTTTTAATTGGTTTTGGTGGGGTTTAATATGAAGAGTTTGCGAAAGGGAAAAATCGGAAAAATTTTTATAAAAATTTTGTCCGCAAAAAATTTGCGGATTGTCCGCATAAAAGTTGCGGATGTCCGCAAAATTATTAATTTGCGTTTTTTGGGCCATATAGGGTTGGGGTTTTCAAGTCGGACCGACTTTCGAGTTATTTTTTTCGGGCCCATTTTTATCAGGCCGGCCCGACAGAGTCTTTTTCGGGCCAAAATTCAATACCCGAAACGATCTTTCGGATCGGGCCCCCAACCCTAGCCATAGGATTTGGATTATGTCTAGAAAATTTTTTTTAATTTTAGGATAATGAAATATTCGATAATGCAATGGCGGGTGTATGGATCAAAACAGATAGTAATCCAACACTTAGGAGAAATAAGGTTTTTTTTTTGAAGTTTTTTAAAGGAAAAATTTTCCTTAAAGATTTATGATGGGAGAGATGGAGGTGTCTGTATTTTTAATAGAGGGAGAGGCCTTTTGGAAGACAATGATATTTATAGAAATGCACAATCTGGTGTGTTAATCTCAACAGAATCAAATCCTGTGTTAAGAAGAAATAGAATTTTTGAAGGAAGAGCTGCTGGGATTGAAATTACTAATGGTTATTTTAAATTTAAAATTTAATTGGGATTGTTTGGAAGAGGAAGTTTGGGGGAAGATGTGTGACGTTAGGTGTCTTAGTTAGCTTCAAAATTCTGAAGACTGGAGTTATTACTCGAATTCGACGCCGGGTCAAGAACAAGGGGTTTCCAGCCATTTTGGATAAATCTAGGGGATTCTGATAGGACAAGGGGATTCCGGGTATTTTGATAAAATCTGATGTGAGTTTTCATTTTTCCAAGTTTTAGACTGGAAAACATGGAAAAATCCAAAAAGGAATCAATAGCTAATCCATGGCTATTTAAAAAATATTTTTTTTTCTAGGAGCAAGTGCAACATTAGAATATAATTTGCTTTATAATAATCGTTTTGGAGGTTTATTTTTGAAATTTTTATTTTTTCTTTTAAATTTTTTTTAAATTTATAAGGTCTTTGTTTGGCAACTGATGTACGTCCAATTCTTCGTGATAATCGTGTTTATGATAATTATAATGCTGTTGAAAGAGCGATAAATAAAGGATTTTGTTTGTTTAGAATAAGTTCTTGTACATCTTTTCCAATGCATGATTTTTACAGGTTTTTTAAAAAAAAATTTTTTTTAATTTTTATTGGAGTTTGGGAAGCCATAGGGACGGTAAGAGAAGTTTAGTGATCAACACAATAAGAGGAGTAGGTAGAATATTTGCCGGATCCCTAGAGGTGCCTTTCCTTTATAGAGCTGGAGTTGTAGGATTTATTGAAGGGAGTTGTGACAGTGAACTCCTGATGAAGGGGATTAAGTCGTATTCTTCCGACCCGGGACCTGTGAGGAAATGGAGATAAGCCAGCTTTAAAAAGACCAAAGGATAGTTAAGTTGGAGTGAAGGACAGTTAGGAGACCAAAGAAATCTTTGGAGTTCTTAGGAGACCAAGCGGGGAGTTTAGAACAGTCATGGGATGCCAAAGGACAGTGTTAGAAAGCCAGCGGGATATGGAGGCCAAATGACATTCATTGAAGTGTGAAATGAGACTTAGGGGCTTGCAGCACCCAGGAGACCAAGCGCGGAGTTTAGAACATAGAATGCCAAAGGACATTGTCAGAATGTCGGCTGTATATGAGAGGCCAAAGGACATTCAGGGGGTGTAGAACGGGACTACCACGACGACAACAGATGGGAGTAGATGTGAGCTGAGATTCATAGAGGTGCCTACCTCTTTACAAATTTTCTTGGAAATTTGTAAATAATTTTTTTACATATTTAAAGATGTATAACATGTAACACAACAGAAAGAAATGCAATTTGTGTAAGTTGTATAAATGTATGTCATCGTGGTCATCAAGTAGAATTTGTTAGACATGACAGGTTTTTTTTGGAAATATTTTTAAAGAATTAAAAAAAAAAATTTTTTTTAAAGATTCTTCTGTGATTGTGGTGCTGGAACATTGGAACAACAAACTTGTTGTCTACAGAATGAGATGAAGGATAATGGTATTTAATTATATTTTTTGTTTCATTTTTTAGGAGTGGGGAAGAGAGTGTTTTAATGGATAGGCCAGTGATTTCTAGGTTCCAAAAAATTCGAAAGGTTCTTCGGTTCCAACTTTTTGACTTTCGCGAACGTCGAGAGGTTTAGAGCGGTTCTAGAGGGTCCTATAGATTTTCCAAGCGATTCCAGCTTTGATTGAATTGCGGTTCCTTATAGGAAAATGTATTGGTGATGAACGAGTGAACGAGGCTAGGGGCCAGGCGATAATTGTAAGGCCAGATAAAACGGGGCCGTCGCGACGATGGGAGTCTTATAGGAGTATATTGGTGATGGATTATGTTAGCGGGCACAAGCGATACTTGTGAGGCTAGAGGACATTCAGGAGGGGAATAAGACGGGGCCGTCACAACGATGAAAGTAGACGGGAGAATTGTTAGGATCCCCACCCTCCCCTCCCCTCCATAATTTTTTAGTTGCCTGAGTCTAGAAATTCTTTAAGAAAATTTCAAATCATTTTTTATAGACACAGTCTATGATTCTGCACAACCTACAGAGAGTGAAACAGGTAATGATGTTGGTGGTGGTGGTGGTGGGGCTGGTGGGGGTGCAGCAGGCCAAGCAGCAGCTGCACCAAATCCTTAAAAATTAAAAAATGAAAAAACAAAAATTTCTTTTGTAAATTAAATATAATTTCTAAAAAAATTTATTTTATATAAAATTAGGTTTTGAAATTTTTTAATTTTATGTAGTAATTATTTTTATTATTTTTTAAAAATAATTTTATATGTGACAGAAAAAAATTTTTTATAATACCTAATATAATTTTTATTTAAATAAATTTTTTAAAACTTTGGCGGGAATCTTTAAAAGCCCCATAGGATTATTTTCTGTTCCAGGGAAAAAATTTTTTTGGCCTTGATTCAAGCCAATTTTAATGACCTCATAATCAGCTTAAGTTTAAGAAAAACAAACAAATTTTTAAAAAATTTTTAATTTTTTGGAGGGGAGGGGGCAGAACGTTAATTGGGAATTTTAAATTTTTGCCTCAGACTCAAGTGTCCTAATTTATTTTTTAATTTTCGTTGTAAAAGCGGAACAGGATCATTGAGTCCCGCCGGTTGAGTCCCTGAGCCATATTTTGGGCCATAACTTTTTCAATTCTTAATTAATTTAGATACTTAATATATCAATCAAAAGCTCTTGATACAAGGATTATTTTATCTAGCAGGAGTGATCTAATCAGATCAACAAACAAAAAGTTACAGTTTGATAAAGATCAAAAATCACGATTGCGCGCACTAGTCTGATCAAATCAATCTAGTTGACGAAAATAATCCCCTTATCCAGGGCTTTCAGATGATAAAAGATTTATTTGAATTGGTTGAAATTCCAAAAAGTTATGGCCCAAAATATGGCCCCGGGACTCAACCGGCGGGACTCAATGATCCCCTACCCTTGTAAAAGATTTTGAGTCTGGCATTATGTTTAGAATTGGCGTTTTTTTGAAAAACAAAAGAAAATTTTATTTTTTGTTTTTGTTTGAGCAAAGATTATTTACTTTCTATGTTTTCAAAGATTATTTTTAGATTTGTTTTTTTTCTTTCTTTTATGTATTTGGGCGTGTGTTTTGTTGCGTTTTAATGTTTTTTTTAGTTGCCGTCGTTACTGAATTAAAAAAAGAATGTTTTTTTCTGCAAAAGAGAATTCCATTTTACATGCTCTGTGTTCCCTTATTTTAATTAGTTAATCTCTTCTAAAATTCATTTTAAAAATTAGAAAAAATGTTCAAACTTTTGATTAATCAATCTCTCTCTTTATTTTTTTGCACTCTTCAATTTTTTTAAATGAATGAATGTGTGTTCTCTTATTTATTTACTTTCATTTATCATTCAATGATAACAAAAAAAATTATTTTTTTTTTCAAATGCTTATCTCTCTCTCTTTATTCATTATGATCTTTTTTTTACAGAGGCGTGCTTTCCCCTTCGATTACTTTTATCTATATAAAAGTTGATATATTTTTTACTTTTTTTTCCTCAACTCTCTATATTTCATCAGTCCAGTATATAATTTGTTGTTTAGTCATTTTCCTCTCCCCGTGTGTTTGTTTACAAATAATTGAAAGGGAAAGGGAAGAGGAGAGTACTGCCTTTTTAGGCGCGCGGCCATAACGGCGCAGAACCATAACTTGCTTCATAATTTCCGAATCTTTCCAAATTTAGTATTAAACGATTCCTCTCATCGAGCTGAAGAGATTGGTACCAAAAATTGATAAGGGCTAGAAATTTTCTAGCAAGTTATGGCTCTGCGCCGTTATGGTCGGCGCCTAATTGGGTGTGTTCCGAAAGGGAGAGTATTCTTTCTCTTGTTATTTTTAATAATATTTTTGAACAGTAAATTGACTGTATTTTTATTTTTTTTTAATTTTTTGTTTTTAGAAAATTTCTGAAAATTTTAAAAAAATTTTTAAAAATCGAAAATGGCCTATAAATTTGTTGGAAAGTGGAAACTTTGTGATTCTACCAACTTTGACGAATATTTGAAGCAAGTTGGAGTTGGCTTATTGACTCGTACTGCTGCTAAGGCTATCAAACGTTTATTTTTTTGATTAAAATAAAAAAATTTTTTTTTGAGTTTAGCGGAATTGGAATTTGTGGTTGATGGAGACAAGTGGAAGATGACGTCAACTTCAACTTTTACCACGTGGGTGTGTGAATTTTTGTTGGGTGAAGAAAAGGAGCAGGCAACTGCTGATGGGCGTAAATTGAAGGTTTTTTTTTTAATTTTTTCTTGAAATAATTTTTTAAATTTTCTCTGGACGTTGGGTAGGCTGGGGGTTAATTCTGGGCTGTAGGAGTATTTTTTTATATTTCTGACTTTTACTTAGAGCATATTTTTTTATTTTGTGTTGTAGTCGTCCGTGGCAGAATGGTTAGTGTTCCCAACTTGTGGTTTGATGGGTCAGGGGTTCGATGCCGTCTGACGTCTAATTACTTTTAATTGCCTTTCCTCGCGTTTTTAATTATTCTAACGTCTAGAAAAAATTTTTTTAATCGTTTAACAATTTCTATTTAAGTGCACCTTCACTTTTGTTGACGGAAAACTTATTGAAGAACAGAAGAAGATTAAAGATGATGACAAGGAAAGCCATTTTGAGGTTTTAAATTTTTAAATAATTTTCTTAAGGGGATTCAATTTCTTATTTTTCAGCGTTATATTGATGCTGATGGAAAATTGGTGATTACTTGTAAGAGTGGAAATGTTGAAGCTGTTCGAAAGTATGAAAAAATTTAAAGGAAGAAAAGGGAAGGTTTGAGAGTACAAAAAGGAACACATTTTTTGATATAAAAAATTTTTTTAATTGATAATTTTGCTGCCTTTTTTGGACTTTAATGTGGGCATTCTTTTAATTGTATTCACTTTAATTTAAAAATTTAATTGATTATAAATGTAAAAGGCGCTTTAATTATTTTTATAATTTTTGTTTTGGGTTATTTGCCTGATTACTTTTTAAATATTGTGTACTTGATTTTTTTTGTAGACTGAAGAGATTCTTGTCGTGTATGTGCGTCTTTTATGTGCGTATTATTATTTCTTTTAAGGGTCTGATTTGGTCAGCCAATCATAAAAACGAGTTATCCCACATAAGCGCACATCACGACTTTCGTTCTTTATCAGGCTGTAACTTTCCGTGAAATGCTCCGATCAGATCAATCCTGTTAGCTAAAATAATCCTCACATTTAGAGCTTTCGATTGATATAAAAATTATTCTAATCGGTTAAGAATTAACAAAGTTGTGGCCAAGAATTTAACATGCCTTTTTCTTTCCTTTTTAAAATTTAAGGGAAATTAATTATTTTGGCATTCTGTTTAATTTTGTGTATGTCTTTTTATTTTCTTTGGGAGCAGAGTAAAAATTAAGGAAATAGTACACTAAATTGAGAGAGACAACAAAGGATAGGGTTGCAGAGAAATTTTTTTGTTTTTTTTTCGTATTTCTTCGGTTGTTTTTTCCTGTTTTTTTTTTGTTTTTTTCTTCTTTAATCCTTTTATTTTAGTAATCTAAAGTAAAATTTAATGGAAGAAGAGAACGAACAACTAGATTATGATGAATTGGATGATTTGGAGATTGCAAGAAAGAAATGTAAAGAGCTTCAAAAAGCAATTGTAGTTGACGCTTTACAAGCTGAAGAAGCTTCTAGTACTTCAAAAAATGATGATAATCAAGAGATTTTGGCTCCGACTACGAAGGCTGTTCAACAACAGAAAGAGGTTTACTCAACAATTTTTATTTTTTTTAGATTGGGGTTTACTAGAGATTTAGCTGGGTCTGGACCAAGGCTTGGGTTTTTCCTGTACCCCATGCCTAGGTGACCTTCCTGTGTTTTTCCTGGCCTACAGGCTTATGATCTGGCCCATGTCAATAAATTAAACCCAGTAACAGGTCCAGGTTTTTCAAAAATTTCGATCACTATAATGCACGATTGATTAACCTGAACCGAATCAAATGACCTGTGGTTTTGTTGGATTAAGCGTGGTCGAAGACCTTTAGTGCGAAAATCGTACCTATAATTGGAAACCGGGATTAGAAACACACAAACGAGGATTGCAAACTGTCGTAACCGAAGACCAAGGGTACCGATAATGACAGGCAGTGAACAACCCTATTTTAATATCTTTTTTTTAAGTCTTCAACTATGACTTCTCAAAATCATCAATCTTTTTCTACCTTCCCTCCAGGGACAGAACCTTTTAGCATTTCAACGGCTTCATTTTCTTACTCTCTTGATAACCCCCCACCTCCAGGCGTCTCTTCAGTTCCAATAATTTTATCATCAATTCCACCACCAATAACTTCAAATATTCCACGTCCATCCCTTCAACAACAACAAAATTTTGTGGGCAAATATTATGTAAATCCAAAATTTAACAACCACAAAAATTTTTATAAGAGAAGCAAAACTTTCTATAAAAAATTTGCCCCGCCAACAATTGTTAATAGCAATGTGTTTCCTCAACTGTCGTGGAATAAAGCCAATAATTTGGTATTTTTTGTGTTAATTTTTAATTTGTATAAAAATTGTTTTTTAGACATCTCGAATTGGAGCAAGTACGGTTCAATTGGGTGGAGGAACTTTGCCTATAAACAATCAAAATTTGCATGTTCCTAATGTACAAGGTTTGTTTTTTTATTTGTTCTCTTTTATTTGTAAATCTTGCAAAAGGTGAGGTTAGTTCAGCTAGGATTATATCGGGTTAATCAAAAAGGGTCAAGACAGTTTTGAGTTGATCAAGTATGGACTTTGAGTTTTGTGTTAACTGACCAATCTCTAGCCTGTATGGTTTGATATAGTTCATTAAGAAGTGTCGTACTTCACCACGAGTGCGAGTTTAGTACTGTTAGATTGAGGTATGGGCATCTGAATTTTGCTCATGTTAGTTGAGGGTGTTCCTGTTATGCTTATTTTTCCAAAAGCCATATTCTGATTTGTTGTTCCCGCAGTGATATTTGCGGACAAATATTGCGGATTTTTTTTTAGTCACGATTGTAACAACCTTTTTAATTCCCCAAATATTTTTCAGGTCCACAAACTCTTGCTTTACCTCCTTTTTTGCCTACAAATCCTCATTTAACAGCAGTTTCGACTTCTTCAACAGCAACTTCATTTCTACCACCTACAACTGGAAATAATATTTACATAAATCGTTCAGTTTTGCAAACAACAAATAGTTGGAATGCTATGGTTGATGAATTTGTTAGAAAAAATGTGACATCAGGTTTCTTTTAAATTTAAAAAAATTTTGAAAAAATATTTTTTAGATATTCGCCCTCGTCACTATATTCCTCATTTAAAACAAAGTCGAAGTCGTTCAAGCAGCAGCGGTACAAGTAGACGACGTAATAGTTGCAGCAGTGCATCTTCTGTAAGTTCGAGGAATAGAAGCTGTTCTGTTACTGACGATAGCGGGAATAATGGTTTGTTTTTTTTATTTTTGGAGTTGTTTTTTATTTTGATTTTTAAATTTTTTTGGGATGTCTTTTAGGTGGATGGGTTTCTGGTAAACAATATTAGAGATTTTATTGATATTTAACTATGTTTAATTTAATTGTAGGTAAGTTGACCGTTGGTGTAATGGTTAGTGTTCTTGGTTCGTTGTGGGAGTGTTGAGGGTTCGATTCCCTTTGGGTCCTTTTATTTTTCTTTCCTTGAAAAAATTTTTTTAATTTTTAATTAGAAAGTTTTTGGTACTTAAAATTTCAAAAATAATTTTTGAGTGACAATAATGGACTAATTGACCAAAAAAGTTTTTTATTTTAATTTTTCTTTTCAAGATTATTCAAAACGTCGACGTTTAGAACCAGCTGAAGGGGAAGTTTATCATTCTCGTAGACGTAAAAGTATTGATAATGGACAGAGGAGAAGTAGACGATATTATAAGGATGCTCGAGAAGATGATGAGGTTTTTTAAGAAAATTTTTTTTTAAATTTTAAAAATTTTTTCTAAAGGAAATAGCACATAATCAAGCAATTGAATGTGCTCGTGCTATTGGTTTGGATGAAGATTATTTAAAAAAAGTTGAAGAACAGCAACGCTTGAGGGATGAAATATTGCGAAAAAAGACACAAAAACGTAAAGAAAAGGAAGCTGCAATTAAAGGAATGGAAATTTTGAATAGAAAAAATTCAAAAATGGAAGGTTTGTTTAAAGGGATTTTTTAATTTTTAAAAATTTTTAAATTTTTTGGAGGTTTGGGGTTCTGATTTGAGTTTTTGATTTTCTCTACAGGAAATCTTTTTGTTGTAATTGGTTTTTTGGGGTACGTATTGGTAGTGATGCTTGGGTATCCCGACTCCCTAATCAGGGAATTTTCCCGAGTTTTTGGTCTCCCGACTCCCATTGTCATTTCCCGATCCAACTCCCGTTTCCCGACCCCTGACCGACTCCTATTTCCCGTTTTCCGATCTCTTTATTTCCCCTGACCCCCCTCCTCCGGTTACTCCTTTGATATCTAGTAGTGCGTGTAAATATAAATGAGATTTGACTACAATTTAACTAATCTTTTAAAAACCAGGTGCCAATGAATCTGACTTAAAACAACAACAAGAAGAATCTAGACAACAACAACAAAAAAGGCATTTAACAAGTAATTCGACAAGAAAATCAACAACTAATAAAACTAGTAAAACAAGTGAACAAATAAAAGAAAAGGAAGAAATAAATAAATTGAGACCTTATTTGGCTGTTGTTTGTACAAATTTGCGAGGAATTACAAGTGTGGAAAAGAAAATTGGGGCATTGGCGGCGACTATTGGAAAGACTAAGGTTTTTAAAAAAATTTTTAATTTATTTTTCAATTAGAATTTTTTAAATTTTGAGAAAAATTTGTTTTTGGAGCTAAATAAATCATTTTCTCTGGAACGGGTTCGAACCCGCACCCCCTTTTTAATTATTTTTTAACGTGAAACATGTAAAATGTCCACTTAACCAAAGAAACAATTTTTGTCTATTTTGCCGATTTTGGGTGGGAAAGTTTAGAAAATTATTTTAAAATGTCCAAAAAATTTATTAAACAAGTTTAATTAATTTTTTAAATTTTAAAAAATTGAAAAACCAAAAATTTTTTTAAGAAAATTTGGCGAGTAGGTGGAGATGATTGTCACATAATTTTTGAGAAGCACGAACATGCAAAACAATTTATGTTGCAATATTATGGGTACTTTTTTTTGTATTTTTAGAAAAATTTATTTTCATTTTTAATAGAAAGAGGCTAGGAAATGCTCCTTCGACTCGTATAGATGTTGTCCTAAAGAAGGTATTTTTGAATATATCTTCGCAGCCAACAGACTAATGACTGGGTTTTGAAGGTTTTAATTTTTAAGCAGAGAAGTTATTATTTTGGTTCGAAGAATTTTTTAAATAAAATTCATATAGTTTGGTCTTTTTAAAAATTCTGTCCCTCGAACGGGTTCGAACCCACGACCCCCCAAATTTCAGATTCCTTCAATTTCTTGACACTAAAACGTAAATATAAATTTCCCTGGTGTTTAAAAGCGCACTAAACTTCTTTTTGAGCAAATTTGGAACTTTTAAAAAATTCCGGCTCTCGAACGGGTTCGAACCCACGACCCCCTAAATTTCAGATTTTTCAATTTCATGACATTCAATTGTAAATATAAATTTCCCTGGTATCTAAAAGCGCACTAAAATTCTTTTTAAGCAAGTTTGAACCTTTTAAAAAATTCCGGCCCTCGAACGGGTTCGAACCCAGGACCCCCTAACTTTACTCATTTTCTTTTCAAATAAAACATAAATACAGACTTCTCTTCAATTTATAATAAAAAATATAAGCACAGGGGGTAATATTTTTTACTCTAGTAAATCTGTCATTTTTTTTATTAACATACACAATTTTCTATGATTTTTTTAAAAATATTAAAGTATTTTTTCCTAGCTAAATATAATTTGTTTTAAATAAAGATCTTAATTTGTGCAAAATTTTTATTGTATTTATATTTGTATATTTTGTATTTAAACAAAAATAATTTCCTATAAAATGATAAATTTTAAATAACTTGACGTTTTGAAATTTTGGATTTTTAAAAATCAATATATCGATTGATATCGATTTATTGATTTTTTACCGATTTTTTGGAAAAATAAATTTTTAAAAAATAAATTATCGATTGATATCGATTTATTGATTTTTTTATCGATTTTTTGAAAAATTAAAATTTTTAAAAAATTAATTATCGATTTTATCGATTGATATCGATTTATTGATTTTTTATCGATTTTTTGAAAAATTAAAATTTAAAAAAAATTAATTATCGATTTTATCGATTGATATCGATTTATTGATTTTTTATCGATTTTTTGGAAAAATTAAAATTTAAAAAAATAATTTATCGATTTTATCGATTGATATCGATTTATTGATTTTTTGGAAATTAAAAATTTTTTGAATTAATAGTAGGACAAAATGTCATCTATTTTTAAAAATAAATATTATGACAAATTTCCCGTTTTTTTAAACTACAAATTAATCCTCATCTTCAGACTCTAGTGTACTAGAAAACAAATTAAAATTTATCAGAACAATATTGCTTAAGAATAAAAGAAAGGCAAATTATAATAAGTACAGAATTATTGAATTGAAAAACTTTAAAAAAATATTAAAATTAATTGGAGATTTCTTTAAAAAATTAATGAATCCTAAAAATCCCTCCAATTAAAAATATAAAGGCAATTAATTAATTAAAAATGGCTGCTAAATTATTGCTGACTAGTTATTTTTTAAAATACCTCCTCTCTCTCTAATTTATTTATCCCCATCCACCAGTTAATTTATGAAATCCTTCTTCATCCAAAGTTTGGTTTTGATCTTTGCTTCGTAATGACATAAATATATATCCTCCAATAAATTCATGTACTACCTAGAAAAATTTTTTAAAGTTAATTGAAGGATAAAAAAAGGAGGTTTTTTGAAATTAATTTTAAAAAATAGTCTAGACAGGTTTTAATTTGAAAAAAATTGTTTTAAAAAATTCAAAAAAATTTATTTTAATTTAAAAATCCATAAAAAAATTTTTATTTGGTAAAAATAAACGGAAAAAATTTAAAATTAAAGAATTAACCCAAAAGGATTCGAACCATGTACCTAAAAGTACTGTAGGAGAGAACGCTAACCATTATACCATTGGTGATCCCAAAGTAATTTATTTAAAAATGGTATAAAGCAAATCAGAAATGAATATATGTAGGAATAATGGTTTAAAATTTGGAGAGCCATCCTCAGAAAATTTAAAAAATAAAATCTTATTTTTTATTAATAAAAATCCCTTAATTTTTTACAAACTTATAAAAACAAGTCTAGACTATTTTTAGATTTAATTTAAAAAGATCTTTTTCCTTAAATTAAATTTTTTACCTTGCAATCAGCACTTAACGGTTTAAATTCAATATCTTCCGTATCAAATTGTACTTTTATATGACGAATTTCCCAGTTAACGTGCCATTTTTTCATTCCAGCAAATCTAAAAAATATTTTTGATAAAAATAAAATAATTAAAAAATAATTAACCACTTAAATGATTCGAACCCAGTACCTAGATATTAATGAAACCTAGAACACTAACCATTATACCACAAGTGAACGTGAAGGAATTATTTAAAAAATTAATATAAGGGAAAAGAAAATAATAAATTAATTAATAGGGTAGGAAGACGTTTCCGATTTGAGGCCATATTTTTCCCCACAACTTTTTTGGTTCTTAACCGATTTAAGTACATATAATACCAATCGAAAGCTCTTAATTTGGAGATTATTTTATCTAACAGGATTCTTTTAATTAGATCATCATATCCAAAGTTATAGCCGAAAAACGATCAAAAATCACGATTCCACGCACTTACCCAAATACAACTTTTAGTAAAACTCAGATTAAATCAACCTTTAATCAGCTGAAATTAAATCAGCTAAAATAATCCTCACATTTAGAGCTTTCGATTGATATAATAAGTGGTCAAATCGGTTAGAGAAAATTTTTTTAATTTAAAAAACCTCCAAGTCTTTGTAGCTTCCCCACTGTCACTATTTATTTTCATTATTCTATTGTGTGCTACAGCAATTAATTCTGATTTATTATTCTTTCCGTTCCTTTAAAAAATAAAATTAATATTTTTAAGATTAAAAAAAAATAAAAATTAATTTAAAAAATTTTTTTAATTATTTTGGACCGTGTCCGCAAATTTTTGTCCGCAAATCTATTTTTTAAAAAAATATCTCCCAAAATTAAAAACGAAGACCAAAGCAAAAATAAAAAAATTTTACTTGGGTATGGGGACGTTTTGGGTAGGGAATTTATTTTCGGAAAAATTAGAATTCAAAAAAAAATTTTTTTGAAAGACACAGTCCAAAAATCAAAAAAATAAATTTTAATTTAAAAATAAATTAAAAACAAACCTAAACTTAACAATAAAATAATGCAATCCATGCTCTGGTAAAGCTTCCCAATTTCTAATATATTGCAATTTTGCTTCAGAGCAACTGAGGGTTTTGACATTTGAATGGGCATCGGAAATTCGATGTTGCAACTTTAAATAAAAAATAATTCTCACAAAAATTTTTAAAAAATAAAAATAAAAATTAGAGAGCTAATAATAAGCTCGCTAATTTTTTCTTAGTCAAAATTTAAAAAAAAAACCAAAAAACAAACATTTCTGTTTCCGGTTCGACGAACATAACGTTGAGAGGCATATTCTTCTGTATTAAAATCTGGAGGTAATTGAACTGGCTGTCTAACTTTTCTTTTATCAACAGAACTTCCATTTTGTTGTTTGGCTCCTTAAAAAATTTTTTTTGAAAATTTTTCCTTTCAAAAAATTTAAAACTTTACTTCCAGCTTGCATCTGCAAAACTTTTTTGATTGATTCCATTTCAGAATTATACGAAGAATCGGCCATTGTTTTACCACGGGAAGCGAGACGACAAGCAGCCTTTTTAATTTTAAATTTTTTAAAAATTATTTTTAAAGGCAAAATACCATCCATTTGGAAAATTGTTGTTCCTGGAAAATAATAAGTTTAAAAAATTCTTTTAGTTTAAGGGTTTGAACGAAGGTTGGTAGCGAACGGTCGAACAAAACAAGAGCCGAAAAGGGGTGTTTTTGGTGAATTAACCGGAATTGAAAAACGAGAGTACCGGTTACTAGCAATTCGTCAACAGTCCTAGTTCGAACAAAAAAAAAGTCCGCAAATTCAATCTGTGACTCTAAATATTTTTTAAGTTCTTTATTTTTTACGAATAGATTTTTAAAAATCAAATAAAAATATTAAAAGTAATATAGGAATCCCAGAAAAAACTTAAGCATCCTACAAAAAATATAAATTTGCTGACTAAACTTGCGGACAAATTTTATAAATCTCAAACCGTGTCACATTTCAAAATCATTTCCGTCATCCCTTCAGCACTTGGCAATTGTAATTTTATATGGAATTTGCCTTGAGTGACGCTCAATTCTTGAGTTACTTCACATCCTTTCATGTAATAATGACCAAGGGGAGGGCCTAAAAAAGAAATTTTTGAATTTTTAACTTTAACAGAACCATTAGCATCCTGTGCAGAATTGTAGTAACTTAAATAGAGGTCACGGAACGTAAAATAGGCACGTTTGAAATTGTTGAAACCGAGCTTTTTTGGTCTAAAATATAAAAAAAGAAATGATTTTATAAAAAAAATTGCGGACAGAACTTGCGGACTTTGAAGAAAAATAACATATGCGGACAGAAAAAATTATAAACGTATGTCCACAAAATTTAATAAAAAGTTTTTTTGGGAGCAGGCAAGTGTACCGCGAGCCCAATGTACCGCCGAGCTATAACTTTGTCCAAAATTGTCGAATCCGTGGCGCCCTGGTATGGTCGATTCAGCTGGTTGAGACGCATCGAACAATACCAGGGCGCCACGGATTCGACAATTTTGAACAAAGTTATAGCTCGGCGGTACATTGGGCTCGTGGTACATCAAGGTGTACTCATTTTTTTGCTTTTTAATGACGCCTTGTTTCAAAAAATTAATTAAAAACCTTACTTTACATATTTCAAATATTCGGTCAATTCAGGCACATAAGTTAATTCTCTTCGACTTATAGAAGCAGCAGCATCCAAAGTTTGTTCCTTTAAATTAAAAATTCTTTTTCAATTTTTAAAAAATAAAAAACCAATTCATCAAGCATAACATCAACTTCATCTCGTTCAGGCGATTCGCGTTCAGGTGTGTCTCTTTGAAGTGTTGCTTGCAACTTTAAAAAATGATAAAATAATTATTAAATATTAAAAACGGTCCCTAAATACCTAAAAAAATTTTCAAAAATTTTTAAAAAATTTTTTGAAAATTTTTAAAAGATGTAAACTCAAATCTAAACGATTTTTAAACAAAATAAGAGCAACTCAAAAAAGAATGCCAACATTAGGAGACGAACCCTCACCCACTCATAGGGTGAACCAAAATCACTAACCACTACACTAGAACGAGTACCTCCAAACTAACAATAAATATAATGCTATTTAATATCCCCTAAAATACTAAATAAACCTAAAAACCAAGGGAATACCCTCAAAAAATTTTACTAAAAATTTCCAAAGAAAATTCCAAACATAAAAATTCCAAACATAAAAACCTGCAAAGCAGCAAACAAAGCAGATTCCTCTTCAGTATGTTCCACTTCCTCCAATAAAATAGACCACTTTGCTTGTTCGTATAATTGATTAATACGTACGGGGTCATACTTCAAATTTATATCAAAAAATGTAGCAAATTTAAATCGAAGCAAAACAGTTTCTCCTTCAAATATGCTTTGCTCCATTAATGAACTAATTTAAAAAAATTTTTTTTTAATTTTTTTTCAAAAAACCGTGAAGAATCAAGCCATCCTCTATTTAAGGCTGCCTTCTCCAAATAATTCTGAGGCTTAAAAGAATCACGGCTAGGCACAATTTTGGGTGAATTGATTAAATTGTGATCGAAAAAATCGTCTTCGAGGCCTAAAAATTTTTTAAAAAAATTTAAAGAAAAATTTTCAAACCTTCGCTAAACCCAGGTTCGGGTGTTCTTCCAAGAGCTTCACGATACTTTAAAATTAATTTGAAAAAATAAAATTATTTAAAAAAAATACAGCAGCCGGTCCAGGACTCATTCCTCGAGGCAGCGTTCCAGGTTTAGGCAATGTACCAATTTCTGAAGCCTAAAAATTGAAAAATTTTTATTGAAAGGCTGATCTTAAATAATTGGACTTTACTATAAAATATATCTTATTAAAATGTAGGAGAGAAGTGGCTTTCATTCTTAACTATCTACTGACACGACCCAAGATCCGGACTTTTTTCGGCCCGAAACCGACCCCGAATTTTTTCCCAGCCCATGGCATTCTGGTAAGCAAGACTTCTTTAAAGTAATATTCCTTTAAGGTAACCCACTCCTTATAAATTTTTCCAACCCCAAGGGGGAGGGGGTATTCTTATAGTATGGACCTTAAAATTGAACAAAAATCAAAAAACAAACGTTAAAAGGATGTCCAGGTCCCATAGCAGCAGCACCAGAAACAGGCGATCCTCTCCCTCCACTTAAATTCATTGTAGACGCTCTAATTGGTTTTGCAGTTCTCAACGTTCCAGGTCCAATAGATTCTTCTCCCGGCTTCATATAAGGCTGTATATGTTGATCTGCCTCCACATGCGCCCCTTTACGTAAAATATCTGTTGGAATATCGCGTTTAATTGATAATTCTTCTGGGTGGCGAATTCCTAATTCTTGGCACAATTTTTGTGTGACTTTGAGTACTGGCACAGAAAAGTCTAGACGAGCGTCTAAAATCTGAAAAGAAAATTATTTAATTAAAAAACAAAAAAATATCATAAAACTGTAAAAAACTTTTAAAATAGGACCAAAAAATTTTTAAAAGTCAAAAACCAACTCAAAACACCCCAAATAAATTAAAAAATATTTTTAGAAGAAATTATAAAGCTAAAGAAAAAAGTTGGATTCGAACTCATAACCCACTCCTTACAAACCAGACACCCTAACCACTCGGCGACCGAGAACTCATAAACACAACGATTAATTAAAGGCTATATCCTTAATAAAATTAAAATAGATAACCTGTCTATCAGGCAACTCCACTCTTTAAAAAAACAAAAATAACTTTTAAAAAATTATTTAAAAAACCTCGCAGGTTTATGCATCGGTGTAAACTCCAAAAATGTTGTAGCAGTAACTCCAATTTGATCCAAAGTGCTTCTTGTATGTTTAAGCCACTTTCGTCTGTCAGGCCACCAAATTGCGTGATCACTCCAATCTTGATTTTCTTCTGAAAAAAATTTTTTTTGGAAAAAATTCTCCTCAAAATAAAATCAAAAACCCATTTGTTCAACCAATTGCATCATTAAATTCCCAATTGTCAAGTCTCCTCTAACCAATATATCCTTTGATTTGTTTAGATCGGTAATGAATATTCCCAATTTCCATTTGGCGTCATTCACAACAAAACCATCTTGAATTAAATGAGCCATTTTTTAGAAAGACTTGTAGTTCAAAGAAGAATTCTATAAAATCTAAAAAAATATTTAAAAAAATTTAAATTAAAAAACAATAAAAATAAAAAAAAATTTTCTTCGAAAATTCGCGACAAAAAATCCCAAAAATATGTTTAAATCTCCTCTAAACAGCACTAAAAATAATTTAAAGATATGTAAAATAAAAATCTCTTACTTAAAACCACAAAAAAACGTGATAGAAAACATAACAAAAATAAAAAACACTCAAAAGGATTCGAACCCAGCAGACCTTCCCCACGAGGCAAACACCCTACCAACTACACCACCGACAACACATCTTCAAATTAAATTTTTAGGAACTTATACTCTTTAAAAATATCTTTTAATTTAATTAACGCATTAGTCGCGTCAAATTAATTTTAGAAAATGACCAGAAAAAAAAATATTTTCATCATACTACAAAAAGAGAAACACTAAAAAGATTATAAAAAAGATTAAAAAAAATAAAATAAAATAAATTAGCAAAATTAAAAACTGAAAAAAAAATAAAAAAAAAATTCCTCTACAGACACACAAACAACAAAACAAAAATACACTAAAAACTATTAAATAATTCACAAGTGAAAAAAAAATTTTTTTCAAAGGAAGCAACAGCCACCCTTCTATTTATTTTTATTTTTCTCTCCACTAGGAAAGGTCTCTTCTTCCCAATCGATTAAAAAAAAATTTTTTTTGTTTTGCTGTGTTGTGTGTTAAAAGGAGTTTAAACATTGGGGGAGAGTCTCCTCGTTTTACTAGGGACGAGGAAACATTTGTTACTTTTTTTTTCTTAAAAATCATTTTAGACAACTAAAAATCCCCACAATTAAAAATCCCCCACAAAATCCCCTATAAAAACCTTTTTAATTACTAAGGGTACACTAGAGTCTAGAACATTTTCTCCCGGGTACAACCCAAAACGGCGCGCGGCCATAACGGCGCAAAGCCATAACTTGCTTCAAGATGTCCTAATCTTACCAAATTTGGTATTAAACGATTCCTCTCAACGAGCTAAAGAGAATGGTACAAAAAAGGATAAGGGCCAGAAAGTTTCCAGTAAGTTATGGCTTTGCGCCGTTATGACAGTGCGCCGATTTGGGTGTGTCCCTTTTCTCCCTTGTTTTCCCCCCTACATATTTTTCCAAAATTTCCAAAATTTTTAAAAATTTTTAGAGCCTATAAAGATTACTTAATTATCTATTCTTCATCTATTTATACAAAAAAGACGAATCTAATTTTTCAAAAATGGTTGGAACTCCAGTATTTCTTAATGTATACGACATGTATTGGTTAAATGATTATGCTTTTGGGTTAGGCGTTGGTGTTTTTCATAGTGGAATTGAAGTTCATAATATTGGTTTGTAATTTTATTTTCAACTTTAAAATCATCAAAATTGAGAATTTTATTGAAATTAAGTAGAAAACGATTAATAAAAAATAATTTTTCCCCGAGCGGGTTCGAACCCACGACCTCCTTCCCACCTCTCCTACACCCTTGAGGTCGCAATCAGTACTTTAGAATTGGGGTTCCTCTCAATAAAAAATTGTTTTCAACCTTAGAATCATCAAAATTGAAAATTCTATTTAAATTGAGTAGAAAATAATTAAGAAAAAAATAATTTCCCCGAGCGGGTTCGAACCCACGACCCCTCAATGTCCTCCATCCACAAAGCCTCCCCAATCCGTAAAACCAAGAATTACGATTATTTTCGTCCAGAATATTCTAAATAAATTTTCCCCCTTATTTTCTCGTTCCCCAGCTATATACTCGACTCCATAAAATTAAATTCAAATTTTCTTCTTTTCAAAGAATATTCCTATGGAGGCCATCCCTTCCCTCTGTCCGGAATATTTGAAAATTCTCCAAAAGATCCAGACGAACTTGGAGACAATTTTAAATTCAGGTTTCCTTTTAAATTTTTAATTAATTAAAATTTATTTTTAAAGAGAAAGTATCCATCTAGGAGAAACAGATTTTTCTCCCGAAGACGTGCAGAAAATTATTCGACAAATGGGGAATGAATATCAAGGGGATAAATACCATTTGATTTCGAAGAATTGTAATCACTTTAGTAATCAGCTTAGCAAAGTTAGTTTTTCATTTTTAAAATAAGAAAAATCAAGTTTCGTTGGATTAGGTCACTGTCCGCTAAAAAATTTTTTGCGGATTGTCCGCAAGTTTTTTGCGGATAATCCGCAAGTTTTTTGCGGACAACGTCCATCCAGTTTTTTTCCTAAATTAATCCTTCCCCCAAAAATATACTTTAAAAATCAACTTTTTAGACACTTACCGGAAAAGAATTACCTTCATGGATCAACAGATTAGCAAATATTTCAGGTTCATTCCCCTTTATCGAGCGCTGGATACCTGCGGTTTGTTCAAAAAAAATTTTTTTCTCAAAAAAGTATAATTTTTAGGAGTGGCTAACCCCAATAGCTTTACAACAAAAATTAAATACTAGTCGAAATGGGAGTTTGTCAACTTCCACTGCAAATAATTCAACTAACCCTCCTCCTCAACGTGTAGTTTCTCAAACCACAATAAATACAAGATTGAGGACTAATAGTGAAGATGCTAATGGTGGTAATGAAAAACTTTCTAATAGTAAGGAGACTATTTTTTTAAAAAATTTTAAATTTTTGTCCGCAAATTTTTTGCGGACAAATTTTTTTCGTCCGCAAAAAATTTTTTCCCTTTTCAGCAAAATCTACTACTACACAAGCATCAAGATGGGGTTGGTTTCAGCGCAAAAATCCAACAGAAAATAATAACAATACTTCTTCCGCCCCTGTTACAGCAAGACAAACAAATAATTTGAATAATCAACAAGCTGGACTTTCGCGTTTTTGGGGTTCATTAAAATCGAAAGAAAATGGAACTTCTTCCTCCACTCAATCAAATACCCAACAAGACTGAATGAATAATAAAAAAATTTTCCAAAATTTTCGGTATGACTCGTAATGCCAAAAACGCCGAAATACCAAACAACCTCTTAATGGAGAGGGTTTGGGGGTTTTTCTGATACCTCGGAGTCCGAACAGCCCCATAACCGGCGGCTTATAGAGGATGGTTTTTTTATAGTTCGGCGTCTTTTTTCTCCCCTGTTTAGCATTTCGACGATTTTTCAGTTTGTTTGGTATTTCGGCGTTTTTTTTCCGAGACTTCCCCTCCCTTTGATAATTCCCTTCCTCCTCCCTCAATAAAATATCCTTCCTCATCAATCACTTTATTATTTAATTTTTCTTGTTTAAATTCCTTGAGACTTTTATTTTAAATTGTAAGTAATTTTTTGTGGCTCTCTCGATTCTTTAAAATAATAAAAATATATACTTATGTAAAAAATTTTTTGTGTATTTCTGTGAAAGGACTTTTTATAGTCTTCTCACCTCAGACTACTATTTTCTATACAGTTAAAATGATTTTAATGCCACTTTTCGGATTAAAAATATATGTGTGTTTTCTAAATGAAGTAGGGGAATTCTTGTTGAAAACTAGAGCGCCTCTAAATAAATCCAAAACCTTTGGGTTTTTGTCCGCAAGTTTTTTGCGGACAAAATTTAAAAGGATGTGTTATCTTAAGAAGTCTAGTCCGTAAACTGAATGCGGACTTTAAGGAAATATAAAAAGCACTCAAAATCGTTTCTTAAAACTTTTTTAAAAATTTCTAACCCCCTCTAAAAATTTGTTATTAATTTTATAAAAATTTCTATTTTCTACCGAAAAAAAAAATTTTCCAAAAAAATATTATTTTTCCAAAAAATATTTTTTTCCAAAAACAAATTTTTTATTTTCTCAAGACATAACAACAATTTTCATCTTTTTTTAACAAAATTTTTCTCATCTTAATACTTTCCTTTCTCTTTTCATAAAAAACCTCTCTTTGTTTACCAGCCACTATCTCCAGTCGTAAAATTTCCTCCATCGTCACCTCCTTGCGGCTCCTGTGGTGGTGGTGTTGGAACTGAAGTTGGCGGCCCTCCACGACCAAATCCTTGACGAACAGGCATAGAGCCAGGTCCAGCATCTGCTTGCTTATCACCCATTGTACGATAAGCTCCACGATCGTCTCCACCAGAACGAAAACCTTTGAAATTTATTTTATTGAATTTTTTTGATTGAAATCGAAGTTGGTCAAACCACAACCTAGATTTTGGGGTGAAATTGGTTCTGTTTGACTAATTTCTAAAAATTAAGGGAAGGTAACCCTATTAAAAAAATTCACATATGCTATGACTCCGGACATTTTGTCCCACTTCAATAAATAAAAAAGAGATCGTGAAGAGACTGGGTATGACTAATTTCCGAATCTGTTGACTAGAACGGATCCTAGGTCGGTCAGAGTAAAAGAAGGAAGCAAATAAAAAAAGGCCCATATCCAAAAAAAACCCCCAGACTGACCCATATTTAACTCGACCTTTAAACTACGCCAAAGTCACTAAACTTATTGAAAGGGTAGGGCGTCTGAACTAGAGATCGAGATTTTTGAAAAGCCTGGACCTGTTCCTAGACTCTGGAGTTGATTTCCTGACCTGGATCCTGGGCCTGTAGTCCAGGAAAAACCCAGGAAGGTCAAAAAATGCCTGGACCTGGACTCTGTGTACAGGAAAAACCCAGGCCTTGGTCCAGGTCCAGCTCGATCTCTAGCCTAAACCCATTGTCTTCCATCATCACCCCTACCCTAAATTTATCAACCCTCTCCCCTAATTTAACTAAAAAACTTTAAAAAACCTCGTCCTGCACCTCCACCTCCCATCTTATCCGGATACGACATTCTCGAAGGCTCAGTACGCTGTTTATGCGTATTTGGCAAAACATCTTCGGGCAAGCCAAGATATTCACGCAAATAAGGAACACCGTCCTCTTTCAAATAAAAGTAGTAATGGCGCCAAGCATACTTTGAAAATATTTTTAATAAAAGAAAATTTAAAAGAAAACCTGTTCTCTAACAAGGCCTTTAGATGTCAAACTCTAAAATTAAAAAAAATTTTTATATCGAACAGAAAAAAGTGAAACGAGAGTAGAGGAGGGCACACCCCAACCTACCGCCGAGCTGTAACTTCGTTCAAAATTATCAAATCCAGAACGCCTTGGTATGGTTCAATGCGGCTCGACGAGCTGAATCAAATCATAACAGGGCGTCTCGACAATTATGAACGAAGTTATAAAACGGCTGTAGGTTAGCCTCATGGTAGGTTGGCCTGCACCACTAGAGGACCTAATAAGTACTGAAAGTCAGGTCATGGACAATGAGGATATAAAAAGAAAAGGAAGGGTAAAAGGACAGGTTACAGCCAGTCTTCCGCTGAGCTTTTGATAAATTGACCAAAAAGTTTCCTATTAACTATAAATTTTGGCCAAATTCGGGTCCTCTGGGTCCCTGTCCGAACATCCAAACCAAGATCCTAGGCACGAAATCTTCTTAAAGTCCTCGATACTATTACTAACAGCCAGGCTTTTTAGCAACTTTTAGACCCTATTATACTCCAAAAATTTACCCCAATAAAACAAACCTTAAGTGCTTTAATCACATACAAATTGCGAACACCCTTAATTTCCGGATGCGACTTAGAGACGTAATCCTTCTTTGCAATACACACTCCATCTTCAAACAAATGTTCATAAATCTTTTTTCTGTCGGCTTGTGGAATTAACATTTTATTGAAGAAATATAAGAATTCTCTTTAAAATTATCTGAAAAATTAAAAAATTAATTCGAGAAATCCCCCCAAAAACTCCCAAAAACAACCGTACAAAAACCGGGTACAGCCCAAGTAGGGCGCGCGGTCATAACGGCGCAAAGCCATAACTTGCTTCAAGAATTTCGAAGCTTATCAAATTAGCATTAAACGATTCCTCTCAACGAGCTAAAGAGATTAGTACCAAAATTGATAAGGGCCAGAAATTTTCTAGCAAGTTATGGCTGAGCGCCGTAATGGCCGCGCGCCTATTTGGGAGTGTCACCCAAAAACCGTACCACAAAATAAAATCTAGTATTTTTACTCTTTCTCTTTTCCCCTTATAGTCTCTCGTCTTTCATTGTGTTAAAAATCAATTTTGCCAGAGGACTTTTATTTTTTCACTTCACCAAACGACAAAATGCCCATTGGCTTATTTTTCGCATATTGTCTAAGGGAACATGGGGAACTTGAGTTTATAAAAAGTTGAGTTGGAACTTGAATTTTCTTTTAAATATTTTTTAATGCGCATTTTAAAGAAAAACAAAAAAGGAAAAAAATATTTTCAAAAATTAAAATAAAAAAAAATATGTAAGTATATATTGTACATATACGTTAATTAAAAAATAGTAGCAAAATTATATAAAAAAAAATAATAACATTTTCTCCCATCACAACAAAAATTACTTTTGCAATAAAAAAAAATTAAAAAAAATTTTTAAAAATTGTTACAAAGAAAACTGAAGCAAAGAAAAGGATATTTATGAAAAAAAGCAGCAAATTATATTTTTTAATAAAAAAAAATTTTTTTTTGAAAGGGTTAAGGGTTTTTGTGTAAACTTTTTTTTTCTTGCTTGAAAATGAGAATTAAAATATAAAAACATTCTTTTTTAAAAATAAAACAGAGAAAAAGAAGTTTGTAAAAATTAAAAAGTATTAAAAAAAGTTGCATATAATTAGAGAGACAGAGTACCAAAAACATATAAATATAATTGTAAAAACATTTTTTACAAATTGTAAAAAGTTTTTGTTTGTTTAATGTTTTTACACCTTTGTGTGTTTTAAAATAAACTTGTTTTAGAAACTTGTTTTTAAATAAACTTGTTTATTTAAAAAATAAACTTGTTTTTGAACAAACTTGTTTATTTAAAAAATAAACTTGTTTTTAAAGATATAAACTTGTTTTTAAATAAACTTGTTTTTAAAAACAATTTTTATAAATTCATATAAATATATGTTTGTTTTGTTTGTTTGTACGAACTTGTTTTTTTTTGTTTTCCCCCACAAACATTTGTTTTTAAACAATTTATTTTGTTTTTCTTTTTAATGTTTGTGAAACAAATTAAAGGTTCAACTCTTGCGCGATTTTTGAAGCAATGTTTTTAAAGCCAATGGATGTTCCAGAAATTCCTTCAAAAATTATTTTAAAAATTTTTTAAAATTTTTTAACAACTAACGCTTAAATCTGACTCCATTCAAACTAAGACGAGGCAACTTGCATACCTTTAAAAAAAATTTTTTTCATTAGAAAAATCATTTTTCCCTTAAATCACCTCCATTTCCCACTGAACAAGTGTGTCCTTTTGTGGATCCCCATGCATACAAAGAAGCAAATATCGTTCCCTTTGTTCATATTCACACCCGTTATTGTCCAAAACCTTGCGGATTTCTCTGAAAAAAAATTTTTTTGTTTAAAAAAATTTTTTTTAATTAAAAAATTTTTTTTTCTCAGACTTGATAATTTCATCAGGTGCCAATGAACTTGTAGTTTTCATTGACCAAGTAAAACGCAAAGAGCGCGGTTTAACTTCTTCTCCTCCACCACTAATTGCTTCACCGCTTGGACTATTTTGTCCGTCAGTTTCAAATAATTTTTGGAGGCATTGTTGTTGTTGCTGTTGGGCCTTTAGAAATATTTTTCGGTAAAAATAAAAAAAATTTTTTAGTCAACCTGATTAGGGGTATTCGGAGCAGAAAAAGCAGCTTGTTGTTGCTGTTGGTGTTGCAAAAATTGTTGATGTTGGGCGGCTAAAGCTGCGCCCGTGGATGGACCTAACAATATTTTTTAAATTAAAATAACGTACTAAACGTCCACTTAGAATAAGCAAAATAATTCTGATGTTTACGGAAAGTTTTAATATTAAAATTCTGATTTTTTTCGAATGTTTGTATTAAATTCTGATTTGTTTTGTTTTAAAAGATGTTTAGGTCAATTAAATTCTGATTTTTTTCGTTTCCGGAATGTTCAGATTAAATTCTGATTTGCTTATTTACAGTTGAGAGTGTTTAAATTAAACTCTGTTTTTTCCGGAATGTTTAAATTAAATTCTGATTTTTTTCAGAATGTTTAAATTAAACTCTGATTTTTCCGGAATGTTTAAATTAAATTCTGATTTTTTTCAGAATGTTTAAATTAAATTCTGATTTATTTGTTTTAAAAGATGTTCAGATTAAATTCTGATTTTTTCGGTATGTTTAAATTAAATTCTGATTTGTTTTAAAAGATGTTCAGATTAAATTCTGATTTTTTCGGTATGTTTAAATTAAATTCTGATTATAAATTAAATTACAACAACAACCTATTGTTCCAGCTCTCCCAACAGCATGTTGATTATGTTTATTATTTGTAGTATTTAAAGGTGGTTGAGGGTGTTGTTGTTGTTGTTGATGTGTTGCTTGTATTACTGGAGAAGTTTGTTGATGATGAATCTGTGGTGGTGGTTGTGCATATATCGATGACTGATGATCTGTTGGTCCAGTCCCCCTTAGAATTGAGAAGAGGGAAGTGATTTTTCTAGAAAGTTTTGAGTAAACGGAAAGAGAAATTAAACTGAAATTTGGTCTAAAAGTGGAACAGAGACACTAAAATAATTTTTTGAATTAAATAATTTCTCTTCCTTCCTATTTTAACTATTTTTAATTAAATATATATTGCTCTAAGCTAATTATTAAAGCTACCTTTTTGTTAATTTTGTCAATTTGGAAAGAAAGGAACCGCGTTGTTGTTGATGCTGATGATACTGACTAGTAGGCATTGTTCCCCCACCGCTTGATGAAGGAATAGGACCAATTGTTAATGCATTAGCTTCTTCAATCTCGGACTCATTTGCTCCTATTGCAGACGCATTGTCTTCAGTAAAGGCACCTTAATGTTTTACAAACTTGTTTTTAAATTAATAAAACTTGTTTTTAATATGTTTGTTTTGTGCAAATAAGTTTGCAAACTTGAATTTTTAAGTTTAATTAATTTAAGTGTTTTGCAAACTTGTTTTTAATATTCGCAATGTTTTATTAAAAGAAATAAGTTGGCGAAAACAAACAAAACAAAATAAAAATGTTTTGCAAACTTGTTTTTGTTAAACTTGTTTTGAATAAGTTTGCAAACTTGAATTTCCAAGTTTAATTAATTTAGATGTTTTGCAAACTTGTTTTTAATATTCGCAATGTTTTAGTTATAAGAAACAAGTTGGCGAAAACAAATAAAATAAACATGTTTTTCAAACATGGATTTTCAAGTTTAATTAATTTAGATGTTTTGCAAACTTGTTTTAAAATAAACTTGTTGCCTATAAATCTGAACAAGTTGTAAACTTTAATTTAATTGCATAAACTTTGTTTACAACATGTTTAAATTAAATCCAAGTTGCAAACTTTTAAAAACATTCAAAGAAACAATAAAACATACCAGAACCAATACAACTACCCTTGTTGTATTCAGTTTTGCCATGAAATGTTTGTCTGTTGCGTGAACCACGCGGAAAATTACTATTACTACTGTTGTTGCTAGTGTTGCTAGAGTTTGTAGTGTTTTGTTGGAGAAGGCCAAACATTGTTTGTGAATTTTCCATTTGTTGTTGCTGCTGTTGATTGAAAGGTTGTTGAACTCCGTGATGAAGTTGAGTGCTCATTGGAGAAATATGAGTGCCTGTAGCAGATTTTGTCATTTTAGAAGAATATTCATTTGTTTCTCCTCCTCCTCCTATTGTTGTTCCTCCCAATTCTGCTGCTGCTGCGCTCAACAAAGTTTTCATCATAATTGGAGGCATTGATGGACTTTGATGAAGACCAAGGCACCTACAACAATAAAAAAATTTTGTTCGTAGAAAAATGTTTGATGTTTTGATTTTAAAACTTGTTTTGTTTAAAACTTGGTTTTTGAATGAACTTGTTTGTTTTTAAAATGTTTGTACACGTCTTTAAAACTTGTTTGTTTTCTTGTTTTTATAAAACTTGTTTTTAATAAACTTATTTTTAACAAACTTGTTTTTATAAAACTTGTTTTTATAAAACTTGTTTTTAATAAACTTATTTTTAATAAAACTTGTTTTAAACAAACTTGTTTTTAATAAACTTGTTTTTAATTATAAAATGTTTTTAAGTTTGTAAACATAGAGTAACATGTTTTTAAAGCTTGTTTGTTGAATTAAAAACAAGTTCAAACATTTTTTTAAGTTTGTGAAAATTATATATGTACTACAAAACCCAAAACCATCACCAATAAAAACAAACAAAACATCAGCACAACATCAAGGAATATAGAAAATAAACAAATGTTTTTGAGCGACTAATGGGGAAACAAGAAGGATAAACATCAAAACAATTAAAGCTTGGTGTTTTTAAGAGTTAAAAACATTTTTTGGGAAAAATGTTATGGGGTATAAAAACTTGGGATAAATTTTAAAATTTAAAAACAAGCCCAGAATTTTAACAACTAAATGAAGAAAACAAAAATAAAATTTGTTGAAATTTGTCAATCTGCTATATATAAATTTATATGAAATTTTTTTATTCCTTATTTTCTTAAAACTAAAAAAAAACACAAAAAAACCAAACAAAAAAAACTAAAATTTAAGCAAAAAATTTATGCAAGGATCACTAAAAGCAGATCAGCAAACAAAAAAAAATTTAAAATAAAGAACCAAATTTATATAGTATAAATTCAAGTGTGCAAGGCAAGTTAAAAGAGAAAAAAAGGCCGTGTTACAATAAATTAAAAAAAAATATGGCCAAAAGAAGAATAAAATAAAATGGAAATGTTAAATAGGTATATAGGGGTAGATAGATAAATATATAGTATTTTTCAAAAATATAAGTAAAGAAAAAATATGTTTTTAAATATAAAAAATATATTTTTTTCAGATACATATGTAGTATAATATAGAAAAAAAATTTTTTTAATGCCAAAAATAAAAGAAAAAGAGCCCGGATTGGATTTTAATTTTTTCTTTTTAAAAATAAGTTAAATATTTGATACTTGGGGTTAGGGTTGGAGGTCCGGTCCGGTCCGAAAAAAAATGACTCGAATATCGGCCCGACTCGAAAACCCCCCAACTCTATGTACTTGGATAAAGAATTATTCTTCCATTTTTAAAAACAGTCGTTTTTTGCGAAAATTTCTTTTCGGACCCCCTATTTACATTTTTGAAAAAAATAATAATTAAATAGCATATCTTTCCAAAAAAACAAATAAAATCTGGGCTCTAAAAAAATAAAATTTTTTCAAAAATAAAAAAAAGGAAGCAAAATATAGGTAGGGTATATATTCATTTAAATAAACGGAAAAAAATTTTTTTCTCAAATATTCTTCAAACCATCTCAAAATTTTTAAAAGGAACACCCTAACACCCTTTTTTAAAAAAATATTTTTTTATTGTTTTTTCCCTTACGCGAAATCAGAAGCCATTCCAGCAGCAACAGTTGAAGATTGATTTGATTGTTGTTGTTGTCCACTACCACCACGTTCAGTCATTGGTCTTGGAGAAGTCAACATAAATTCTGTATCGGTAATGCATTTATCTGTGTTGGCGGAGGCACCATCATCAAAAGATAAACGTCCACCACTTCGAATAAGTGGAGGTATTACTATTGGTGGTGGGGGAACTGAAAAAAAAATAAATAAAAATAATATTTGGAAAAATTTACATGTAGAAAAATTTGTAAAGAAAAATTTCGACTAATGTAAAGAAGCAGGATTGCGTCGTAATCACAAACTTCCAAATTTTTTTTTTTAAATTACTAATACGAAAAAAAAATTTTTTTTTTCGATTACGACGCAACTCTGGTAAGAAAGGAAAAAAGGGTGCCCTAGAAAAAATCTTATCTCATTACCAGCAAGGAAACATCGATATAACAATCTTTATGGTATTGTTCGATAGAGGAACCATAAATTAAACTAATGTGAAGTGATATCCGTTCCCAAACAAAATCCGTTCCCAAACAAAATTAATTTGGGCTAATGTATGCCCGTTCAAAGCCAAATCAGAAAGAGAATTAGAATATAAGTTAAGAATCTTTCTGTCCCTAAAATGACCAAAACAAAAATTTTTTTTTAATGTCACCATCCCTCTAACAGTTTATTTTTTACTATAAAAATGGGAGGGAGAAGGGAGTAGTGTCTTAAACCAGTAATAGGATTGATCCCCGACGGAGAGAGGGACACGGTGAACAATTTTTGGGGAGGCAGCGCCATAGGGAGGGGAAACGGGGAACAATTTTATACTGGGAAATTTCAGGGAATCAAAATTATTTTGGCGCCTACGCGCGCTTTCGGAGACGGAAACCAACCCTAACCAGTAACATTTATAATAAAAATATAAAAATAGAATACCAGTTGTTGAAATTGTTGCTGTAGGTGCAATTATTGGTTGTTGTTTTGTTCCATGCATTGGAGGCGTTTTACGACTTGAAGATGACCGTTCATCCTCATCCTCTTTAATAGAAGGTTCCCGCGGTGCATGAGAAACGCTCTTCTTAAAAATTTTTTCTCAAAATTTTT